CAGTGGTTCAAGAGTAAGGTTTATATGCATAATACATTACACCCATGCGAAGCCGGGACGGGTCACTAGTAGTGAATAAAATTAGGTCCCGAACCAAGCTATAGCAAATCTAGGATACCTCCTAGGCTATAGCAAAATCTCTAAATACCGAGCAGTATTAAATAATAATAATAAATATAATAAGGCCAGAATAAAATATAACAAAATACTATGTCTACAGTAGGCTTAATAATTTTTGCAAACGTACGATGAAATGAAACACTTCTATTTTACGTCACTCTTTATATGGCCCTTTCACTTCCAGAAAAAAAATCACATTTTTATTCATATTCCATAAGGTCATCAACAGCTATTAAAGCAAAATTATAGCTGTTTAAAATGTATTCGACAAACCGAAGAGAATAAGATACCGAGCTGTTTTTTCTTTACCCTTTTTCATGTGTAAAAGTGGCAAAAAAGCTTGGGGTTCACTTGATGTTAAGTGATAACCGGCGCCCATGGACATTTGCAACACCCGTAGGGTTTCAAATGCGTTGCCACCTTTAAATAAATTGGGCCCCGGCTACCTCACTCATCAGACAAAACGCAGAAGGGTAACATTGTTACTTTACGCCGGTCTTCTGTGAGGTCGTGGTGCTTACCCGGACAGACCTGCCCATTCGTGCAACAGTGAACAGTGAGTGGCCCTGCTCACAGTTAACATATTTATTATTTACAGATATGCTCAAACATATGACATATTTCACATAGGAGAGAATTTCAGCCACACACGTCGATGGTTTTATTCAACACAAACAAATAAGGTAAATCTCGGTTGGCAAACGAAGCTATTCAACGGGGATGCAAAACGAAAATCCCATTCAAGAAATATCTCTTTTTTGGACCAAAGCGTGCATATTTTTCCCGTGGCTATATACGTCTAATATCCCGGATTAGATTTGCCGCGATGATTGCTGGATACGTATACGTAATATATTTCTTTTCTTTTTTTTGTCACGTCGCAACCCGGATGCAGCCGCGCACGCTTTTTAACTAAACGAAGCACCTCGAATGGCACCGCGGTCTTCACGGCCGAACATCGACTCCAATGAGCGAAGACATCCGAAAAATTGGCGGGAACTCTGCGTGATAGCAACACCGCGCCAGAGATAGGTAATGTTAGTGGGGCTAATTCGTCAAAGGCAACGCGGCCCTTTGTGCCGGCTTATGGTAATCAGCGCGGGCAGATGGTGAGGTGAGAGGGGGGGGGGGGGGGTTTAGGGGAGGGCAAAGGGGCGAGCTTTAAATTTAATGACGAGATTTAACAACTACAAGTCTCTAAGGTAATTCCTTGATGGGCTAAACGTTTCTAGTCCTCCCGCCCCGAGAGCGACGACCCGCGACGGTTTTAACCTTAACGCTTTGAACTTGTAACCCGATCTAGATTATGTTCGCTTTTATTCTCAATCGTTACGTTAACGGGTTCGTTTATAAGCGACTGCATCAGTGACGTCAAAATTACCTCTGCACGTTAAAGTTAACTTTGGGCGTTGAAATTTGTAAAAAAGTACGCAACTAAACGGCTGATTGCCACACCGATGAAAATCTTAACGCCTTTAATCGACATTGTTTTTTTTAGCATTTGCAGCAATGCTTGGCGCATCCATTGTTATATCTTTCCAGTATACAATTTCGAATGCAGTTTTACAACGGTAATTCGTAGTTCGGACGACTAAATGCAGAGATTAGTACTGTAAAAAATTTAAATTTCAAACTCTGCACGGTTTCAATATGGCGTAGACTATATTTAAGTAATCCTTTTACGTAAAGGCGTTCAATTCAATTAAATAGTTGTAATTAAAACAATTATAATGTATGCCTAGGTCGATACTCAGCTTATCGTAAGCTGGAATTGAAAACACGACCTGAGACGAACTCTTCCCAATTAAGCACTCGTGTGCGTAGACTATACGACCGATGACTCGGTGGCGGCGTTGCCAAGCTATTGGCTTGGGCGTCGAGAGTCGTGGGTTCGATTCCCACACGGGAGAAGTATTTGTGTGACCCACAGATAATGGTTCCGGGTGTACTTCCGCACTACGGAAGTGTGTAGATCGGTCCTTTAATCGTAAGTTTATGCAATGTGAACTCTATTTATTAGCTTTTTTTTAAACTTAAATTTCTTTGCTTTCTCTACTTCCTCCGATTTTTTTTAAATAACTGTGGCAGTTCTATAACCTATAACAGTTAACTAAATAGAATGTAGTAATATCTATAATAAAGAGTAAAATGGGTCCCGTTTTACCCTTTGGGCAGAGAACCCTAGAAATTAAAAATATGTATCGAAGATACGTGAATGAAGAGTTGCCAAAGCCGAGCAGACGGTTCACCTGACGTTAAGTGAATACCGCCGCCCATGGACATCTGCTACACCCGAGGGTTTGCAGATGCGTTGACAACCTTTTTGGAAATTGGGCTCCGGCAACCTCACTCACCAGACGAAACGCGAAAGTATTATACTTTTACTTTACGTCGGTCTTCTGTGAGGTCCTGGTACTTACCCGGACGAGCCTGCCCATTCGTGTGTGGGTTAGTAGGATGGAACTGTAAGATATACTAACTCCACATTGAATATATATATTTACAATTACAATTTGGAATTTACAGCTAGGAACATAGACGTTATAGCAATCGCGCGGCGGACGGCAGACTCTAGTCTGAAGTCACGTAAGCAAAAATCACTGACGTCCAGCGAAAATCCGAGCGCGGTCGAGGATGCACGATGGCACCCGAGCGTAATCAAAAATGACAGCTCGCCGTGTGACGGCGATTAGCTGTGATGTCAGTTGTAGACAGGCCGCCACACGTGCAACAGCCGATGCTGTTACACGAATGCGTGGCCCTACCTCTACTCGCGTGGTGGACTATGACTTAATACCCTTTGTACAGAGGAGGCCTTTGTCCAGCTGTGGGACTTGGATAGGCTGTTACTTTACTTTAGTGCTAGTATCTGCATTGAAGATAAAACTTAAAATGTGATTTTTTGGATAGAACGATATATAATATTTTCTAGCTTCTTATATACGGTAACTGAACTGAGCCCTCAAACTCTTTATTTTCGTACCTTTTCTGTGACTAGCTCCTGCTGTACTTACACGGTGTGTAAAATGATGTACCATGAAAAATGGTAGAGCATAACTATACACATATTGCTTTACCTGTATATTAAAAGGCTCGTCGCAAATAAAATCTAAACCGTACTCAACCGACTCCGACTTAGTGATCAGCTAATGCGTGTGTTTGTCCGAGTGCAGTGACGGTTAAGGATTTGATTTTTTTTTAACATTGGCCTTACTTTAGGATATTTTTTTTAACATTTGCCTTTCTTTACGATAACATTATCCTGTGATGTATGGACGTTCTACAAATATAAATTTCACTTGGGCGTTTGTCACCCAGATGCGATTGAACGTTATCTGTTTAATTAAACTCCTTTACAGTTTGATACCAAAGTCTCTAATGTAAGTGATTGAGCTCTTTGACGTCACATATTTGATATGTTCACCGCCGGAGATCTGGCAACATTTCGTTCAGTGGAATCCTGCAAATTAAAGAAGCAGTTATCCGAATTAAAGACGAATGTTTTTCCTTGGAAATCCTTTGCAACGCGAGTTTCTTAATGCCCGATTCATTTGTACTCTCAGATTTCAATATCACCCCTTTGCCCCGAATGTCCCATCTTCGGTCCCGATACGGCCATGAATTAGGTCTAATCAAAGTAAGTAGTTATTGACTCGATCGCTTTGATCTCTCCGTCACTCTTATTTCGTCGCCGTCTGTTTGATATCCGAAGCGAAATTTATTTATTAGATCGTTTTCGTTAAATATCACTAACCGATTTTTAGTATAATTTAGTATAATAAAAAGTACAGTAATCAGCCTATACGATCTACTGATATCCCACTGGTGGGAAAAGGTACAGAGAGAGTTAAGGAGGAGGCACGCGAAGTTTCAAGAAGTTTCACACATCTTTAAGATTTTTTTTTTGCCTCAACGTTGATATAGCATCTGCAATCCTAATAGAAATGTCGATGTCCGTTGGTGCGTTGGTAGCTGTTGTCCGGAAGACATTCGACTACCGCAGGATGGTGTTTATTATGAAAATTGTATTTCGAGATGTCGTCTATACCACAAATCGTCTGCACCAAAATTAAGCCAATTCACCAACGACACGGTCGATTAATATCGCCGAAGAACGACAATAGTGCAAAAGCGACTGTCTAATATTTCATTCCATTCCCGTTAAAAAAAAGGGAAGAAATTGGCGGGAAGCGTATTAGACGGGGAAGGCCCGCGCCGCGACGGAGCGGACGCGAAGTCAATTACGAAATGAACAAACGGATCGCGGAGTTGAGCGATAATTTGCATTCCGCCCTCCGACTCAGAACGTCCGTCGGATGCCGGATGCTGCGGAATCATCGATTCGTGCATCGCCCGGGATACCCCCCCGCACTCCGTTGATATTTACCAGCTGTGCCGCATCACTACTATTGTTTTAAATTTATTCATATTTGTGATTTCGCTTGAATAATCCGGCGTAGGCGATACATTTCAAATGAGAATAGTTTCGAATGAGTTCCTCGTATCGCGATATCTATCGTTTTGTTCGCCGTCGCGTCTACCCTTCCGTTCGGTCGTTGCCGTTCAATATTGACTTATGTTAGTTATAAAATTGTATTAAAAACATCAAAAGATTGAAACTTAATTATTTCACTGGTTCTTTCTATATAGCGCAGCTTTTGCTAGGACTTAAATGAAAACATTTTTGACCAGTGTTAAAAAATAACAAATTTTTGCTCGAAGCTCAATAATTGACGGGCCCAAGGTGGGTTTGCTTATAGGTTGAGAATATTATATCTCTGGTATTTTACTGGCGTTATCACCTTCAGGCGCAAATTAAAAAAATAAATGTAGGGAATAAAGTTCGGATATAACAAATATCCTGTTTTATACAAATGCTACAATTTTATATGTGACTGGGTGATTGACAACCCTAGCAGCGATCGGAGGGCGGGTGAGGTGGTGCGACAATCGCGACGGTTTATTGTCCAAAGCGCAGGCGGTGTCCGCGCGTCAAAGGACGCCGACAAAGAGCCGCCGCGGCGCTGCGCGGCCAGCATTAGCGGCCCGGTTGATGCCTCCACCCCCTCGGCAGGGTTGCCACTCGCCCTGATATAAATTAAAAAGTTAAAATGTACATTGATTACTAAAATCACTTGACGGTCCATTAAACCAGTTTCCACAAAACTTTTGGTCTTAAACTTTAGTTCTCACTCTTTGTTGAACGCCTTTTTATTCTGTAAATATAGATGTTACAGTAATAGAAGGTATTTCGATAGTTCCTCTACGCTTAGCTTATTTTGTATTACAATTTTCAGTTTTTAATAGTTGTGTTGATTTATAGGATTGATAGATTTACCGATCAAGGTTTGGATGATCAGCCCTACCCACGCCCCTGTTTCCCGCAGCCCTAACACAAAGTGAGTGTGTTACTCTTTAACCTGTGCGATTCGCGACCGGCTAAACTTACCACTCCGCTAAATAAAGTTAAAAGGCTCCTCTGGCTTTGTCTCGACTCGCCTTTGATGTGCGCCGAGAACGGTATCCCCCCTCCCTTGCCGCTCCACACTTATCAACCCCCCCCCCCGCCTCCCGTCCCTCCGCCCACCCCATCGGCTCTCGCAAACAGTTCACCGCAAGCTGAAACTATTGCCTTTAATGTCTTTCCCGATACATACCCTCGTACGATTGATTAGTAAGTTGGCGATAGCTATTCCCGTGTCATCGGTCCCGATCAAAGTGGCCGCTTCCTTTTGACGACGACGGAGCCCCGAAACTGAACAGCCCTTATCGTTTTGATCCGCCGCTTAGGCGTCGTCTGTCGGATTACGCATCGGCTTACGTTGCTAGTCGAGTTGATTTTGCACGTTACGTGGCGACCCACCCTATCGTTTGTTTTTGGACGGGTGAGATTTTTTTTTTTCAAATTGTGTGATAGCTATTGAGTCTAACTGTCAAATGATTTGCGCGTTAAACTCTTCGAGTTTTGCTAAAACTTTATCCCGTATGCGCTTGGGGACATGAGCATATCCTAAAACCGAAAGTCAGACTAGATTGCGGGTAATCTTTGTCTAATGATTAATTGTAGCTTTATCACTCGTCACAGAAATCCCCAAAGAGAAAGATATCGTCGAAACACATCCTTGTTTTAAGGTCGTATTACTGAACAGGAAATGTGGCGAACACTTTGCCTTTGTCGTATTAGGGTGCTGAAATCTTTCATGCAAATGTTCAACAAAGGGGCGTAATTGTTAATTAAATCACTAGGCAGAGACAAAGGAAGTTGGATCCAATAACGAGCACATATCTTCTTTGTTGGTACTGCAGGCGCAGCATTACAGGAGTGTTTGTGCTAATGATAGCCACATTAGAATCTCTACGCTCGCTGAGCTTTATCGGAGGAACAGCGCACATTCTTCGAGCATATCTTCTAACACTTATTAATCGCAATGATAATTAGTATCTGGCTGAAATAGTGCTTTGAATATTTAATTTTTATTTATATTTAAAAAATTGGGTTAATTATATCGAGCCGGACTGACGAATATACTCGCTACTTTAATCGCTGCAACTAAAGAAAATGCGCGAAAAGCGCCCATAATTGTAAATTGATTGAAATTGAGAAAAGTTAAAATTTGTAGTTTAATCAAAATATTTTTGTAACTTTTTAATTAATTTATTAATGCGATTTTTATGTCTTCCTTTTTCAACTATCGTAACAAATAGTTGATCCTTCGCATTTCGCGTTCGAATATTCGAGAACAATCGAACGCGTAAGTGTCGATCGAGTTCCCGCAGTAACGGCAGGTATTACCGCCGTCCGAATAACCCCGTGACGCGGCGCGGGCTCTGCGAAAATTCAATTAGCGTAATAACAGCACAGTTCCATTATGGCAATCAAAGGAAAACGGAAAGTTTGCGCACATCAAAGAGTCGCTTAGTGCGCGCTCCCGGCTCATGATACCGTGGCGTGTGTATAGTGGCGCGGCGCGATCTATCCCATTCTATCGACCCCGACGCGAGTGTCATTAAAATACGCGCCTTTTTGTGCACCTGTCCGCGTGGACGCGAATTGTGACGTTAGAAACGGCGCGACGTGCTTTTTCTTTCCTTTTTTTGTTTAACGGCATTGTTGCGGACCTCTTTGCTATTTTGATAGCTGATGTAGTTTTTTACTTTTTTGCTTTTGACGTTGTCGGTTCTATTACCTATTTCTTTCTGTTTGCTTGATTTTTCTGTTTTTTATTAAAAAATAATCATTCTTCAACTTGTATCATCGTTTTATCATTTGCAGAGATTAATTTGGTTTGTTCATTTCAGGCATATTTTATTAAAAAGCAGTGCTTGCAGATAAAAAAATATTGATTTTTGAAAATACTTATTTAAAATAGAGATCATTAAAAATTAAGCACTTATTTACAATATATTAAAATATCCTGTTGGACGATCTCTTTTTCCGAGGATTAAATTTTGAAAAAAGATAACCGACTATATAGAAATTGAACGCTTTTTAGTTTAATCTGTCGGATTAACCTTGCTAGATTTTAGTCTTTGGAGGCTCATCTAGGAGCTTTATTAATCGTCAGAATGCAATACTAGGTTACACTAGCTAGACTACACCACTGCATTAGGGCAATAATGTAGCGGAACCATAAAAAATTTAAAGTTTTATACGGTTACATTTTTATACCGCCTCCAAATTCAGCCATTTGATTAGCACTTTGATTCGTTCCTCTTTTTACCAGCGGTTAAAAAAGTCAATTAATTTCTTTCTGGTTCCGTCGCTCTTTTTTATCTGTGGCACGGCGATGGCGGGCTCCACTAAGTGTCATTCGTGCTTCGATGCTAATCAGACGCTGCGGCTGACGTGATAATTTTGTAAACGAACGCAACGGGCCGCGTCTTTATGCCGCGTTGACTTGTTATATTGTCGTTTTATGATTCTATTTCAACGGTGAAAAGGCGTTTTATTCCTATGTTATTGTATTATAAAGTAAGAACTTTTTTATCACATCATCTCGAGTCTATTAAAAGGAATTTATGCCGCAGGCTGCCACCAATGAAAAACATTTTTTATTATTAAATGTTTCCTATTTGTTGCTGGATATTTTGTCAGGTGGCCTGCGAACTCACGATATTTAGTCAATGGTTGTGGCCTTGAAACCCTATTATTAATGTGGGTAATCCACAGTAATCAATGGAAAAATAAGAATCACAAATTAAAAAGAAAATTGAACACCAAAGTATGGCAAAAGGAAAAAAACAGTGTATCTTTTTGTGCTGAGAAATACATGTTACACCTCAAATAAAGATAAATGTCATATAGTCTAATATATCATATAAGATATAATAAATACTATGATGTGATTAACTATTCCAATTATATGTATATCTATTCTAATTATTTTTACCAAAATAATTCCTGCGTATTCCTGCTTCTATGATCTGCAATGAAAACCAAACATCGTATACACAACATATTCAGAAGCATGAATATTGTAAATACCATTCATTAATATTTAAAACCATAGGAGTAATTGAAATTTGCACTTCGGCAATTTAATACATTATCTGTGATCTAACATATATAGTATAAACCTTATTTCAGCATTCAGCATGATTAATTTTATGCCAGTAAAACATTCATAAAAAAAGTCAGTAATGTAAAACTTACAGTTGTCAAAAACCTGGTAACCACTGGGTTTAACACATGGAACATTTTTATTAAAACAAAACCGACTTAAAATCTTTTCTTTTTCTTGTGGTTATTACTTGAGAAGTAGGCAAGCAAGCTGGCGGTTCACCTGAAGTTAGGTGGATTTGCAACACCAATACCAACATTTACAACATCCGTAGGGTTGCAGATGCGTGGCCACCGTTAATAAAGTAGGCCCCGGCTACCTCGCTCACCAGTCGTAACGCAGAAGTATGACACTTGCACTTCACGCTGGTCTTTTGTGTTTTCGTGGTAGTTATCCGGACGGACCTGCCCAGTCGTGCAGCAGCCGAAGCCGCCCTCTTACTCTTGCGTAGATATTACAATTTTTTTTTCAAATATTTAAAGTAAACAACGCACAATAGGTAAACGTCATTTCGATAGTAAAGGACGCCAAAACACTTTACGCCAATCGTTTTATATGTAACGATACTTTAATTAAGTCAAAAAAAAACTACATTTTCGTACGTCGTGGGACACTGCTCGCTGTTCTTTCTAAAGTGAACATATTTCGTCGAAGTAATAATAAATATTTTGAAGATATTAGAAAAATCCGCAGTAAGGTCGCCCGGTGTGCTAGAGCCAAATGCCTTCCTTCGTAAGGAGGCTGTTACTTACTTACATTTAATTTCAAGTACGGTCGGGAAATTAATTTCATCTTATAAAAAAGATTTTTGTTTTCATTACCATCTATTAAAAAAAGAACATCTGGTAAAAGCGAGTTCGCTCGCATGACTTAACTTGTATTACCTCTTGACGACATTATTAAGATTGTTATTTTTTTTTTATGTTAGAAGGTCGCAAAAGAGCTGGCGGATCGTCTCATGTTATGTGTGTTGATGCGTTGCCACCTTATAATAAATTTTGGTTTCGGCTACCTCACTCACCAGACGAAACGCCGGTCTTTTGCGAGGTCGTGACTCGTGGTACTTACCCGGACGGTCCTAACCATGCGTGCAACAGAAATTACTTGTCCTACCACAGTCAAATCCTGTAGACTTTCTATGTAGCATTGAAATAAAATTATACGTTTCCAAGTTATTGATTCTCGTCTTATTTAGTTTCCTGTATGTTTTAAATGTTACTGATTTACTTCATATCTTGTTACAGATAAATTTTCAACAACAATTACGATTCGACAACAGAAAATGCAGCGGCAGTAAGCTGCCACACAGGTATGCGTGATTTTAAAATTAATTTTTAATTATTCTAAACAATTAAGCTGCATAATTTAGCTGTGCTCCAATAAACGTAATGTAATAGTAAAGTCAAAATTCCTTTATTTAATATACCACCGGTTCCCTAAATTAGGCCTGAACAGAAAGGAACCGGCAAGGAAACTGCGGTCTTCTATCTCTTTTTTGTATTTAATGCTTTTAAGTAAAGGTACCTGGAGGACCGAGATTTCCTCGTTTTTTTTTTGGTAATTTATTTATTTTGGAAATAAAAAAAATAAAGAAAATGAAGAAGTGTGTTAATGATCGTGATACGAAAAAAATATTTGAAAAAATTTATTTCCATTATTTCTATTCTCTCCAACACGTTTTCATTTAATTTTTAAAGTACCTAAAAAGTTTCACAATAATTATTGTATTTCCCGCCAAACATTTATACTTTTTAACTTTGTACTTGAAAATATCCAACCAGAGACATCTGGTGTCCAATTGTTGCGTTATGCAAATTTTCCCCCCGTCACCAACGTCTATTATCTCTCTGTAGACTAGATGGCGCTAGTAGCACTGGTTTATCCACTGTCATGTATTAATCCATCAAGAATGACAAGTGTCAAACCCGTGTCGCTGTTGTATACAAAACCAAACCGAGCCAAGCTAATCTATTATTTATTTCCAAGAAACTTTTCGTTTTTATGTCCTAGTCTTATTTATTAAAGAAAGTGCCATTCTGCTGCAGCGAGTAAGTCTATTAATTTTTGTGCAGTGTTTCACTCATTAATGTTCCATAAATACGATTCTTCCGGGTTTCCGAGTAAGAATTCTGTGTTTATAACTTGTGAGATGTACTCGGAACGCTGGGCTTTAAATATTGAGAGGCGTCGCCTTTTATTGCTTTTGTTTATATTTTTATACGTCTCATGATTACACGTCTATAACTTTTACGAAAGTTTGCCTTGTTTAGAACTTACTTCCTGCCCTGATATGTGTATTCCAAACACAATTTAGCTGCTATTCTAAAGTTCATGACCTAGCTGTTTGTGGTTTTGCCCATTATAAAAATTTTTATGAATGAATATTATACTTCATTTTTCAGTATGGGTTAAAATGTTGTAAACAACAAAACAAATTGTTCTTTAAAGTCAATCATAAATTGTATTTAAATTATATATACAAATGGTCAATATTTCATTATTTTATTCCAAAATTGTACATTAAGAAATTCTTTTTAAAGTATTAAAAATACTTATGTACATTACTACTAGTTGATTTGCCTGTTCTTTATTGATTTTTCTATAAAATAAACCCTATCATAAACACAACCACCGCACAATGTATGAGGGCCCTGGCAATGTTCGATCCGAGTCCATTGTATTATACATTCAGCATCCGACTCGGTATCCTTCACTCGGATCACTGGCAGTGCATTGCGCAGTCGTGCTTTCTCTGTTGAGCTTTCATAAAAAATATTAATAACCCGTGTTATTATATTATACAGCAAGCTCATTTTTTTAAAGTGTAGTTTCTTCAGAGCATTGTTTATTTCAATACAATGAATATGGTGAGGTCTTTTATAATTTTTTTTCCTTTATTCACAAATTGTTTATTGAACTGTGAAGTTATGATTTGATGTGTTATGACATGTTCTTATTATGTGGTACCCATTTTTTGTGTAATGTTGTGTGGATTTTTTGTGAAAGGGGATTTCTACAAAGGATCATTTTCAACCTTTAATAATGTGCATAAGCCGATATGGAATATGATATCTACTCAATTTAAGTAGTATAATAATAAAGTAATTTTTAAATAGGAGTTATGGAACAGAGTTTTGAATGTAGTTTCAAATATGTACTTTTCTTTAGACGCCGATCGATGATGGAGACTCTTGACTTTGGACCGCTGCCTCATTTTTGCTTGCTGTCTCTTTTCAACTTGTGGAGATCCAATGTGATGCCTGTATCTGACCCTTTGTGTTTTGCCTTATTGATTTTTTACAACCGGAGTGTGCTCGGTGAAGTCTGTTTTTGTAATATTATATTATAACTATTTGAAAGTTAATATTGTGGCATATCAATATAGGAAACGTTTGCTAAGTTTGCTAAGTTAAAATATGGTACTATTATTTAAATAAGAAAATTAACTATCAAAAAATGTTAACTTAATACTTACTTTGTATTAAAATTTTTGACATGTTGCTAAAAGGTTCCTGATTAACATTATTATTCAACATAAAATTAATGCAGTGTTTTATGATAACTATGAAAACTATTATTTGATAGTTATGTTTATAATGTGTGCTACATGGTTCAAAGTAATTTTCGTGTTTTTTAAGACTTACACATTTACAACTGAAACACTGATATTCATGTTGAACATTCCTTCACATCAGGTTGTGATTTAAACCGTCATTGTTTTCGGGCGTTAATTTATAGCAAGCTCTATGTGTCTACAGACTGAATGTTCGAACCTTTTGAGTGAATATTCGTTTTTATTACATCGGTACATCTCATATCAATATTGATTTGCGTCATCTTCGCCACAGTTGGTGTCTCGCCATGCAGCGCGCGGGTGGGAGCACGGCCTGTGCGCCATGAGCCACACTCCTATAGGCGGCAACCCGCAAGGTAATGAGTCCCCGAAACGTTTTTTTCAACCGACTTGAAAATAGGAGGAGCTTCTCAATTCGACTGTATTTTTTAGCAGAGGCGTTGCCACCTTATAGAAAAGTGGGCCGGCTGCCTCACTCACCAGACGAAATGCAGAAGTATATCACTTCCACTTCACGCCCGTCTTCTGTTTGACCACACAGAAGACCGGCGTGAGGTGGTACTTACCCGGACGAACCTGCCCACTCGTGCAACAGCGAAGACTGTTGCTTGGTCCTACCACAGTACAAGTTTATGGAGTTTTGTTTACTTAGAAGTCTTGATTCTTTAATTGGGTAGTACGAACTAAAACGGGCGAAGAAATTTTTTTTTGTTTTGTGCAGTTTTTTTTCGTAAACAATACACCACAATATAATGTGTTATTTGCTACGGTTTCTGATGGATAATTACAGTTAAATATTCTTACACCCCTTTTTTTTTTACTATTTTTTACTATCACTTTGTTTCGGTACAGGTTGGGAGCACAAGCTTGCTGATAGGTCGTCGCTGCCGCCAGCTTCTGGGGAGGAGAAAAGCAAATCTCAGTCCAAACATGTGTTCACACACCCACACTTGTCCAAGTGAGCCAAAGTCTATCTTTCGCTTACTCATATTTTGCATTTATTCATTTATTAGGCATTGCTCAGAGTAAATATACATACATATATGATATCATATAGTATGAAAATTGGTTTGTAATTTGCTTTTTCTTTTTTTTTGTGATTTGTAACTTTAAGAATATTATCCAGTAATTTCATGAGAAATTATAAGAAGTATATTTAAGAAAAGAATATTGCTAATGATGAATTTTAAATACACTTTAACTATCGTTACTAGCTTTTTCATATCCTTGCTACCAATGCAAGTACCTTGTTGTATTAGTTTTTTGTCTTAACAATTTTAGATTTTCATAAAATCCGTCAAGTCTCTATTCTTAGAGTTAAAGCCAAACGACGCTACGACTGATCTTTTTCCACATAACTATGGAGATTATGTAATCGCGATGGACTACCCGCTTCAGACGTAATACTCTGTTCACCTTACGTACTATCCATCATATAAGACGTAAGTTTCAAATGCAATCAAACAAAATCGATCAGACCAAACTTTGTTGGATCCATCGTAACGAGCACCTGGTGTGCACTCAGTTTAACACCGCAAGGGATGTCTTAGAAATATTTTGATCTCGGCATGTTTATATCTGTTTACTACTAACGTCGATACATCACGGCATAATCACACTACGAGTAGTGTTTAAAAGGGGAATACAGGTGTAAGGTGGTGATTGGGCCAACATCATCACACTCGACGGTCTGAAGGTCTAGGTCCAAAGAGGGTCTGAAGGGTCTAATTTAGGTCCAAGGCGGGTCTGAAAGGTCTAATCTAGGTCCAAGAAGGGTCTGGGTCCAAGTGGAGTGCAACATGAATGACTCATCTCCTCCAGGATGGGAGCGGCGGCGTGGCGCGAAGAGACGGAGGGCTCGTCGGGCAGTTTGCCGCGCTCGCCCGCCTCGCCGCCCTACATGCGCTGGGCCCGAAGCCTGCACGAGCTTCTCGAGGTACGCCGTCCCGCTCGCACCACCCGCAATACCACGCGCCCTGTCCCACTCCCTCATCCGACTATTTCGCTCGCAGAGTGCAACGATGTCAGAGTACAGAACCCTGAACCCTTTTCTCTTCTCACGTTGAACATGCTTGTTAGAGGATCTGTCGATCAGTCGCTTTACTACAAGATTTTTGTCATTTTAGAACTCGCGGCCTGATTTTCCGCCGAGTATTACTGAAACCGAGATCCCGATCGGATTTAGTTCCTATAAATAGGCAATGCCGGCATCCGACCATCTGGTTCTCCTGATGTTAAGTGATAACCGCCGCTATCGAACATGCCGCCTAATACCAGGGCCAAGGCTACCCGACTCAAAGTATGAAACGCAGAAGTGTAACTCTTCCACTTCACGCCGGTCTTCCGTGAGGTAGTGATAGTTACTCGGAAGTGCCCGCTCATTCGTGCAACAGAGAAAACTGTTGCGTTGCTTTATCACAGTTAAAGTTAGTTCGGCTCAGTTTCGACTGCAATTGAAGTATTTCCAATAAAATTATTTTTGCTCCAAAATATTTTTTTTTTTTATTAATCACGACTGTTTATCATTGTGTTTTCGTCTGTTATTTCGTCGTGTCTAGGTCTTGGGCAAATGTTTATTATGTTCTTGGTTCTCGGTCTAGATATAATAATATGGTTTCGTCGGAACCACATAGGACCCACTCAGTCCGTTACTAACGCAAACAGCTCACATGTCCACATGCGCGACAACGTGTGAACATGCGTGCATAATTAAAAAGGAGGCGGTGAGGACAGGTAGATTAGTAGCACGCGTGTCAAGATGCGTGAATCTGCACGCATGTTGACATGCGCGCATGAGTAAAGTGGGGCGGTTGGGTAGAGTTGGATCAATTGCCATCCGGGCCCGCTTGCGAATGACGGATGTGGGTGGACTCGAGCAGGACGCGGAGGGGGTGCGGCTGTTCCGCAAGTACGTGTCCGGCGCGGGCGGGCTGCACGTGGACCGGCTCAACTTCTACTTCGCGGTGCAGGGCCTGCGCCAGGAGTCGGAGGCGGCCAAGATACGCCAGGTCGTCTCGGCGATCTACAAGTGAGACCACGGCGTTATGTTTAAAGCACACTAGCGACCTGCCCCGGCTTCGCACCGGTGCAATGTACTATACCTACATATAAACCTTCCTCTTGAATCACTCTATCTAGTAAAAAAAAACCGCATCAAGATCCTTTGCGTAGTTTTAAAGATAGCATACATGGGGAAAGACAGACAGCGGGACGACAAAGTTTTATACTATGTAGTGAAGAACTACTATGTAGTTAGGCATATATAGCGCAACTTATTTTTCAACTTATTCCTATTTTATGGATCCGTCGTGTGGACCCCTGTGTTCTTTAAATCTCCTCTATGAAGTAAAGTAATTACTTTGACTCGGGAATCTTATAACAATCTTCTCAAGTGTTGGTCAAATTTACTGTCGCTTTACATCAACCGGTTTTATATTCAGATTCCTCCGCAAGTCGCAGCTAGCGATGCCCGAAGAGCTGAAGCAGCGGGTGAAGCAGAGCCTCAAGGAGGGCTCTGTCATCGAGAAGACCATCTTCGACCACATGGAACAGGAGGTAGGATAATTTATTTTTGTTACATTTACGTAAATAGTTTACTTTGAGTGGAAGAAATGTGTATGAAAAAGCTGAATCAAAATGAAATGGTTTATTGTTATCTGTTATTTAAACTAGAATAACTTCAGGTTTTTTTAATGAAACCTGGACTGTGTACCTGTATGTGATATATCGGTCCGCTGTATAAATTAATCTAGGATATATAATTGAAGACGATTACTTAGTGTTTCTAAATGAAATGGAACGAAATTTACACAAACACTTTACTTTCAATATGCACCTGCCACCTAAAGTGAAGACGGCGGTAATCACTTAACGTCAGCTGAATCGCCCGCTTTCTTGCCTACTGTAAATAAAACCGTTTAAAAACTTTTAAGTTAAACGGTTTTATTTTATGTTTTTTTTTTTGTTAAATTTTTTTTTGTTAATGTTGTATTGTCATCTAAATTAAATGTGTGTACCAAATTTCAGATCAATCTGACAACGGGAAGGTGCTTAAATTTCAATTTCTAATTTTGACCCAAATAAATAAACAAATTCCGTACGTGTCGAGCTAAATAAAACCGTTTAAAAACAAGTCTCATATCAATCGAGTGCTGATCCCGACGATACCGTCGTAATTATAAGCGAAACGTTTGCGCAGGTGACACTCGCTATCACGGAGACCACGTACCAGGCGTTTCTGCGCTCGGAGGCGTACGTGTCGTACGTGAGCGCCGCCACTCAGCCGCTCTCCTCGCCCGACACCGAGCCCCACCACCGCGACGTCGCCGTGAGTTCTACTTCCGCCCGACCGACAAACTCACAACGACCCGCTCACGAACTCACGGCTTGCTCACGGACTCATATCATGCGCACGCATCAAGCACGCTCATACGAGTGCAACAAAGCACAAAAAAACAGTGCAAAGTACTTAACGATGACGACGCTTAAAATATGTACCTACGTTAAGCTTTTTGTGCATATTTTACTTATAAACGCCACATCCAAGGAATCCATATCAAAATCGATCTGAGAGAATTTCGATTATCGATTGTATAATGTCCTAACATTGTTTTCTTTTACCGTATTTAAGTTGAAAGATCTACCATGATGAGATTTATGAGCTAGCGGGTCATCTTGGGTCTATAACTCTAAATAAAATGACCTTTTTGATAAGCATGTCGTTCTCATTTCCAATTTCATTGATAAAAATCAGGTTTTGTATATTAACCGAACACCGTCTATATGAGTATAAGGTAACTCAGACTTTAAGACTTTTGAGAACGCTGGCCCCTCTTGGTTACATGTGACGATGCTGTCTCTCGAATAAAGTCAGATTACGAGCCAGGTACAAAAACGACCATCAAAATGTACATTTAACAAGACATGAATTAGCTGACCATATTAAGTTCGTGTCGTCCATTCACTAAGACGAGTCTGTCGCCATAAAAGAGCGGCCGCGTAATCGTTGCGTCCGCTTTCCCCAGACCCTGGGCTGTGGGCTGGCGACGCTGCACGAGGGTCAGGAGCTGAGCGCCGGCGCCCCCGCGCGACTCACTCACGACGCCCTGCTCGCCACACAGACGCGCCGCCTGCACTCGGACGCCGCCCCGTGAGTACACGCTCACTCATTCACTCACTCACTCACTCACTCACTCACTCACGCACGCACACACGCGAACTAACATTCGCGCGCACGCCCCGCTCTGCTATGAGCACACTCGGGCGCATGCTCACTCATGAACATTGGCAATATTCATAAAAAAAAACACCGCGTCAATTTTTAACCATAATTATATATGCAGTTGGCAGATTTTGTGTTTAGAAAAAAAAACATTTACTTCTTTTTAACTCAACTTAGAGATATATAATCGAAATATATTTTATTCAAGGAAAATATGCTTTACAGTTTTTCAAGTTAGGCGTTAATCAAAAGATTTGTAAGAAAAGAAAATTCTTATGAAACTCGCGGTACCATTATAAATGTGTAATCTTGTAAGAGTTTTTAAATTTTCATTTTGTTTTATTTTGCTTTTTGTTTTACTTTTTGTATTGACTTAGCTAGATCACATTCGTTGTTGCTACATTATTAAAATCTGCACACAGTTGATCATATATTTTTTTGCGTGACCCCCGCAATGCATGCGCGACCTCCCAGTAATTGCGTAGAGCCTCCGATTTTATTAATTTTCGTTTTAATATTTTTACCACCCTTAGCGTGCTTCACTCATGTCTCCGTGTATTGTTTTGCCCCCATGTTTGTGTCCCCGCCGCCTGCATGCTCGCTGCCCTCGACGCGAACTGTATATGCGACCACGCTGCCTTTACCACCCGTAACTCCCCCTATCCACCAAATTCCTATTTCACTACCGACATTGTTATGATCCCCATCGCGATCTGTAAATTCATTCAAAACACCGACGGTTTGCGCGACTAAACGCGCGCGTAATCGTTCCGTCCGTCTGTCTCCCGCCCTCCTCATGTTCCCAACGGTCCCGTCGCGGTGGTAAGAGCAGCCACCGCAAACGGTCGGTGTACAGCGCGCACGTCACGTACGCCGGGTACTGTCCCGCCTCGCGCCAGGACTCGGAGCGCGCGAGCCTCAGCAGCGGCCGCACGGACAGTGACGCGGTCTCGCTCTCCGGTAGCAGCGTGTAAGTAGTAGCCCGTCTCGCTCACGACCACAACCCACGACAGCGGCCGTCGACCACAGCTCACGAAAGCGGCCCTCGACCACAGCTCACGAAAGCGGCCCTCGACCACACCTCACGAAAGCGGCCCTCGACCGCAGCTCACAACAGCGGACTTCGACCACGGCTCATGAGGGGCCCGACGGTCGCGCCTCCCGACCACAACTCATAACAATGGCTCACGACCATGACTCATTAAATTGTGATCGTCGGCCGTTTACAAGCTCATTGATGGGGATGATTTAGGGTTTGGTTCCTGTTCCCAGCGTTGACTATGTTTGGTGACTAGAGTCTCGGTTGTCATAACGGTGTGCAACAAGGTATGTATGTTTTAAAACGCATTTAAATCCGACCAGTCGTCAAGAGAAAGACATCAAATACTGAAAAAAAATGTAACTAATTTATTTTGGCAACAAAGTGTCCTATCTTTATTGATCTTCTAAGCAGGTAATAAAAGTAATATGGAATTATTACATTAACCATACCCTCACAGTCGGTAAGTACGATTGAAATGAGCTTAGATAGTGTTTTATTTATTATTTTACCCCATTAAGTTGCATTTTATTCCCAAGCCCGAACTGCTTCGACGTTACCACTAATACTGCAATGCAATTCATTATCATTTTCAAAAAAAATTTAGTTCAAGTCCGTGAATAAAAGTCCAAAAAAATTTAGTTTTGAACGTATTAGGACACGTATGATATACAATATATAATGACCTAATTAGTTTAGAATTTTTCGATCGTTTATATGAAAAATAGAATAAATAAAAAGTCAAATTTAAGATATCTGAATGCTTTAGTAAATATATGTATACTCTGCAAACCATACTTCTATTAAATTTACTGGATCAATTAGTGGAGAACATGAAATACGTTTTCCTTCAAGCACAACTTGCGTCAAATGAATACCTGGTCTAAACCTCTCAAAAAGACTATTAGTATCATTAAATTTAAGAATAAATTCATATCTATAAAACGATCCTTCTTTACGTATCTCTTACGTACCTCGTGTAGAATTATAAATAAATAAATAATAATAAATATTTTCAGGACACATTTTTATCTAGTTCCAAACTAAGAAAAGCATTTGTTAGATGTGCTATGTTACTTATAAACATACTTAAACATGCTTTTCTTTTTGTAACTAAATACTTATCATTTAGATATATACACCCAGACACCGGAAAAACAGTATGTTCATGACACAATATTGTTCCATTATCTATTACGCCAATTCCGTTGTCAATTATAAACGTGAGGAACAGCGCACGAACTCATAACCATGTTAATCAATCAATTAGAGTACAAATACAATTTCAAAATACCTTTACTCAAATACGACGCTTGCGTGTTCTTATGAAACGTCGAGATTGACATAAAAATTGATACATAAATTCGTAAATTAGTTACCACCGATCCGGTAAGCATTTTCTGTTGAGAAGAGTCCAACAAGAAACTCAATAGCTCCTCTTTTTTTAAAAAGATCATTTTAAGAAATAAGAACACAGGTATAATAGTTTTAATTTTTCCTACGTGAGTATTAGCATTATGAAGTCCATACATTTGCGTCGTCGATCTCTAGAAATTATACCATTGCGGAATATCTAATGCCTGTGTGTCGCTGGACGTTATGAGCCTATACCAGTGGACAAGCACCCCTATGGTATAATGTCTGGACGTTATGAGCCTATACCAGAGAGGCGGTCAGCACCCCTACGGGATTATGCAAGTAACGGCACCTCACTTTGCAGCGACGGCATGTCGGGGAGGCCCCGCGAGCCGCGCGAGTCCCGCCACCGTCCGCGGCTGCACGGCCTCGACCGCCACGCCGTCATCAACAAGGAGCAGGACACCGCGATGGTGAGACGCGAATGCTGTATATATATATAATGTTTTGCATAATAAGTATCGTCCGTTAATCACGTGAGGATAGAAATGGGTGGGCCAAAAGTCATGATATATCGCGCGTGGGGAGTGGGGTTTTGGGAGATATAACTTTGGGAGATTGGTTTAATTTTTTTTAGACGCTTTTTCCACAGTCTCAAAACTGTTCGGCCTCTAGTTTTACCCTCATAATGTCATTTTGCTTATATTGTAACTTAAGTCCTTGTAATGTAAACAAATGTTACAACACCTTTATTTGTTATAAAACACTTTGCTTCTGCTACAACGTTACAATGTCGTTATATAATTAAAAGTATCCTTCCGATCGTTAGAACGCTTCTGTTGTAACGCCGCGACTCGACGCGTTGTCGCTCGCCGAGCGCTCAACTCGCCGTCTCGATCGAGCACCGTTGGTACGGGATAAACGCACGCGTTTCGCAGGTGATACCGCGCACGCAGCGCGTGCAGTCGGAGCAGATGCGCGCGCTCCCGCCGCAGGAGTTCGCCGCGTTGCTCAGCGAGAAGCTCGAGCGTGTGAGGCGCGACATCGACGCGAAGGAGCGGCTCGAGCGGCGCCTGGCGGAGGTAAGGCGCAAATCTTGCTCGATATCGATGCTCATCTGCGGGGAACGGGGGGGGGGGGGGGGGGGGGGGGGGGATTTAGAACACCTTAGATATTTATAATGAGGGGGGGGGGGAATTTAGTACACTCAAGTACTAATACTCAGTATATTCAAGTGTCCACACTCCCAACTAATCTAATGATACTCGGAAAAGATAACTTTTCTCACCACAAATAGTTTCTGTTAATATGCCGAGTAATTTAAGGAACTTCTTTTATTGTAAAAATCAAATTTATTAACGTGGTACGTTAATACGTTAAAATTTATCTTTTTCTATTATAACATAGGTAACACGTCTGTTATCGATTTAGCTCGTCATACAAGATATCTTAAAAATATTTTAAATTAAATGTTAAAATTAGATCGTATTTCGCTTGCACAGGGCGACGGCGAGGATGCTTCCACTCAGGCGCTACCTCCGCAACTGGTGGCGGCAGCCATTCGCGAGAAGCTGCAACTGGACGACGACAATGATCAGGATATCCTCGGTGAGCAAACCAAATTTATACAGCCGCTTAGACTTTTAACTTTTGCACTTGATGTTATTTGTCCTAACATAATGATACAAATATTTAAAAAAAAAAAACTATGCTTAACAAAACCTTATCACAGTATTGTTCTCGACTGTAAATAAGGTCACAAGTACTAATATAAATTAGGTCACAAGTACTTACCAGATTCAGATTAAGAATCAAATTCGGCATATGCTCTGTTAACATGTCGTTCGTTTATAAAATAACCCTATATAAACGTTACAGTGCCCACTAGACATGATGCCTTAGATACCCGCAACGATGACATGACCGACTAAGCTTTGTATTGTATGCGCATTCATGCGTTTCTCACCTGAAGTGACGCTATCCGTGACGCGACTAACGCCCATCGGTATGTGCATTCCAGACCAGCACGTGTCGCGCGTGTGGTCGGAGCGGACGCCGGGCGCGTCGCCGCCGGGCGGGCGGCGGGCGCGGGCGCGTCACGCGACACACGTGACGCATGTCACGCATCCGACGCACGTCACGCACGCCGCGCGCCGCGCCGCCTCCGCCCTCTCCGCCGACTCGGGCCACTACGACGCCCCCGAGGGGCTGCACCACCCGCACTCGCTCACGCGCAGGTGAGTCTCTCGTGCTGCGCCAGGGCTGTCGCAATGCACGGCCCGCTCGTTAGGGTTGGCCCGTTTTAGTGGCGTTGGACTTTTTTAGGGTTGCACTTTTCGCCTCTAATGGGTACACAATAACATAAAAATGGAGTACTAATTTTAAAGTCATGATTTTGAAGTACAGCTCAATTACTAATATTACATTTTATTCAAGCCATTGTAAACACGCTATGTAAAGAAAATTAATTGCTCACACAATGTATTTATTAACAATGACAGTAGCTATCGAACGTAAGTTTTAACGTATTGCATTGCGTGCGCTCATGATCGCTTACATGATACTAACTTAATGTTTAATTCGAAAGTGCGTGTATAGTATAGACTGCGCAAAACTTAATTGCGCCCTATTGACACTTTTATCCCTCGATAATACACGACTCTGATCGTGCAAAAAATCAAAACGCTTAGCAAAAAATGTTTTCGTCATAACATATTACGGTCACAAACCGACTGAAAACGCTGTCCGGTTGTACACTCATGTGCAGTGGAAGCAAGATAGAAGTATTTTATGCAGAGGCGAGAAAGAGAAGGCAAACTCTCACTCACACCGCATTTCTTCTCTCCGACATCCATAAATTAAACAAATATACAGCGCCTATTCGGACCCAACATTTCATATTAATATTAAACTAAGTGTTTTCTCCCTTATTATACATTTGTAATATGATAATATTCTAAGATATCATGCTCGAAGTGTCAATAATAATACGGAAAGCGTTTCCTTTGTGTTATAATGTATGATTTAAAAAGCTAAAAAATACCATTGGAAACGAAAAGTGTTTTTAAAATATGAAATATTTTTTAAGAACATCAACATGTTTAGAAAAATTATTATAAACAAGAAATAAAGAATTTCTCAAATTTCAATATATCCATAAATCAACATAAAGCCGAAAACTGCTGACAGGTGGTGGCAGTTATCAGTAAAATAAAAAAATCTTCGTATACTTTTAAAATTAAAAAAATCAAGAAAATTGAAAAAGGGACACCCTGTATAAAACTATTGTTTTTTGGGAAATGAGGAATTAATAGGCGTCGTATCAGTTTAGTCGAAAACATTATTGAAGTGTTGGCAACCCTGATTTGCAACTAATAGTATACTCAAGGTATTAGTGGCGCATCGAAGTCTTGCGTGCCACATACCTACGGGTTTGGTTGTAAACCGTGTGCCGTTCCCTAAACTGCATTAGCGCACTAAGCCCGCGGTTCTATACTTCAGCCATCGACCATACAGCCAAATGGAAACCTATTGTTCGAACCGTACATCACAATAGTTCAGTGAGCTAGCTGAGGCGGGGAATGGAATTCTGATTCGTCCTACCAAGATCACCACATCGTAAATAGCAAAAGATAAACAAGATTAGGGATGGGACATGTTCAATTAACACGATATATTTTATTTTATCGATGTTTTTTTTTGTAATAAAATTTTATTGTACAAGGAGACATTATATACATGTTGATTTTATAGACGACAGACATATTAACAGAGCATATGCAGTTTGATTCTAAATCTGAATCTGTGACCTCATTTTTTTCAATTATTTTAATTTTTTCGAACATTATGGACACCTTAAGAAATTACCGTCTCAATACAATATAAACCTATTCAAGGACACTAAAACTTTTCGCTGAACGCATAATTACTAAACCGCTTATCAATAGGGTAACCACTCGTAACGGGATAAACAAACAATGTTTGACTTGATTTTTTTCTGGTTATTCCTTGTAAAAATAAAATATTAATATTTTTTTTTTAATTGTGGAATGCTCAATTGACATTACGTCAAAGTAAGTACTTTGTCTAAAAAATCACTCTGTATATTTATTACGACGCGGTAGTGTTTACGGTTCTCATATGTGGTCGACGGCTGTGGACAGTTTAAAGTTTGCGACTTACATTGTTCGGCGTCTATTTGGCCGTGTGGTCGACGACTTCAGCATGTGACCCTAGCTCAGTGGGCAGCGTTCTCGCTCTAGTGTACGCGCTAAGACAGCGTTACGTTCTCTTTTGCAGCGCACTCAATTATTAAACGTCGTATGCGCCGCCTATGGCCCGCGCCGATGCGCTAACGCTGCTCTAAGCCGTTACCTCAACGTAACCCGTAACAAATAGGTGACACAAAAGCCACTCTCCGTAAACGCCCGCCCCGTTTCTTTGCAGTTTTTCGAGCTTTTTTTCGAGCTTTGACAAGTTGCGGAGCTAGCGATGCGTCGATTGTTTTTTTTTTTTGTTCGTCCTTTCGTTTGACCGCTTCGCGCATGTCCGTTTTGTGTGTAGGTAGTTGTGTGTCGAGTTTGTTGTGTATTTGTTTGCTTGTTTGTTCGTTTCGCGCTTCGAATAGATATGCCGCAGTCGGCGTTTGAAAGGTCCGGAGATATTCCCGTTTCTTTCGTCTTCTTTTTATTTTAAATAAAAATGACAAGCGTTTTTAAGAAAACAGAGAAAAAATAAATGCTGAAATAATTTGTCAGTCTGCAACAAAATGTGTAGATAAATTTGTCGTAACATTTTCATTTCCGTATTACGCGACAAGTCAAAATCTGTTTTTTTTTTTTCATTGCATTTTTTATTTATTTGAGTAGGTGGCAAACGAGTTGGCAGTTCTTCTGAAATGCGGTCAATGGACATTTGTAACAGCATTAAGTTGCAGTTGCGTTGCCACCTTTTAATAAAGTGGGCTCCAGCTACCTCACTCACCGAACAAAACGCAGATGTATAATACATGCACTTCACGCCGGTCTTGGTCGTGTTACTTATATGGACGGACCTGCCCATTCGTGCAACAACGAACATTGTTGCGTGGCCCTACCGCCCTAAAAATACTATTCTTTCAAAATAATACTATTTTTTTTAAACATTGCCCTTACTTTAGGATAACATTATCCTGTGTGTAAGGACGTTATACAAACATAAAATTTCACGCGGACATACACCCAGATGCGAAACAAGTATATGTGGATTACACAAATAGTTGTCCCGTGTGGGAATCGAACCCACGACCCCCTACGCCGAAGCCTTGGCAACTGCGCCACGGAGTCACTATGAATATATGAATGGCTAATAGCCTTGCCACAATTTTATCTACACATTATAGGTTTCATCTTAGTGCAGAGACTAGCACTATAGTTAACAAAAAAAAATTCCTTTATCCAAGTAGTATTCATGTTTTTATGTCGATTTGATTTTTTTTCAAAGCTTGCCAAGTTTATGCTGATAAAAACCTTGGCTTTGCATGGCCAACAATACACTTGTGTTCCCTTCGTAATATCTAAGATTAGGAAATTGGGATCAGACAATCGTGAAGTTTTATATAGATACATAACATCAAGCATGTTCGTATTCGAATCAATGAATATATTAAGAATTGTAAAAAATAACACTATTAAATGAAGCTATTTAGTTTGGTCGTTTTCATGCTATGCCAACATTTTAGTATTTCAACTCCTTATTTGCTCTTATTCGCTTTGTTATTAATAGTGAGTAGTGCAAATAAATCCGAATATTATAAGAATGTTAATAATAGGAATTATTGTAACATGAATAAAAGTTCTGTTTTAAAGCCATAAATAATCTTTGAATTCTCAATAATTCACACAGTTTAACCGTTGACAATATAATAATCAATGTTCTTTAATGATTGATAAGTTAAGCCTCGGCATAGACTGTACGGTAACGAAAAAATCGCCTAGCTTCAAACCTACACGTATGCTTGTACCTCTATTAAACGTACGCCTTTGATGCCGTACAGTCGCGCAAGTAACCGTGCAGATTTGGAGCCGAGTGATTTTTTACCATCGAAACTCGATCCCTATCCGGGTACTCGACTATATGTGTTCAACTGTACAATCATCGGTTCGACAGATCGTTCTCGAAGAAAACGGCCACCGAGCTGACGGACAGCGGCGTGTCGGTGGTGAGCGAGGGCACCGCGAGCGGCGTGAGCGCGGCGAGCGTCGAGCCGCGCATACTTCTCTGGATCGCGGAGGGCTCCGAGCGGCTCGAGAGGCTCGAGCGGCTCGAGCGACTCGAGCGTCGCCACCGCGACCTGCCCTCGCGCGCATCGAGCGCCGAGCGCGACGAGCCCCGGCGCCGAGCCGACCGCGCCCCGCCGCGCCCACGGTGAGCGACCTCGACGGAATTGTGCACGCGAATGTACCGTCTGTACCTTGTGTTTATCTAGACACACAGATTAATCATTCTGATCTCACGCATTTGTAATTGATTCATTGGGTGTTGGAAGCGTTTCGCACACGACTGTACCCAACTTCACGCAGAGCGTTCCGTGTTTATCTATATACCTACACAGACAAATCGTTGTTATCGCACGCATTTGTAATTAACATAATTATCTCATATGCGTCGGCCGTTATTAAATTAGGTATCTGAAGCGTTTTGCACGCGACTGTAATGAAAACCTACTAATATACCGACTGTGAATAATCGTTGGTTTGTCTTAATAAATAAATGGGTTTATTATCCTCTATGTGTAATGAATAAAGAATACTTTTTGTACTTGTTTTTACATTAGTCCGCATAGCTATTTGGCTGAGCTCGTAAATATCGCAGCATACGACTGCACAAACATGGACGATTATACGCATTTTGGTAGTGAATTGTTAAACTGCAGGCTTACTGTTTTCTTTTTTTACCATTGTAAATGTCTCCTTATGATAATTTCACCGACACAATGTCGCCGACTTGTAATGTCTTTGAAATACCTGTATGAGAAGTTAATAAAATATCACGGCACGAAATAAAATATTGAGCTCGCGCCAGAGTTTGGTTCAACTCGCACTACGTGGACCATGCCCCAGTACCCTCTGTACGGAGGGGGCCTTCGCCCAGCAGTGGGACTCACACGGGCCTGTTGCAGCGGCGGCGGCAAGGCGGGCGGCGGAGCGGGCGGGCCCGAGCACACGGTGGTGGTGGTGAGCTTCCTGGACGAGAACGTGCCCTACCGGTTCAAGGTGCCCTCCGTGCCGCTCACCCTCAAGACCTTCAAGGAGTACCTGCCCCGGAAGGGGAACTACAGGTGGGCTGTTCACCTTATAGCAAGTCCAATGTTTTTCACGTAACATGTACCATTCATTCTTTGATTATGGCTCTTGGTTAAAAAATTTGCAATGAAAAACTTGGAAATTACACTGATTTATTATACACCTCTCTAAACTCTACTTGTTTTTTTTTTGTTTATTGTAGGTATTTTTATAAACTTTTGTAAATTATTTTCCGATTTTCCGATTTAGATAATATAGCCTTGAAATTGGATACGAGTTAAAACTGACTGTATAGACACGGAGTAAAAATTATAGGAGTAGCATTAGCGCATACAAAAATTATAGGAATAGGAAGAGAATTAACGAGCTGCTATTCTATTCACTTTCATTTTACACTTCGTGTATGCTTTTGTATTCCAGATATTTCTTCAAGACGGAATGCGCCGATTTGGACAACACCGTGATACAGGAGGAGGTGAGCAACGACAACGACACGCTGCCGATGTACGAGGGCAAAGTGATGGCGCGGGTGAAGAATATCGAGTGAGCAGTGCACGCGAAAATCGCCCCTATCGCCGTCCGGCCGCGGCGAAGTGGAGGCGCTTTCGGCGTGCACGGGCGGGGCGGCAGCGGACATTCGAAAGTCGCCCTTGTTGATGAACACTTCGCACGAACTGGGGGCGAGTTTCCCGCGTCGGGGCCGTTTTGAGGAAAAGTGTCGCATGTGCCGTTCTTCGCGCAAGCGAATATGACCTCTATGCGGATAGAGATTAAGTGAATTGTGTGCGGTATTCGCGTGACGTGTCGCCCTGTCTGTTTAGTTGCTACGTAGGGCTGGCTGTTTGTGGTGTTGGAGAGATTATATCGAGGTTAACTAAAAAGTGCATGTTACTAATTCCAGTGATTTTGGAGTCTGTTAGTTTTTTTTTTTTTTTTTTTTTTGTAAAGGAATGTTTACTCGTATTTATTTACTTCTATGTTGTCTTGCCAACTTTCCGACTATAATTTTCGCAGTGCTCAAACCGCCGTTTTATTCTGATAATTTCAATGGTGAATACCATCACAGACATGCGTGTTTATTTTTTTTATTTACGGGCCCATCCCGTAGCAATGTTTATAGTATTTACAAATTGACATATCGGATTTGTTCTGACTGATATTTTTTATTAAGAAAAAAGTTCTTTTCCTAGTTATATGCTGTTTTGATTCGCTCGGTACGCGGAGTGATACGGATGATAGAATAAAGAAAATCATGTACAGTGATAGTTAGTTTTCATTATTTCTACATAGACAGACAGGGCAACAATAGACATTTTGTAAATTATTTATTATAAAAATAACTACGATAGCACTAATAGATATATAAATGACGGATATTGTAATATAAAATCGGTTCCTCGGCGTCTGTTTTAGCTTTTTTTTTTTTGTAATATTTTTAATTTTTTTTTTTTTGTATTCGGAGCTACTTCAGTACGCTTACTATAGTACGACATTTTTTTTAAAAACCGTACGCAACTTTCTTTTAATTACTTCTAGTGTTATATGAATGACTGCTTAGTTGGTATGTTTCATCGATAAATTAGGTGTTAACAATTGTCCTCGTTGATTATATGGGTATTTGGATGTTGAAACAGAAGCGATGTTTTTATTGAAATTAAAACTCTGGTGTGAAGGAGTTTTTGTGATTCGGCGTTTACTATCAATCCATATCACTACTTTTCGATTTTTCTTCGTCAAAATGAATGAAATTCATAATGAATGTTAAAGGAATAATTATACTCAGGAATAATGCCAACATTCCTAAAGTGAGTTCGAGGTAATATCACTCATTTTTTTTTTAATCATCTCGAACTTGCTTTACTGAGATGTTGCTTGTACGAATATTTCTGGTATAAAAACACTGAAGATTCATAAAGTATTATCACATTTTGAACATTATCTTTGTTTTGATAAGAAAAAAATGTTGACAAAATAAAAGTTGAATCTAACAGTGCCCCTGATTCTTCTAAATCAGTTCTTGCCGTGCACTCCGTGTTTCTTTTTTAATAAAATTGTCTCCATTTTTATGATAAACAAAAAATTCTTTCACACCAGAGCATTCGATCCGAAGTTGTATAAATAAGCCTTCCAATGCATAATGGGATCTCAAACAAATATAACTATCAATAAAGTTAATAGTCTAATGAAATATGTATTTATAGGTGGGCAGTAAATATAATTTCCGTTATGCAGCTGTGAATAGGTCTACTTAGTGTGATAGGTGTATGGCTAAATTTTCACCGAAACAATTCGGGGCTCGGACCACGCGAATAGTTTGTACTGCGCTCCCCGCCTGAATGCGCGCTAAAATAACTCTTATCGAACAGTGTATAACGTCCACATTTGAAGGAACGGTTTGGGCGTCGAGCGCAGTGGGAACATTTGGCGTGTGTGCATACGACAATATAAAGTCCACCTTGAAACTGGGCCCCGACCGAAACAAGCTTCGAGCTCCGCACAAACTACTCCGAACTCGCGCTGCGCTAGGTGCCGGCGGAATTGTTCGCTCGCACCGCCACCAAATACGTGTTCCGCCGGGGCCACGCGCAGCGCGACATGTCCATATTAGTACTTATCTCGTGTAACGTAAGAGTCAAATTAGCCCGTCGTGTCCGGTCCACAGCTAAGTGTAAAGTGTAAAAGTGTACCATTTGTTGGCAGCGAGACGGGGGTGCACCAACGAATGCACAATATTGAGAATAGGGTGCGTAATCATGTGCCTTCAATGTTAATAAATTTTTCATAGTTGATGCTTCTAACTAGTATGTAAGTTAACTCCGTGTAAATATAGTCGTAACGCTACCACGATTCGAACTCTTTAATATTCTAATTATTATTTAATTCGTTTTATTTATTGCCTAATTCTACTCGGGCTCAGACGCGTGGCTCACGCCGCCATTTTTATTTAGTTAATTTCATAATGCGACGGCTAATCTCGAAAATGTTTTCCTCTATAATGTATATTAAAAAATTAACTTTGTAAAAGATTCAAAATTATGACCTTATAGCAACTTTTTTTCCTGCGGTCATTCCTAATCTCAAAACTGACTGACGATTTCCGGTCGCAGCCGCCGTCTGAGCCTCGACAATTTGTCCAGTTGTAACGACAGTGAAGGGCCACGTGGCCCGCCGTGTATAAATAGATGAACTATATCGTTTTTAAATTATACTCGTAAGGCACTTTCAGTACACAGTAGCGTCTCAAAGTACCTTATCCCGATGACAAATCGGAAAGTCCCCGACGGCTCAGTGTATGCCGTGGTATGTTGAATATGCTTGTTGAAATTGCGAAATGGATAATAAAAAATAAATAAAAAAATATTGAATAAGATAACGATGTTTTACAAGTTTAGAGTGTATACGTGGGCAAAAAGTAATCGATTTGTAATAAATAATTAACTAGTATTACCCTCTGCGATTGACGGAATACCGCGCGTGCTAAGTTTGCGCGGCGGTCGTTGTAGGCCGAAAGCGGATCGAAAGTAGCGCGTTGCATATAAAAGTGTTAATTATTATACAATCCAAGACAATGTAACTTTAAAATTCTAAATATTTATTCATGCTATTAAGCATTAAAATGTCGATTTTTGGAATAACGCCGCGCAACTTTCGATACGCCCCCGGTCTCATATTAAAAGAGTTTCACTAATCGGACTGTATTATTTTTTTATCTAGCACATGTAACATTTAAAAAAAAATAAACTGGAACTGTGCCATACGTTATGGTTTCTTATTCAACTTTGTTGATCATCGTTCGAAATCCAACCCAAGTGTTAGTTATTTAAATAGTAACGATGATAATACCTCTTGTTTTTTGTTCTTTGATGAAGAGGATTGAAATTTCCGAGAGATCTTTTTTTTGGCGCCCTAAAAAATTTACCGGTATTATATGATGACTTTACAATGTTCTTGAACAGGAAGAGGGTGCGTACTGATAATAAAAAAAGTTAAATTTTTTCGTGTCAATTTTTTTTATTAACACAAACGATATTTAAATTACCTAAAATTGCCAATATACTTACTATACAGTAGTTAAGTTAGTACATTTATATTTGTATGTATCAATACTGACAAAAGCAAATTTATTTACAAACGAAAAATATAAACTTATCCATGGACATACGTTTTCGTATAACTCATCGAACACATACCAAACTTTTTACTAAATATGCTTACGATATATTAGGAATTCAAATTAACTTAGTGCATTTTATAATAAATAATTACTTTTTGAGAATATTCATGTGCAGTTGTTCAAATTGCTAACGTCGTTAATGTTTGAAAAATTATTTAGTAACACCAAGACTGTTCTAACGGGTGTAAGTGTAACCCATAATGGGGGGTCAATTGTTCACTTCTTTTGAAGAAATCATAAATAGATTCCAACAAGCCTCGCTTTAAAGGATGAGATATTTTTACGAAATAGAATTTTAAAATACGAAATGGAAATTGAATTGATTGGTAGAGAAATTGGTAGAGAAATTACTTTTTCAGACAAAAATGACGGACCAAATTAATTTGTACTCACAATATAAACATTGATTGGACTTAGCAAGAACCATATTTATTGTCCAATTGAACGTAAAATCACAGATAATTTCATTAACATAAATAATTATAAAAGGCTTCGCTATCTGAATACGTCGCGAATCCCTTGAAGCAGTCTTGTAGTCACCGCGTCGTGGTCGCTGTAGCCGGCCGAGCGCATGTGACGCGTCACGCTCGATATCAACTGAAACAAATAATGGCGATATATAAATATACATTTTTAAATAGAAAGAAAGTTAACATGCTAAAAGAAAAATAAAATAAATATGCGAGTACGCACGTAAGAAGTTCTTTAGCGTAACAAAAAAAAAAAAACATTTAATGCCCTGCCAGTACTCTTTGTTTGTGGAAAAGACCATAAATGCAATTGTATGATGATAAAGGTTTAACTAAACGACTTGGAACTTTATGTAAATGTCAAAAAGTTGTTATTGGTTGTCATGGTAATACAGTGAAGTCAGTCGCTTTGCAACAACTTCATCAGGCAGTGCAATTTCAAATAGGTATTCATTCGGCTCCTGCAGCGTAGCTGCAACGCCGGGTCTCAATGAGCTCTAACTTCTATGCTTGAATGTGAATGCTACCTAAATAATATACAATATGAAGGGAATTGAAGGCCGTGCTTCAAACAATATGTTCAAATGTTTTTATTTGGTTGTTTGTCAACCATTATCAACATTTAGCGAAATTACACAAGCCATTGTCCAAGGCAAAAGGCTGATTTTTAGGTCCTCTCATTCTCCTATCTAGAAGAGAGCTCTTTACGAAATTTTGCTTCAGTTCAATAAGTAAGTGTTCTCCACCCAAGTGAGCCGTAAAATACCTTGTCCAAGTAAGTGAGGCCCGCCTGCGGGCACATGTCAGTGGGCATGTGGACGCTCAGCTCGTTCCTGTCCGCCTCCTCCAGCAGGATGCCGCGCACCTCCGCCAGGAACCGGTCCAGGTTGGCCACATTCAGGTCCGGCTCCAGCTTCATGCTGAGCTGGTAGCCGATTGGGGTGTCCGCGTCGGCGGCACTTTCGTCTTCCTCCACGTGGATGCATCTGTTGATACCAAATTACTATGCAGAGAGGCTTTTCTAAGTGTATCCATTTTTTTATTAAATTCTAGACATAAATGCTGTTATATCAAAATGATAAATGTTTAAAATCACTTGTAATTATTTTTTTTTTAAAACATTGCCCTCACTTTAGGATAACACCATTCTGTGTTGTAAGGACGTTTTACAAACATAAATTACACGAGGACAAACACCCAGATGCGAAACAACTATCTGTGGGTCGCACAAATAGTTGCCCCGTGTGGAAATCGAACCCACGACCCCCGACGCCGAAGCCAATAACTTGGCAACTGCGCCACGGAGTCATCACTATTTCATCATATAATTAAATACATTCATTTGAACTTATCTCAAAATGTGCGTGATTTATGGGCAACTCATTCATTTTACGCGCGATCATTCATAACTAAAACGCACACAAGTTCGTTTCAAAAGTATACGACGCATTTCTACTATATTTCGTATATCTCGGCAACGGGTCAAACGAATCGGATCATATTACGTATTTAAATCAGGTTTCATTTTAAGTTTAAGGTCTTTCCTCAATCTTATGCAGCGCCATCTTGTAAGTTGCTCAAATACATTATTGTTACTGGTCTACTGGTAGAGACGTGATATCTTCGTGTCCGGGCTCTCGCCTAAATTCACAATTTACTCGAGCAACCTCAGTTCGATCACTGGCGCTGGCACCAATGAAATTGTCAACTTCAAGTGATGACTTATCACGTGCCCGCCGGTGAAGGAAAACATCGTGAGGAAACCTGCACATTATTGAAATAATAACAAAAAGAAATATTTCGAAAGTGTGTATACAGTCCGCCAATGTACAGTGGGTGGACTATGTCCCGATATCCTCTGTACAGAGGAGGCCTTTGTCAGTGCAGTGGGACATACATAGGCTGTTAATTGGAATTTTCGTTAGATGGCGCTAAATGAACGCTATCCGAACAAAGGGGATATAACCCCGAGGCTCGTAGCCAGACAGGGCGCAGGCTCGCAAGTCCATCTTGGTGAACGCTGTCCGAACACGCGAGAGCGGGACATCTGTAGAGCGAGCGGTCTAACGGTGGTAAGGCCACGCGGCAGCCTCGGCTGTAGCACGAATGGGCAGGCCCGTCCGGGTAAGTACCACGACCTCACAGAAGACCGGCGTGAAGTGGAAGTATAATGCTTTCGCGTTTCGTCTGGTGAGTGAAATCAAAACGCATCTGCAACCCTCGGGCGCGGCAGACGTCCATGGGCGGCGGTTATCACTTAACATCAGGTGAACCCCCAGCTCGTTTGCCACTTTTACACATAAAAGAGGGTAAACACAAAACAGCTCGGTATCTAATCTCCTCGGTTTGTCGAATACATTTTAAACAGCTATGATTTTGCTTCAACAGCTGTTGACCTTATGGAATATGAATTAAAAAAAAAATGTGATTTTTTTTCTGGGAGTAAAAGGGCCATATAAAGTAAAGTGACGTAAACATCGGGTGAACCGTCTGCTCGTTTGGCAGCATTCGCATAGCAAAAAGGAGATAGGCGGCCGCGCACCGGTAGTGCGTGGCGTCGCGGCCGCGCGGCCAGTGCTGCGAGGTGAGCAGCGCGAGGAAGGGCGCGCCGCGCTCGAGCGCCGCCTGCAGCGCGCGCTGCGAGCGCAGGTCGAGCGCGGAGGGCGCGCCGGGGAAGCTCGGGTGCGAGTGGTGCCAGCCGCACACCGCCAGCCCGCGCGCCGCCAGCCGCTGCGCCGCGCGCGCCTGCGACACTGCGCCGGGGATGGGGTCTCTTTCGTTCTTTCTATCGATATTTTCCGCCGATGTGTCGACATCGAAAATCGTATCAGATGGCTTTTTTTTTTTAAATAGAATCCGTAGATGTCATTTGATACTTGAAATAGGTACCTATATCCGATATGTCGATATTTTCTCTTCTATATATCGAGGCCGTAATTGATGTTTTTGTAAATATCGATACATCAATATAATTTTTTCACTTTCGACATCCTTACACTGGTGCCACCGCGCCCATTGTACTTTTAACGCGCTGCCCCTCCTCCACCCTCACAATCGGAGAATTCGGAGGCCATTGCCTTCAGTCAATTGTCCCACTCTATTACTCTTCTGCCGGTAAGTAGCGCAACTTCCGGAAGTACCATGGCCACGGACCGACGTGAAGCGGAATTGTCATACTTTTGCGTATCGGGAGCGTCTGACTGAATAAAAAAGCGTATCACAACAGTTCATTGTTAATGGGCCTATGCCACTTATCTACATAATAGCTTGTATATAATACAAAAAAAGAAAATTTTCATTTATTAAATCTTGCAGTGTTGTCGTCCAATCCCTCCTTATGAGAGTTGAGAATCAGGAACAAAGATTAAAGAATTTTTAGATAATCAAAAAGCCCGCCATTCGGCCGATTTAACCGTGAGGGTGGTTAAGGCATGGGATGTGGTGTATGGTCCCTTCCTTGTATGCCCTTATTGACAGACCGAATGAGGGAACCCAAATTAAAATTCTATATATATATTTATTCAAATAGACGCTTGCGCGTTCATATAAGAAATGTCTAATTTTACATAAAAATTAATACATAACTTTGTAATTAGGTTACCACCGGCTCGGGAAGCAGTTTCTGTTGAGAAGAGATCAGCAAGAAACTCAACAGTTGTTATTTACTTGAAAGATCAGTTCACTTATATCATTTTAGCCGCCGTCTCTGATGATGAGACTCAAAGATGAGTTTACAATATGCCATGCCATACACTTATATTATTTTAGCCTCCGTGACAGTATTGACCACACACGTTGCCGTCGTCGCGATGTCCCACCTGGGTCCATGTCGCAGTGGGTGCGCGCGTTCGCCGCCGCCGCCGTGCAGTAGGCGGCGACGAGCCAGTGCGGCGGCCGCGTCGGCGCCGCGGGGCCTGGTGAGGGGCGCGAGAGCACCCCCCCCACCAGGCCCATCACCTCCCCCCGCGAGGTGTGCGCGTGCGCGTCCATCGCCACCAGCGCGGACACGTTCAGGGACACCTCGCACGGCGCCTGAAAGGCCAAGTCCAAATCTTAAAGTAAAGTCAATTTAAATGACGCCCCGTATGGCGTTGTGGGTAGTGTACCTGCCTCCTGCGCCAGAGGGTGTGGGTTCGATCCCCGCTACTGGATAAATATTGTGTGGTGAACATAGTATTTTTCTAGTGTCTAGGTGTTAATATATGTTTAATATGTATTTATTTACAAAAGAAAAGTATGTTTAAGTATGTTTATCAGTTTTCTAGTACCCATAGTACAAGCTTTGCTTAGTTTGGGACTAGAGAATTTTGCGTAAAAATGTGTCCTAAAATATTAAAAAATGTCCTAAATATTAAGTCAATTTAAATTTTATTTTCTTTATTGAACTAATCTCTGCACTTAAGATTGAACATTAGAATATGTAGAAAAAGTACGAGAAGACTGTCGCCGCTGTGGGTATCGAACCCACGTATTCAGCATTCGCCGCCTGACGCTTCAGCCACTAAGCTAAACGGCTGATTGCCACACCGACGAAAATCTTAACGTCTTTTATGTACATTGTTTTTTAAGCATTTAAAGCAACGCTTGGTGCATTCATTGTTATACAGCGTGTCGTTACCATCGCGACAATAAATGAACACACGACTAATGCTACTTATCAATAATAATAAAAAAAAAATTAACGTTAAACAAAATCCATAATTAAAAAAAAATATTTTTCAAACAAACTAATTAAGTAAAAAAGAAACAAAATTTCTAACATCCTACACAACTCGCGCCACAGCGTCGCATTACAAGCCTCTCATTCTAACAGTATGTTTTGTCTCTTTTAAATTCATTCAACCCATTCATATGCTTTGTGACCTTTACAAATGAACTGTGCGTTACTTGTTTTTTACGTAAGGATGTTCTAAAATTCTTTATTTTGGAAAATTTAATAACTCTGTAAATATTGATGTTCAAAGAATGTAAATGTTTAATACAATTTTTAAAAGTTATCCTCTATATGTGTGTTCATTTATTGTCGCGATGGTAACGACACGCTGTATACTTTCCAGCATACAAACAATTTCGAATGTCGTTTTACAACGATAATTCGAACGAGAGATGGCGCCATTGCTTTTTTAGAAACTTTTGAAATTGCTTACACACACAACACCTATCGCATTTTGTCTTAGCACCGGGATTTGAACTCAGACTGCATTCAATTGAGTATTTTGAGCTATCATGTTTTTCATAATATGTGATAGGCATATAACTAAATATTATTTACATAAATAAGGTTTACCGGTTTCTCGGCGTTGTACACACGGCATCGTATGAGGTGAATGGGAGGCTTCTTTGGAGCTCTCTCGCGTCGCGGTTCCGCCGCCATTGCATACAGATCTCCGGCCTCAGTGTGCATTATCGTGCAACCGCCGCCTCCATCCTATAAAAAAAACATTGAATGAAGATCACTAAATTCTTGCAACACAACATGCACTCGGTGTGATATAAAACTAATTACGGATTTATTACTAACTAGCTTGTCCTTTACTGCAATCTCCCCCAACAATAAATGGACTACATCTAATTTTCTAGGATTGTATAGTTTGTAATGTTGTCTTGTACTGACAATATTACTAATTATCAATACCCACCAGGTTAATCTTCTTTCTTCTCTTTGGCATAGGTTCAAACTTTCTTAGGGGCACTGCTATTGGGGGTTCATCTTTGGCCATTTTCAATGTGGTGGTACATAATCCATCCTTCTGTTTTAAGTCGCCATTGTCTTCTTTATCACTGTCAATATCTATTTCTATGTCACTCTCTGGGTCTGAATCTTTTTTCTTTTCTATTTTAATCTACAAAATATAACATATTAAAATTTACTTGATGTACTATGATATTACAATTTAGTTTAAACTCCAATGTAAAATAAGTAATGTGTATGATTAACATTTGTTACTTACAACTTGCTCACCTTCCGATAGAGGCAATGCAATACCTGATCCCAAAACAATCTGCATCTTTGGGCTTTTTGCACTCTCTTCAGACATGCCAGAGTCAATTCTTTGTCTCCCCAGTGGTGATTTAAGTAATTCTTTACTTTTATTTCTAACATGACCTTTTTCATAGTTTCTTGACACTTTTCGTCTATGGTTGCCTATTTTCTTTCCACCTTTAACTTTAATGGTGCGCTGTTTAGACAAAGCCCTTGTGTCAGCTTCTGTAGCATCCCCTTCAGCACCAATCAACTCGGTGGAACCAACAATAAGTTCGTCCTCATATAATATTTCCGAAGGGTTTACTGCTACAAGATCATTGTCTAATATGTTAGGCTTTAATAAGCTCTTAGATGATTTGACACTATAATTTTTTTTCTTGGCATAGATCTTCTTTGCAACTGGTATTGTTGCATGTGCTGTAGTAACCAAGTTTATAGTATCTTTTATATTTGGCATTTCATCCATAACAACCTCCTCTTGTACCACTGCTGGTATATTTTCAAATTCTTCATTTTTAACTAAGCCAAACATTGGCGTTTCTAAATTAACTCCATGCTCCGCCTCAATCAAAGCCTGTATTTCTGCCACAGTTTTTGACTTTAGTGTTTGTGAAATTTTAAATACATTACGTCCATATTTCTCCTAAATATAAATAAAACAAAAACATTAATATTAAACTTGTATTTTCTATTTAATGCACATAAAATAATTTAATATGCATTAATTTATTTTTTACATAATAAATTACAAAAACTAAAAAATTATAAAGTACCATTTCTTGTTTTAGTACATCTCTTTCTTCTTCACTCCATGCAGTATGAATCTCTGAAATTTGCTGGTTGATAGCATTATCGCCTGACAGCTTTCTGGATGGACCATCCTTAAACCTAAAAAATATTGATTAACTATAAATTTACAGATATATAAAACTACCAATGTTTTGTCCGCCTATAATTTGGATGTGCAATTAGTTTTAAGCATTTCCACAGTGTATTGATGACCTAAGAAACTTTTATTGTCACATCTGCAGGTGAGCTTAACAAAATAAAAAAATAAAAAAAAGAACGTAATATTGTAATGAAGTGTAACCAATCGAGAGTAAATAGTGAAGTAGTCTCAATCACATTTTTATTGTATGTATAAAAAATAGGCATTAAAAACTTAGTAATAATAAGATAAAAAGGAAACCAACATAGTTTAAATATAATATGGCTTACCGATTGCTATATTTATTCTGAGTGTCATACCAGTTTGTTGCTGTTGAGTCAAGCAGCCACTGAGGATGTACCGTGTCTTCCCTATCGGAGCAGGAAGGACTAAAATAAGGGTTGTTAAAATGTCAGTTTTGATAATGAAAAGTGAAACCTTAAATGAAAAACTTAAATTTAATAAGTGTAGTTCAAAGCACTATTTGACGATTAAAATAATACTAAAATCATTACTTTATTCAAAGGTCACAATTTGTTGTAAAATAAAAATAGAACGCAGTAGGTCCACAAACTAGCACAACTATTCAAAACATGTAATTAACAGTAAATTTTACCTTATATAATTGTCACATTCAGTCAAAATAAAAACAACTAATACTTACATGCCTTGATTGTTTTGGGCGAAGCAAGAATTAAATGAAAAATCTCCAACAATGTCAATTTCATCGTCATCCGCCATGTTTCATGTTTATTGTTATCGTTTTGAAGGGTTGTGCTTCTGTATTAGGTTTTCTTTTTAATTTTCTAATATTGTTTTTTTTAATAAAGTGTTTACGATTGATGAGAATGTAAATTGATGAAAAGTATTAACGGACAAATTTAATCAAATCAGAAAAACCATTGAATATCTTCTAAAATAAAAGTTTCATAATTATTATATATATATATATTTTCATAATTATTATATTATATTATACAACATGAAGTAAGCGATTCATAAGGCGGTCTGGCACTCGAGGATGTCATGTGAAGGCTGCGAATTGGGGACCATGCGGTCACTGATGAACGCGTTGTGCCTGGTGGCGTTTATTGTATATATAGCGTGTCTTTACCATTGCGACAATAAATGAACACACATATAGAGGATAACTTTTTAAACTTGTATAACATTTACTTTCTTTACACATCAATATTTACAGAGTTATAAAATTTTCTAAAACAAAGAATTTTAGAACATCCTTACGTATAAAGCTGTAACGTAAAGTTCATTTGGAAAGGTCACAAAGCGTATGAATGGGTTGAATGAATTTAAAAGAGACTTTGGGAGCCGGCAGGAGGGAATAATTAAGATGCAGTACAAAGAACAAGCCGTGTTGAGAAAAACATAATCTTTTATTGTCACTCGTTGCTATAGAAATTTGTCAATAATAGGGTAATGCTAGACCGATGAGAGTAAGGGTGTAAAAGATAAGAGCGTTGCTACACAGTAGCAAATGAGTCACCACAAGACAAAACATACTGTTAGAAGAAGAGGTTTGCCGTGGCAACGAATGAAAAAGTCTCTGAATGTATGAATCAGTCAGTTGTAGTTGTATAGGATGTTACAAATTATGTTTCTTTTTTACTTAATTAGTTTGTTTGAAAAATATTTTTTTTTAATTATGGATTTTATTTAACGTTCATTATTTCTATGATTATTGGCAAGTAGCGTTAGACGTGTGTTCATTTATTGTCGCGATGGTAACGACACGCTTTATACATGCACGCATGCATGCTCACACGATACAGACTAGGGTCAGGACGACAAGTTACATCTTATTTTGTCTTGTGCTTTTGTCCAAATGTACGGTTAATTTGATAATTAGAAATACTTACATTAAATGTATATTAAACTTATATTTACTTTGGACTATCATAAACTTTATCATTATTATGAACATATAGTGAGCAAACAAGGAAGGCTTAACTTTTTATTGCCCATACAAGAGTCTTGTCTATATAAGTTCGTTGTTTAAAGCATTTGGTATCTATTCCGCACAACCCACGCGGCGATTCCTCCCTCTAATCCCGACGCCACATGATGAATGGGTTATCGAGCGGCATATCGCCACCGACCACCGTATTTATCGCACCAACATGACATACAGTAACTCTGACACTGACTCGTACATACACAATCGAAGGACACCTCAGAAGGAGGTTTGAACGTCACCTTAAAGTGCGACCGATAGTAGAACCCGTCCAGCGGTAGCAATAAGATCGAAACTACGATATACTCAGGAGACATCATTTAGTTTAGTGTTATTTTAGTAAAGTTATGTGTTCTTTGTTAATTACGTAACAAACGAAAAATCTTAAGCTGCTATGCTCAGTGAACACAAATAAACATGAAAGCGTTATTGTCGGTCCAAAATGACATAACGGAAAACTAGACCGTGGTGGCGAGGTGCCTATGAACCGTACCGCGACTCGCGAGGATGTTTTGGGGATGTAGACATAATTGAATTAACAAACAAGTACATTTGTGTTTGACTGCGCGTGATAACTGTCAGTGAGAATTGTGTTGCTATTAAATAACAATCACGTGTATAAACGTGCGGCTTCCATGTTTTATTAGAGTTCACTGCCTGGTGTATGTTGGAGAGTGAAGTGGTGTGCCGCGTTAAGCACATTAGGACGACACTAACAATAATATTATTGGGTTTTTTATGCAAAATATTATCTGTGTATATTTTTACGTCACGGTATCTGACTTTTGACAAGACACTTTGACAGACGAATGAGATGAATATCAAATTAATTATCAACATTCAACAATATTATCAAAGTCTCAAAGGCTATGATCACAGTTCACACCGCGTATTCTTATATAGTGTTAATAGTTTACCTGTACCTGCACTTGCATAATATTGCAACTACGCGTTAGAGTGGCTGTGGTCCTGATGGTATAATAATTTCAAATTATATTACATGATGAACAACATCTTAGGGAGATTTAACAATTTACGAATAACTTCAAGAAGTTGTAGAAGATTTTCACTATCAGCTACGCACAATAAAGATTATTCGTAAGTATTTTTATTTTATTTGAAATAGTTTAAATATGATAAATACATACTAAAAAATTTTTATAAAGTATTCAGGGTATATCTCATATGTTTTACATACATTTAAAGTACTAAACAATAAATGATGAATTTGATAATTTGTCATAAGCTTTTTAAATTAGTTATTGTTTGAATCTTACTAATATTCCTATATTTTTAGATGTAAATTACTAGTTGTTGGCGGTGGCTCAGGTGGCTGCACAATAGCTGCTAAATTTGCTAAAAGACTTAAGAAAGATTCTGTTATTGTCCTGGAACCTAGTTCAGTAAGTTATATAATATTATTCTTATATTTGATTTCACATATCTGAATGTACTGTAGTTGAAACAAAGATATTTTGCAATTGTGTTTTATATTTAATTATAATACCACATAAATATTTAAATATATTTAGAACAAGTTAAGGATTTGTAAAATGATCCATAGATGTAAATATTGCCTATAATATCAAGGGTGACTCTGATCTTGTAGAGCTTATAAAGAAAAATATTTTTTTAGTTAGTAGCACATTTATCATCATATTCAGGATAGTCATAAATTCAATTGTATGGTGTATGGGTTGAAATTCAGTAAAGTGTAATTATTTCCATTAATCAGTGAGTTACATAGAGCAGTTGACTGCTATGTTGTTAGTGTGAAAGTCTGGCCATTAACAGTAGGTATTGGGTGTATTAGATTGTTTATTTTACAACCTATTGTGATAATGACAAACACTTTGCTTGGCATATGGAAAAGAACATTGCATTGGTAAAGAACTATATTACAAGTTGTACCGAATAAGGTACTTTACCAAAGTTTTTTTTCTAATATTTTGTGTTGTAATTTATATAAAAAAGAAAAGGAAACTTTTCTACTATCATTCAAGTGAGGAGTTGTGCGTTTAGAATTTCTATTATTATTCATAATTGGAACATTTCACTGATGCAAAACCATGTGCTTTGAGATGGTTTGCGATTATTTGTTAAACCTTCACCGCATACTGAGTGCATTCATTCTAGAAACACTACTACCAGCCGCTGTTCACGTTGGTTGGTGCCGGTGTTAAACCGGTCTCGGTGACATGTAGACCGGAGGGCAGCGTGCTGCCCTCAGCCGCCACCTGGGTCCAGGACTCTGCGGAGAGCATAGACGCGGATGCGTGCCGCGTGAGGACCGCAAGGGGTGACGTCATCAATTACGAATACATAGTCGTCGCGGTCGGCCTGAACAACGACTATTGCCAGGTGAGATTCATTCCACGGGACAGGTGTCGTCCAGTGTTGGCCTGATACAACCGAAATCGGTTTAGGATAACGCAGAATAAACTTATTATCGTATTGTTATATTATCGCTCACTGCGCACACAAGGCTATTAATTTGTGTACGCGTAATCGACGCAAAATTTGACTTAACCTGCCCCCGAAACTGAGCAGAATTTTTTTTATGTTACATAAAGTGGTAAGGTAAAATTATATCCAATATAATCCCTTTATAATCAATTTTTGAGTTGCAGTGAATTCGTTTTTTATTAAAAATAGAATAGGCACTTGAATGATAGACTTTATGAGATTAATAGACAATGTCATTAATGGGCTCGGATCTTTAGATAAACAAAATTAAAGAATAATGATAGTAAGTTTGATAGAAAATGTCCATTTTATTGACAAGCAAGTTTTTCAATTAGCACCTTGATCGCTGTAGCTTGAAACATGAACATAAAATCAGCCAATTTTTCAAATGTGTGAGTATATAATTATAACAAGCTTATGGTTTAAATTATAACGCGCGCGTCCTTTGAGGGTAGACTGTTGCGCGCTTTACAAGCTTCTAGGGACAATCGCGTGCGCACAGTAGACTGATAGACCGCTTTTAGGTGCCCGGATTGAGCGAGGCGTTAGAGGACGAGGACAGCGGCGTCTCCACGATATACGACCCCGCCTACTGCGAGAAGACCTGGCGCGATCTGCGGCGGTTCCGAGGTGGCGACGCCATCTTCACATACCCCAATTCCCCGATCAAGTGTCCCGGCGCGCCTCAGAAGATCGCCTACCTCGCGGACTCCTATTTCACGAAGGTTGGTGGCTCTTTTCAACCGGGGTCCAGGTATACTTTGACGACATATTCCGGTCTAGTAAAATGTCCACTGTAAGAAGAGTCCTGTGTTTACTGTGAGCGGAAATGGCTTGCAGTTTTTTATACGATAACACAACACTCTTGATACTTGGTTAATTTGGTTAACAGATATTATCGTAAATACGGCCTGATTTCTACTCCCGAGCGAATTTGATTAGCATCGTACGACAATCTTACTCTACACTATTATTAATAGACAGTTTATAAATTATACTTTGCTTCTGTATTATCCACCATTGATATTTACGATGAGGTTAAGAATTAGAAAGGCAAATAAAAAACCAGCCAAGTGCGAGTCGAACTCGCGCACGAAGGGTTCCGTACCATTATCTGTAATCAACTAATTGGTAAGTTGACTAGCAACGGCCTCGCGTTTGTTGCATGGGAGCTCCCGTAAATATTTTTTATTTTATTCCGTATTTTAGTATTTATTGTTATGTGTCAACAGAAATGCATCATCTGTGAAAATTTCAACTGTCTAACTATTACAGTTCATGAGATACACGATGGTGACAGACGGACAGACAAACAGCGGAGTCTTAGTAATAGGGTCCCGTTTTACCCTTTAGGTAAACCCTAAAAATGAGCGCCGGGAGACTGAGCTATCACGACTGATATAATAAAAAGGTATAGCCTTAGTAAGTTCCCCTATATTCTTGTAGGGAAGCAAAGAAGAGCGAAGAGCAGTTTTTTATATAAACAAACTTTTAATACATATTGATTTATTTGTCTTCAACTGACAGCTGGTTATGGGGGCAGTAGCTAAGCTAGTTGCTTCGGCGCGGGGTTTGTGGGTTCGATTCCATCAATGGGACAAGTATCTGTGAGACCCACAGATATTTTACTTCATTTTAAAATAAAACATCATAAATATGAGACACAGAATATACATTAATTAAATCGGCCGCAATTCAAAATATACCAGAAATACGATCCAACCATTAAATAAAACAAATTATCCAGTGGTTTTATTGTTACATAACTTTGTTATGTTAACACAGCAAGGTACATACAATGAAGTTGATTTTACTCATCGGTTTGTTTAAACGTCGAGTTAATGACACGTAGTTTGTTTTTAAAATACATGAGCATGTGATACAGAAATAAACTTCTTCGTGTTAAATATAACTGGGGTTGCCAGTGAATTGTGACAAATTAAAGCCAGTTTAACTATTTTTGTGCCCCATGGGTACATACAGTATCGGCTCTTTAGTAATTAATAAAGATCTAAAGAAAAGACATTAATTTGGTTCAGAAATTTACTTTTCAGCGAGCTGCAAACAACCAGTTTTTGCTATATGTTATTTCATATTATATAAATACAAGGAAAACCTACCAACAATTTCAGGACTAAAATGTGGCCCTGGGTCAGTAGCCATACTGTACTGGTGGCAACGCTAGTTCTATGCAATAATTATCGGGTCTATACGTGATAAGTGATAAACCTATCGTCTTAAAGCACGACGTATCAAATCACGCATCAAGGTCGCAAACACTGAATTTGCGAACACTACGACACACAATCCCATAGTCTATTTTATTGGACGTGAACGTATTTCAGTGTTTATAAATATTAAAACACAGGAGGCTTGACCGAAACAGGGCATAACTAGTATGGAAAAATATAAGAAATGAAAAAACTTAAGACTTTTTACCTAAATTTTTACAGTAGCGTGTTCTTATTTTCGATTCAAACTTCAATAAAATCTTATCTCATTTGGTTTTCATTTGTATTTTTGTTGCAACCTATTAATTTGCGACTGCTATCTAGCTGCTACTACTTAAAGTATATTTATAACTTTATATCGATACGTAACGAGATAAAATAAAAATGTGCATAACGTAACTTGGCAGAATATTTATATTATACTAGCTGACCCGGCAAACGTTGTTTTGCCATATAAATTAATTTTAGGGATGACCACTCTTAATATTTAGGGGGATAAAAATAGATGTTGTCCGATTCTCCACAAATGTCCTGGCTGATATGCACACAAAATTTCACGAAAACGGTCGAGCCGTTTCGGAGGAGTTCAATTCCAAACACCGTGACACAAGAATTTTATATATTAGATATACGTTTATGCGAATAACCCATCAAAATAAAATGTAAATATAACGGTTATAATATAATATACATTTATATTTGGCAGTGGTAGGGCCACGCCAACAGTCTTCACTGTTGCACAAATTGGCAGGTCTGTCCGAGGAAATAACATAACCTCACGGAAAGCCGGCGTGAAATGGAAGTGTTACACTACTGCGTCTGGGGAGTGAGGTAACCGGTACCCACTTTATTGAAAGGTGACAACGCATTAGTAACCCTACGGTTGTTTCAATTCCATGGGCGGCGGTTATCGCTTAACATGAGATGAATCGCCAGCTCGCAGCAGGCGTGGCCCGCATATATGTAGGTTCTTTAATCAAGCCCGTAGGTTCTGGCTAGACCAGCATCACAGTTAAGAGAAGATAGAAGAAGTCAGCTTCTGTTGTAGAACCACGCTAAACTTTCTGCTGTTGCATGACTGGGTAAGCTCTTCTGCAAAAGTACACTCGCACAGAGATTAGTACTTATCCTTTCAATATTATATCTCTTCTTTTACATTTGTTTGTGTGTACAAATGTAATATGCCTGTTATCTTCGCGTAAGTCCGACAAAGTTTTATCGCGAACGGTTGAAAGGCAGCTCATAATAAAAATACGAACAAACAAATAAACATTGATTTTTGTATTAGATAACACTTCACAACCCAAATGCATTAAATCGAATACTCGTATAACGGTTACCAATATATAATAAATATTTCCATATACCCAGGCCAACGTCCGGTCGAATGCGAACATCGTTTACAACACTTGCCTGCCAGTGATATTCGGCGTGAAGAAATACGCGGACGCCCTCCTCAAGGTCGTCGAGAAGAAGAACATCAAGGTCAACTACACCACCGTACTGAAGGAGGTCCGCCACGAGAAGAAGGAAGCGGTGTTCTACAGCACCGTCGACCCTAGTAAGGTGACGATTTTTTTCTATCTAAACGTGTACGATCCGAATGTGCTATAAGGTCGGCTATAGTTGGCAATGAAACTCAACAGAAACTGCTTTCCGAACCGGTGGTACCTTACGAACCTCTATGTATAATGTTTTATGTGAAATTTGACGATTCATAAGAACGCGCAAGCGTCTATTTGAATAAAGATTTTTGATTGATTGATTGATTGAATGGGCGGGCTATATAGCTGATAACCGACGGGTAAGAAACGTTCTCGAGTGGCAGCCATATTTGACATCATATTGTAGGTCAGAGCCGTGATAGCTCAGTGTCCGGGCGCTCGCCTTAATTCAATGTATACTCGAGCAACCTGAGTTCGATCCCCGGCGCCGGCACCAATGAAGTTTTTAACTTTAAGTGCTAAATTATCACGTGCTCCGCGGTGAAGGAAAACATCGTGAGGAAACCTGTATATTTTCGGAATAATAACAAAAAAAAATGTATTTCGAAAATATGTGAAGTCCGCCAATACGCAGTGGGGCCGCGTGGTGGACTATGCCCTGATACCCTCTGTATAGAGGAGGCCTTTCCCCAGCAGTGGGACATGTATAGGCTGTTACTTTTGTAGGACGACCACCCACTATTTGACTACCTGTGCAAATGTGCAGGAGTTGATGGATGCTGGTGGCTCAGGCTAGCGCTCTTCACACATTTTCCAAAGCACTTTTAATGTTCTCTCGCGATCAATATCCGCAGCTGCATTGCATTATACGAGTGTTAAGCGCAGCCACTCAAAACACATCCAAAAGTGATATGATGATAGTGAGTGCGTTCCGGGGAAGTATCATGCCTTGCTACACCATAGGTCCGTTCGCAGCAGTACTAGGAGTGAGGCGTATTTATCGTAACAGGTAAATATAAATTGCTCCTTAACACGCTGTCACAAGCTTTTCTTTATTCATGCTTACGACTGTTACCTTAGTTCGAAAGAGATAAAAACTGTTACTCCTTGTCACAGTTGTTAATATACACTGTCACTGTTACAAGCTCTTTCTTTTTCTTGCATCGGTCTTATAGCTTTGTTAGAAAGAGAAATACGGACGTTACCATAGAGTAGCATACTGTAACAGCTGTTACTATGGTAACAGCTGTCACAGCATAGTATGAAATATCAGGCTGTTATTTTTAAACAGGCATTTGTCACTGTTACTTTTAAGGAACGAGAACGAGCGTAACAGTTACTCGATTTAACCTAACTTAGCTCACTTCTAAGCAGTACACGGTTAAATCAAGTATTGCCGCTCGCAGGAGTTCACTACGCCGTACAGCCTGCTGCACGTGACGCCGCCCATGCGAACGCCAGAGTTCCTCCGCCAAAGCCCAAATATAACGGACGAGGCGGGCTACCTCACCGTCGACAAGTACACTCTGCAGCACACCAAATATCCGAACATGTACGGGCTGGGCGACTGTATCAACACGCCCAACAGCAAGACCGCCGCGGCCGTTGGTAAGCGATGTATTAACAAGTACATTTTTTTTTGCTAACGAAAAACAAAACCGACTTCAAACAACTCGCTCTGTATTCATTTTATAATTGATTTTCAGGATTTCAATAAGTACCTTCGGAACTCAAGATCCGATACCGATGAAATTAATATGAGACCATACGGGAAGCACCAGCTTTCGAATAAAAAAGAGAATCATCAAAATCGATTCACTCAGTCGAAAGTTCTAAGATAACAAACATAAAAAAATACGATCGAATTGAGAACCTCCTTCTTTTTTAAAGTCAAAAAGTTTGGCTAGAATTTTTTGCGACCTGACGTAAACCCTCTGAGAATTTTAAATGGTGTTTGTATAGTTTTTACGTTGTATATCGTTGCACTACAGTTTAGTAGTCTAGTTCAAAACTCTATTAGGCTCAAACATCTCGCCATTTTACGCCGTGGCCAAAAATAAGGTTTTAACGGTCAGGTAGCAGTTGGCAGAAACAGTATAAATTGTGTTCTCTTTAGTATTTTAATGTTGTTTTCTGATTCGTTGTAATGAAATGTGTTAAAAGTATATTGATTTCGCTATGCCAATGCAACACTAAACGATAATTTCAGTCCGCAATCCTCTGTTTATAGATGGGTAAACATCGATAAAAATATCAATATACTTGAAACTTAAATATCTAATCTATCTAACCACGCTATCTCATAGTGTAGGCTCAGAGCAAATAATTAGTTTTCCTCGTTATTTCTGGACATCCTGTAATAGAGTATATGGAGGAAACCTCAGGGGGAAAGGTCTGTTCCCTGAGGCAGTCTAATTATTAGTTAAAAGGTTGTAATTATTCCGGAGACATATTTCGTAATTGACTCTCCGTCGTTGGTTCCAGCGAAGCAAGGGTACGTTCTGGAGCAGAACCTGCTTCGTAGCATGCAGAGCGCCTCGCCTACGGAGCGCTACAACGGCTACGGCGCCTGCCCGCTGGTCACGTCCTACAACACCTGCATCATCGCCGAGTTCCTCTACGACGGCGTGCCAAGGGAGACCATGCCGATTAATCAGGTGCCTATCCCATACCTTCACCAGAACAGACCTGCCCATTCGTACAACGGCCGAGGCCCTACCACCGTGAACACCTACCTACCCCTGACCAAAAGCCTATTTTTAACGTACATACTAATGTGGAACAGCCCTTACGTACTTTGGTGCGTTGTGCCAAGGGAGGCCCTGCCAAATAACGAAGCACATTTCTTACCCTATTTTTTGAAGTTACACTTATTTTCGTGCGTTGGCGAAGAAATAATGAACGACGCGCGTACAGCGACATGAAATTAAAACCATTAGTATAGTTTGATATTTATATTTATTTTCAAATATGTAAAAATAACTTATTGGGTTAGGTTTATTTTGCTACACCCTAGAAGTATAAGTTCCTTTGTACATAGTATATACACATTCCCCTTCTCTTTTGTTTTAACCAATCCTAGAAGGTACTTTTGATTGTGTTTTATATTTATCCTTATTTTTAGGCGCGAGAGAGCATTTTGGCGTACTACATGAAGAGAGATCTCTTCCCCTTCTTGTACTGGAACTTTATGCTGAAAGGGAACTACAACGGGCCTGAGTTTGTAAGAAGAATTATCAATCCATTCGCCAAGTAAAAAAGTATTTTTTTTAAGTTTAATAATGGTGAGCGATCGATGTATAGATCGGTTATTATTATACATAGTGTCCGATAAAAGTCACAAGCAATAAAATATACATTAAAGTAGACTGCATATTATTTTGTACTAATAAAAGAATAATATCACTAAAACATTTTACGAAAAACGTCAAAAACGAAATTTTAATCAAGTGTAATGGTAAAAATCAATCTTTAATCTGTGGAATTTTGTAGTTATTAAATTTGTTGTTCCCTTGTTGTGCTTCTATGGTAAGTGCTGTATATACTCAAAAGAAAACTTTAGTACCTGTTTATAAATGTTTAAATAGTTTTTGGACGAATTGAATGAAAAAATATTTTTATATGAATTTTTTATGTTTTATTGTTGTATGTAAATTTATAATACTGTTAATGAATCACAAATGTGTATTTCAAAAATGAAATTTTTTATTATAATTTATCTGTTAGTGTAATTTTTGACGGTAGGGAGTTAAAATATATCTCATTGGATTTAAAATTTACGTAATAAGCAAGAATGAAGCATTGTTCTTTTAATATATTGTTTTTTTTTTTCTTTAATAAATACAATTACAATTATGGAATGTATTTCAAAGACAATAAATATAACTTCATCTTCAGAGATGACTTTTATTACTCGAATTTTTAAGTCAAAGAAAAGACCATAGTTAAATATCAACTAAAATTTCTTCAGTTCAATTGATTTGGTATAAAACTGAAAGGAACTTTGTTTTCAAACTAATGTAGTTTCATATCGTATGTAAGCATACATAATACTTCTTAGTATTTTTGGAATTAGTTTTAACCTGTAGACAATGTTTTTATTATATTTTAATATTGGAAAGTCATCACTGTCTAATTGTTTTTTCTTTTTAAAGAATGTATGTAACATAAGGCTTTAACCGAAATATACTTCATTTTTTTATAACTTTGTTTAATTTTTTATGTTATAAAAACAAATCTTGGGGTTGATACTATTATATTATATTAAAATATATAAAGGTTTTCTTTCTATAAATACTCTACGAAATATTAAAAACAAATCATCCGCCCACTGGCACCTCTCTGTTCTTAAAATTGTCACCTAAGTTAACACAAACAGTCACAATTATAAAAAAAAAAACACAAAGTCACAATTATATATCACAGTATATGGCTAAAACAATGCAAATCATTACATTATTATTTATTCATTTTATAATATTTTTAAATATTACAATAACATTTTAAGAAGTTTGTAATATTATAAGAAGAATTTAAAAAGAATTATCGTCATGATATAATCGTAGTCAATCAAACATAATAAAAAACGCAATTATTAAAGTTTTTATATTTACATTTGAAAACGTTTTCGTGTTGACTTTTACAGTACATACCTACATATACATACATTTTACTATCTTATTCAAATCTAGATGGTTAGAATGTCTAAATGACAAACAAAATGTAATTATAAAAACAAACAAAAAAATCTACAAGTTACAAAAAATATAATACCACATGGCCCTATCTTGTTATAGATTAAATTGTGCTCCGTTAACTTTAACCAGACATTACTATGATCTAGGACCTAGCACGCGCAGCCGCAAGTAAGAAAGCTTTCGATTCAGCTCTTAACTAAGAAGATTATAGTCAGCATTTTAAATGGTGTGCGCATGTCGATTTTACATATGTACTACAAATCGCACCCGAAACCCTCATCGGGATGTATTAAAATTACGACAATCTTTGTTTCGTAATATGGCGGTAAATTTGTGCTCGGACTATGGCGAACGTCTTTTGCACAAAACAGAAATAAGTTTAAGACATACAGTTTTCTGTTTAGACAAATTTACTACATGTTACATAAAAGTAAAATAAAGTTTTAAGTAGTTATCAAGATACATTTAAAAATTTACTACATGTATCTAATAGCAGTAAAAAGATGGAGAATTACACACTCCCACACTATAATAGCAGTTACTGCTTGGGCTATATTTCTCTATCTATATTTAGGCACAGTAAGGTTCCAGATCTGTGTCAGTAGTATAAAGTTTATGACCCACCCAACCCTCCTTGGGAAACAAACACCCATATCCGGAAAAATTATCTGTGGGACAAATACTTGTCCAATGTTGTTAGAATCGAACCCACGACCCCCGACGCCGAAGCCAATAGCTTAAGAACGGCGCCACCGAGACATCAACGATGACATAAAACAGCTGTGCAATACTTGTTAACGGTAGGTATAAATTAACAGCTATGGTACTGTACTTCTACTTAGTACGTTTTTAGATGTAAAGTATTGGTTCTTGGAGCCGGAGCAGGAGGTTGCAGCATCGCATGGAGACTGTCAAAAACAATACGGGGCAAGGACATTATTGTATTGGAACCGTCGGACGTAAGTGTTGTTAAATAAAAGTTAACGTTACAAATCTAATAGTTCATTTCCATAGCGATCAAAAACTCTAATATCATAGTAGTATTTATTAGAAACTAAGCTATAACACGATAGATTAATCACAACTTAAAATGATGTGAAATATACTAAATTACTTCGTTACGGAACATTCCCTATAATATTCAAAAGCCCATCCATTTTACAAGAAATTATCTTAATTATCTTAAAAAAGAGCTCGGAAGTTTAAACCGGTACGACTTAGGAATATTCGAGAAGATTGCCCATTTTTAACTGTTTACTTTAGAAGTCAAGTGATGACCAGATTTTGGTTAAAAAAACTACTTTCCCAACTCTTACACAAAAATACCACTCTCCACCATATTGCATCGTTTTAAAGACATCAAATCACAACTTACAGGTACACTATTATCAACCTATGTTTTCGCTGGTCGCAGCAGGAATTAATAAATTTCCACAAAGCCATAAAGGGGTGTGGAATGTTTTGCCACAAGATGTCGTATGGCTGAACGACTACGCGGATGAAATCGATCCCTACAAAAATGTGGTGCATACGAGACAATTCCAGAAAATTCACTACGACTTCATGGTTGTGGCGGTTGGATTGAAGAACGATTACGATAAGGTAAGAGGTCGTTGTGGCTCAGTGACGACTTTGTTTTTAAATGAGTATACTCGAGAAACGCGTTCAAATCCTGATGCCGACGTGAAAGAAATTGTGAATTAAGTGCTGTTTCCACGTAAAATAAAAACGTATTAAAATAAAATCAATCCATATCGACCAATCCGCATGAGTAGAAGGTTATAAAAGAGAAAGTAATACAAAAAATATTAACGGGTTATGTTACATGGTGGGTGTGGGGTCACGTAGTGGAACATGTTAATACTCGTAAATAGGCTTAGGTTACCTTACCTTTTTTATTTAGTCAAGGCTACACGGACTTTACTTTTTAACCGACTTCAAAAGAAGGAGGTTCTATGTTCGACTGTATGTATTTTTTTTGTAGTATTAGTTTGTTACTAATAAAATATTCTACTTATAAAAAGTACAATGGTTCTACAGGTTCCCGGCCTTCTAAATGCGCTGGACGACCCGCACAGTTGCGTCACGACTACCTACTCATCGCAATATTGCGAGAAGACCTGGCGCTGCCTGCAGAGCTTCAAGGGTGGGCAGGCTCTCTTCACGTTTCCACGCCAGCCGGGCAAATGTTCCGGGGCAGCGCTGAAAATCATGTTTCTGGCAGACGACTACTGGAGGAAGGTGAGTAATTATGGTTAGGTCTTAGTTATTACAAGTTACGTACCAGCTTTCAATGTTTCACGAATGGGCAGGCTCGTCTGGGGAAAGTACTCACAGAAGACAGGCGTGAAGTTGAAGTATTATACTTAGCGCTTAGTCCGGTGATTCTTGTATCCTTGTATCTTGTATTGACTGATGTTTTTGCTTTCAGCCCCGAGACTATTAAAGCTTCATCTGACGCAGAACCGGTGGGCTAGCCAGAACCCACGGGTTTGGGCCCTCCGCTGTGGGTAGGGCCACGCATGTGCTCATGCGTGCGTTTAACTATGGTGTGTCATCTAAGGGCCATCGAGGTCGCGATTCGGTCCGAAACCCCGATGGCCGTCGACTGTGCAATTAGCTAATCGGTGGCTTGGGGCGGTGAGAACCGCCCCGGAACGCGGGTGTACCTTGTGTACGCGTTGTGTTGGTCTCGCCGTGCTCGGAGGCGAGGGCGAACTAGTGTGTTTGTTGTTGCACTAACTGTGGGTGTAGTGTTATCCGGCGGGAGTCCGGTGATTGAGGTAGCCGGGGCTCACTTTTTTAATGGTTGACAACGCATTTGCAACCCTTCAGGTGTAGTATAAGTTCAAGGGCGGCGGTAATCACTGACAACAGGTGGACTGTCTGCTCGCTCACCAGCTTTTAGCATAAAAAATACTGTCTTGATATGGGACAAATTAGCTGTTACCTACTAACTAAAATTCGTCTAATATATGAAATTTAACAACTCTGTTGTATGAACCTTTGCAATGATAAATTATGTTGTATAAATTAAATAAGGTGTTTGTTCAGTTATAACATTTTTGTTCAGGAAGAGTGGCTTCCTCTGACATAGGTGCTTCTGTACCTAATAGAGGAAGTAGACACTTAAATTGTGGAAAAAAAATAATAGAATAAACATCTATTCTATTCTAATAAAAAGTGTCATGTCATAGCAATCACAACAATTGAATTTAATGTGTAAATACGTTACTATCGAATGTATATTTCATGTTACAGCAAAACTTACGCCAATTAGCCAACATAACATTCAATACCGGAGCAAAGGCTCTGTTCGGGGTGCAGAAATATTCGACCGCTCTGACACAAATAGCGGCCAAGAAAAATATGGCTGTCAATTGTGGTCTTGATTTGATTGAACTTACTCCGAGAGGGGCAAAGTTCATTACTGAAGATGGCCAGGTAAATAACCTCAATTATTTATTTATTTAAAAACGACACCATCAGTACATACATTCAACGTTTAAGTAATAAGCTAAACGTAAAAATTCTCATGCATATAGCTGATTATGAGACACAACTTTGTTGATTAGGTGACACAGCATTGTAATGTATCTATGAATAATATTTGTGTTATCAACTTGCATCTTGAGTATTCCTTAAAACCTTCTCCCACATTAGATAATATAATATTTTTCTTGTAAAGTTCAAACTTCCAACATTAAATTTAAAGGGTGTGTTTAACGAACATTAAAAAGCTTTTATTTTACGTTATCTCGTATTAATAAAGGGACACGTTGTTAGAAGACATACATAGGTAGAAAATAAAGTAACCGTTTGGGATATTACACATTTTAACGACTCTTGAAGGTTTTTTATTGTGCCTATTTTGGGTATCGGGGAAGAAAATATTCCAAAGACGGGGAGAATACACGTGTTTGTGTGCTCCTAAACATCTAAAAGCCAGTCGAATGGGACTCCGGGACTTAAACACTGCATGTGATCACCCGTCTGAGAAAATTATCGTTCACAACGATAATTTGAACGATTAAAAACAATCATCGTTATTCTCGAATTAATTTCAGACAATAACCCTTCCGTACAACTTTTTGCACGTCACACCGCCGATGTCGCCGCCCACTTGCCTCGCGAAATGCGAGGAACTGGTGACGGGGGACGGTTTTCTGGACGTGGACAAACACACTTTACAGCACAAGAGGTTCCCCAATGTATACGGCATCGGAGACTGCACGAGCACGCCGAACAGCAAAACTGCCGCCGCTGTCGGTAAGTGCTAACAACTTTACGGCACAAATATTGCGGTATTGCAAAAGTATAGAACACACCTCTAAATAATATAATGCCTATTGAATTTAATATTGGATAATTTTAACGTATATATTAATATATTACAGGTTGATTTTATAGTCGAAGTGAGAATTCCACGATTCAAAAATAATATTGTTTTATCAATAGGGTGACTACTCTTTACTCGATAAACAAACAATCTTTGAATTGATATTTTTCTGGTTATTTCTTGTCAAAATAAAATATTAATATTTTTTTTGAATTATGGAATGCTCATTATGTCAAAGTTTTGTACTTCGTCTAAAAATCAACCTGTATATGTATGTACCCTTCCGGATTTATGCACTATGCACCCTAGATGGGGGTTTTAGTTGGAGCGAGTCCGACATACGCCCTTGCCCTCGCGTGGGACGGGTATGCGATGCTTTGCACCCCTCCCCCCCATCCCCAAATCATATAATAGAAAAAAAAATCAACCACATTGGGACTTCTTTCTCCAGCTCGCCAAAGCTACGTTGTCGAACGCAACCTCATGAAGACCATGGAGGGGCATGTACCCATCGTCAAGTACGAAGGCTACGGCGCCTGTCCCGTGTTGACGTCCTACACAACTGGGATACTAGCCGAATCCGTTTACGATAAGCGGCCCAGCGAAACCTTCCCTTTTGATCAGGTTTGTTTGAATAATGTTATACAATTGTTGAGGACGCTGTGACGTATTTCTTTTTTTTTTTTTAAACATTGCCTTTACTCTAGGATAACATTATTCTGTGTTGTAAGGACGTTTTACAAACATAAATTTCACGCGGACAAACACCCAGATGCGAAACAACGAATCTGTGGGTCACAAAAATAGTTGTCCCGTGTGGGGATCGAAACCACGATCGACGCCGGAGCCAATACCTTGGCAACTGCGCCACGGAGTCATCTATTTCAAATTGGCAAAATATAATTTCGGCAATACTCAAGCATAATGAACACCTTTGACGGGATAGAAAATATTGTCGATGCATAAACTATACTGTTAACATAAACAGTTGAGTTTATGAATTACATTTCAACAACGGACATAATGGATGAAGCTATGAGCTATGAGAAAGCCAGCAATATCATTGTTCCCTTTGTTATGTTCTAAATTGCAGACATTCTATTTTTATTCTTATTATTTTTATTATATTCAGTAGCCGTGATAGCTCAGTGTCCGGGCGCTCGCCTTTAGTTATACTCGAGCAACCTGAGTTCGATCCCCGGTGCCGGCACCAATGAAGTTTTTAACTTGTGCTGACTTATCACGTGCTCCGCGGTGAAGGAAAACATCGTGAAGAAACCTGCATATTTTCGAAATAATAACAAAAAAAATATATTTAGAAAATATGTGAAGTCCGCCAATCCGCAGTGGGGGGCCGCGTGGTGGACTATGCCCTGATACCCTCTCTATATAGAGGAGGCCTTTGCCCAGCAGTGGGACATGTATAGGCTGTTACTTTACTTTTTTATTTTTATTAATCGTAGACAGATTGTTCCTTGATAGCTCATTGTCCGAGCGCTCGCTTTTAATTCAATAAACTCCAGCAAATTGAGTTCCATTTCCGGAGCCGGCACCTTATTAATTTTAAGTGCTGACTTATCACGTGTTTAGTGGTGAAAATAAACATCGTGAGGAAATCTGCATATTTTCAAAATAATAACGACAAATATATTTCTAAGATATGTGAAGTCCGTCAATCCGCAGTGGGGACACGTGGCAGAGGCCTCTGCCCAGCAGTGGAACATATTTACAATCTTAATAACTTGTAGAACGTATAAAATATTATACACTTGTACATGCAAGTTATGTATGAATTTTAACTATTTTAGAGCAAGGAACGAAGATTGCTTGGATATCTGACCAAAAACTATTTACCGTATTTATATTGGAACAAATTGATAAAAGGAAAATGGAACGGGCCTCTAACTCTACGCAAATTCGTCAACCCCTTCGAAAGATGAAAACGTGAATATTCATAAGAAATTCTTTTATTACACTCTTAAATCACAATAAAACGTCTTTGATCCACAAAATAAGCACATTGTAAATCCTTAAAAATATGTTAGATAAAAAGAAGCATTTTATTTACAATAAAAAATTACATATAAAATCTACTTTATTTCAAATGTTATCATCAAATATTCTCTACGGCTATAATTTAAGTTTAATTATTTGTTTATAAAAACTTGATGTATTAGGAACGTATACAAAACTATATTTTAATACTGATGAGTTTTTTTTAATTCAAAATAATGTTCTTACAATATTTTAAGATTGTCGCTCCGCCGCTACTGATGTTTTGTGTGGGCATTGCGTTGTCTTGTTTACGTGAAAGTTGGTAGACTTAAACGCTAAATAATTTTAAGGAATAGCAAATACCTAAACGTTGCCTATTTGGAATATCGTCCTAATATTAAATGTAAAAATCTTAACTTACATGTATTCCCATAACTTATTGGTTACAGTATTGAGTTACCAATATTTAAAATTTTATGTACGTTGTTGACAAACTTAAAACGTTATTTTTCAACTTTTTTTTTTAAATGGTTTATTTTGGAGCTCGTGGCGAAACGCATGTGACGTGATTGTAGATTGCAACTACTTTGGCCGAAGAGAGATCTCATAAGTCGAAATCTCGGAAGTATCATAATTTCGCATTTCGCCTGTTGAGTGAGGTTTCCTCCCTTTTTTTTAATTTTGGCGACGCCTACGCAACCCATTAGCTGTTAAAGCTGTTCATGGAAGGCGGTAATCACTTAACATCAGGTGAATCGCCCGCTCGTTTGCCAACATTTTAACATGAAAAATACAACAAGCCACAACGATAAATACATGGTTTCGCCCCTCACTATTGAACGAGAGATATTGCTGCTGCCTAATCAATCCCAGGGGGATTGAAGAAGGGACAGTGGAACCGACGTCAAATATATAATGTTCACTGTGCGCGGATTATTTGCTTTACGGTCGGTTTCAATATTCAATCTACAGATAGATTTGGTTACTGGAGATAGAATTTTGACGTAAGTATTATGGAGCTGATGTCAAATACCTAACGCTAGTAACCAAATTTATATGTGGTAAAGTGTTTTGATACTGGTTCGATCGCCTCCGTCGGATGGAGACTGCACTGACAGATGTTGCCAGTGCAGTGTTCGGGCATCGAGCGGATTAATTGAATTATATTTAAGCATTCCTTTCTTCCTATAGGATGGCGTAATAGTTATTCACCGCCTTACCGTTCGTGCCGTAATTACCCGAGCTGACAGAGTGGCTTCTTCTCGGCTACACGACTTCACTAATTAGGGGATTAATGGGAATCCATTCCCCGATACTGAGCCTGGCAACTTCCTGAGTTCATCATGCCCGGTGTTATCTTCTTTATGAACAATTTGGTTAGACACAATTCGTAAAACCCGTATTTTTTTACAACGCATTGTTTACATGGCAATTAAATTCATTAGGAAGATTTCCAACATTACACATGGTATTTATACATATATCGCAGTCATTTCATTCGTAAGTTATAAATCAATATTATAAAAAAAGTTACAATATTTATCGATCCAGACATTTAACGGAACTTAATTAAAATTAAAAATAATAATCTCTATATATGTTTACAACTTAATATTTTAATCTTTGCCCAACTTTTTTAAACCCACTCGCTATCCACACCGTAAAATATGTCTTAAGAGTAATAACAGATGTGAATTGTGACATATTTTATTGATGTTGCCAGACGCTATATGACAGTTTGTACTGTCGTCAGCCATAGACAAATCTGTTATTTTGCTATCTAGACTCTGTTTAGCGACGCGAACTCCTCGTTCTTTATTCCGTTGGTGTTTTTGACGTCTGAGGCGCTTTGGCGCTTTCGATTCAGCGCTGCCTGGCGGATCCTATGCCTTCTCCGGTTTCTGACTAGATAGACAGATAGGGCGATGGCCACTAACAATGCGGCAATGATGCAGCCACCCAGTATGAGCGTTAGGGAGCTGACCTTGGAGTCGAATCCCCGATCGATTGGCTCCAACTGAAACACAAGAGAATGTATTATATATCTAGGATTTAATTATAAAGCAATTTCACAAGTCAAATGCTCAAATCACGTGCGAGTTTTACTTGCGTTGGTTTTATTTACATGAATCTAGAACCGTGTAGCTCAGAGTCCGGGCGCTCGCTTTTAATTTAATTTACTCGAGCACCCTGAGTTTGATCACCGTTGCCGGCACCAATGTTATTGTTAATTTTAAGTGCTGACTTATCATGTGCTCAGCAGTGAAGGAAAACACTGTGAGGAAACCTGCATATTTTCGTAACAATAACAAAAAAAATATTTCGAAAATATGTAAAGTCCGTCAATCCGCAATGGACTAAGCCCAGCGGTGGGACATTTATAGGCTGTTACTCTACTATTTTTTTTTACTTATATCTACTACTGTAGGGCATTCAATTACAAGCAGTTTCGTGGCAGTACCCCGTTTACGTAGGGTATCGTCTTATTAATGTCTTAACATTTTAATGCGTTAACTCGTTCCAAAATTAAGCTAATAATGCACATCAAGCAATTCCTAAAATACTTTTATTGTATGAGAATGAACCTTACTTAAGCTTTAACATAATTTACTGAAATTTTAAAAATATGTACGGAATGAAAAGAAAGTACCACGTAAGTTCCATGTGGGCCGTATCTCCGCATCATTTCCCCACACATAGCCTGCTCAGTCCAGTTGTACCAATGCACTAAACGCAAACCTTCATAGGCGCGCGGCGATGCACATCTAATAAAAGACACATTAAAAATTTCACTTGTTTTTAGTGCGCTAAGTGTATTAGCGTCATAATTATATTAATATACGTTTTAAAAACGCCACATTGCTGACAAATCTGCGGTGACAATTAATGAACTCGCCACTTCCGTACTAAATCAATAAAGAAAAATCTATATGTAAAAAACTTATCGCATCTGTCAATATATCTATCTTATTTATTGGAAAATGCCTACCTGAGTTCCGTAAGCAGTCTCGAATTGCTCTTGTAAAGAAAAGGCAACAGCTCGTCCAAAATCCATTGCAACTGACAGCTACAATCCCAAGGATTATATTGCAGATTAGCACCTTCGGTCAGTGAAGACCACTCGAGGAGATCCTTCGACAAATGCGTCAAATTATTCTTGCTTATGTCTATCTGTAAAGGAGATATTTATATATCTGTAAAAACGTTCATTTTATTTATTCAATACATTTTATTTATAGAAAATAAGAGACGGTTAGGAAATCATTTGTTATTTTATATATTTATTTATTTAAAAGACAAACAGTACTGGCCAATGATGTTATATACAATGCTGGCTACAGAACAAATTGGAATGAAGCTATTTGAAAAATTCAAATTTGTTCAGCGGTACAACAGAACTCTAGCGACAGGTTAGTTTGAGTACCTATACCAATTATTGTTTAGTATCCACTAGTAAGAGTAACCATAATAATGAAATGCAAATACTAACCATGCACAACGAAGTGGCATCGAAAGCGCCCTCATCTATTTCACTCAACGAGGCACAATTAGACATATAGAGGTAGAAACAATTTCTTTCGTTTGCCGTCTCATCCCCCCTTCCAATGACATTGCTAAACGCCTTGTCCTTTACAGTAACCAATTTATTCATATCATTCAAGTATAAATTTTTTAATGATAGAATATTCTTGAAATAAATGTCTTCAACGGGGTTACCATCCATTCGCAATTCCTCCAATTTCGGTAGGATTTGACTGCTGAGACATTTTGGTACGTCTTTTATAAAGTTGTAAGAAATGTCTAAGCTGAACAGTTTTGGCAGTTTCTTTTCCATATTAATTTCTTTTATCTGGTTGCCTCCGATATTAAGAATCTGTAATAGTAATATACAATTATTACGTTAGAATGATCGAAAAGTTTTTTAGGTATAATAACAACAAACGAGACTTCGACTACAATCATTAAAATAAACTGGCAACTTCGATTACTGCATTGACAAGTAATAAAAAGTCTTGTTATATAAAAAAAATCATAAATTATAACGTCCGAACAGTATTTACCTCTAAATTATCAAATTCAACGTTGCTTTCATCATACATATCCGAGAGTCGGTTGTACGATAAATCAATGTAAGTTATGCCACTGGGAAATGTGGGCCAGTGGTACAAAGTGTTTATTTTCAATATGGCAATCTGTAGAGATGGTGGCAGTGCAAAAGTGAACGTTATGTTGTTCTGGGCAAGATTCAATTCACGTAAGCTGGTGCAGGTTACGAATGCAGTTTCCTCTACTATCTCAATCACGTTGTTGGACAGGTCGAGAAGTTCGCTGGAAAACGGACATCGTTATTATTTCCCCCAATTACTAGTCAAATCATAGATAAATCCTTCCTAAGATTACTAATAGAAAATAAGATAAATTTGTTGATTTCCTCCTTTTGCTGCATGTTTCAATATTCAAAGGGCCTACAACAATGAAAAAAATCAAACCTTCAACTTTACAACAAATATTAAAGCTTTTTAATTTATCTTATAAATTCGAAACAAACTTTATATATTCAAAAGTCGCGTACTGAGAAGTAATTTTAAAGCAAATTTAATTATAAAAGCAGTTTGGGCAACAATGCAAGATAAATCTACTAAAATTTTAAGCTATTTACCTAAACTGAAAATTGTAAAACTGAAGTATGGCACTAAATGAAAAACGGGAATTACGGGAAAAATATTCGATTTTTTAGCCTTACAACGTTTCTTTTGTAGTACTAAGATAAGTAAACCTTCCTATAACTACTTTATTTTAGGAAGATTTAATCTTAAATAAGGCAATCTATTGAGAAGATGGTAGTGCAATAGTAAAGGTTATGTCGTTCGCAGGAGGATTAATTATCAAAAAAACTAGTGCAATTTACAAAGTTAATATAAGGAAACAAACAAAATTCACTAACAATACACAACGAGCGTAACGAACAAGCACTTACATACTATTGTTCACGGGAAATGATTCCTTCGTCACGGATCTTATCCTGTTGCCGCTCAGGCTTAATCTTTTAACGACTTTAAACGGTTCGCTCTCCACCCTGCGCAGTAGAACGTCGTAAATGCCGTTCTTGCTCAGATCCAGATCTTCCAACACCAGCATGGGCTCCAACGCCCCCACGGGGATCTTCTTCAATAGATTGCTTTGCAGATTTAACCTCTTCAAGCCGCGCAACAACGTGAAATCCAACGGATTCAGATTTGCTAGCTTGTTGTATGAGAGATCCAGTTCCTCCAAGCTCTCGATGTTCGTAAATAGATCGGGCGTGATCTCAACTAGCTCGTTCTGCGAGAAGGAAAGCCTCTTTAGGTTCGGGACGTCGCTGAAGGGGTCCGGCCAATACGTCTTGATGGCGTTATTACTAAACCTTAATGTTTCAACTTGCGCGTTTTGCGGTAGTCTGAAAGTTGTTAAATAAAAAATAGTATTTCCCAAATTATTATTAGAACTTGTGCCGCAGGTCACGCGGTTGACATGAGACAAATGTAAAATACTACGCTAGTTTTTCGACCCGATTGGCGCAGTGGATAGCTGACCTGTCTCCCGCGCCAGAGGGTGTGGCTTCGATCCCCACTACTGGAAAAATGTTGTGTGATAAACACAGTGTTATTCTAGAGCCTGGGTGTTTATATATCTATAACATGTATTGTCTGAAGTATCCATACTACAAGCTTTTCTTTGTTTGGGACTAAGAAGAAAGGAAAAATAAAATAAATTTATTTGCCAAAAAAGGACGCACACAACAAAAAACTAGATAACGTTGTGTAAAAATATGTCTTGAAATATTTATTAAGTGTTTATTTATTTATTGGTGAAACGAGTTTTTGTAGTTTTATGAGTGTAGTTTTCTTTAAAAATTCTAAAAGAAAGGAATGGTTACGCCTTGAAGAAAAAGCAAAAGTCAAAACATATTGACAATCATGAATTAAAATCACCTTACACAATCATTTATAATGATTATAAATATATATAATTATGTTTATTATAATTTATGGCCTATGTTCAGCAGTGGACCCAAACGGGCTGAAATGATGATGATGATGGTGAATCATTTATAAGCGAGTTTTAATACATATTTAGAGGAAAGTGTGTATTTCTGAAGATGTATGCAAACCCGGACATTACCTATATCCACACGTATGGGAATGCAATATATTGATAACGCTCAAATTATTCCAATAACACAACCATTCTTCACTGTGGTAGGACCCTCCTTTACCGTGATAGGACCAGCTACTGCTGTGGCACGTTTGAGCAGACTCTTCTACCACGTTCTAAAGTTCTTTCATTTATCGCCTTCGATAAATGAAAATATTACAGCTCTGTGTTTCGTCCGTTGAGTGAGGTAACCTGGCTCAACGTTTTTAACTTTTTGGCAGCGCGTCTACTAGAGTTGCAGATGTCGGAGTTGTAAACGTCCACAATCGTTAATCTCTTTTAAGATCAGTGAGAACCGCCAGCTCGCTAGCCACCTCTTCACATAAGGAAAATGATGGGTATCGTTGGAACCAGATTTATTGCCCTATATATTATGCAAAAAATAAAGTAAAAACAACATTAACAATCTTTGTGATTATTTAAATGAAAAATTTTAAAAAGACAGGAATAGTAAAAAAATAGCAATTAATAATATTTTAATAACTATGAAAAAAAAAAATTAAATAAAGAGTGACCATACTAAAAAATGTTAACTGTTACACGTATAATCAGTACATATTACATGATCAATATTATGTAATATACATAATAAAAGAAAAACGACGTACGATAAGCAACTTTATTTCAAAAATCTAAAAAAAATCCTTGATTCACTCCCACTTGAAACCGAAACGGTAATTCTATCATTTCCACACACGGGTGTCCCAAAAGTCAACTAAAGTAATTCATTCACACATGTACCGAAATTGTTGTTCATTCCTTTTTCTACATGTCTTAATCACTAAGGTCTGTCATTTTACAGTTTTGCGGACAAAATTTGCGCAACCAATATGACCTATAGTTGCAAAATCACTCATTCAATCAAACGTGAATCGTTCAATCTATCTAGTATAAAACGTCTGTTGGGTTAAAATGGGAGAACGAATATGTCACAAAATGCTGCCAAGACAGCAAGACGCCTTTGTATGGCGTCTGCTTGTTGTTAACAAGAACTCATTTAAACAAAAGTATTAAATTTTTAATTCGTATTTCCGATTTTCACGTATCACAGTAGGGATTTCAAATAAAACTTAACGTCTAACTAATATTGTATAATATGTGTTCCCATTAAAATCTCGATGACTTTTACTTCAGCCATATTCATATAATATAATATGATAACATAAAATATGGAAACTTTCCATTAGTGTACCATATCCGCTAGAAGACTTGTACATTATTATGTGATATACACCTCTGTAAACTTAGTAAGTCATTGTTACTCTGTAGAAACTAGCAACCAGCAGCGGTTTGACTTTCGCAGTCAACATCAGGATTATTTACGATTGCAAAAGGGCTTGAACATAAAAAGATGCAAATTGGAGGTCATAAGATCGATAAAGGTAGGGCTTAGTAGCGATTTCCTTAGTTTGACCGTAACTTAAAAAGTAGGAAACACAGAAGTCAACAAAACCCTTAGAACCTCCATAAGTACATAAAACATCATTTACATAAGTGTTTTAATATAGTGCTAGTATAGAACACCCGAATGTTCAAGTATAGAGACTGATTGAGAAATAATCCCTACTATATACGTTGAATTATTTATTTGACACATGTTCGCCCCGCCGTATACACAGTTCAACAGAAATTGTGCTGAGATCACATCGATAAGAAGATCGCTTCCTGTGCGGTTAAGATTCGCAACGCAAACATCTGCGGCACAGATCTGCGCTTTGATTGATGGGCGATATGAAGCTAGCCGCATTGTGATAACACGGCCGTCGACCTTCGGAGCAATTAGAAACAGGTGGAGACCCTGATAAGAAGACTTAAAAATTTGCCATTCACACAGTTTTCTGTGTATTTGTAAGTAGCAACACATGTAAGGGAAATCCAAATGCAATTAAATCAACCACAATCAAACTCAATATAGGACCATCGTAACTTTTCACGGCGTAAAGTAAGCCAAAAGAAACTTTGTTAAACAGAGTAACTATACTAACACTTTTCAGCGTGTTAAAGATTAATTTGTTTACACAAAGCTGCATTATCTTTGAGTACGCCTAACGCTAATCATTTGTATTGGAAATAGGTAGATAAAATGTAGAAATATTAAAACCAGTTTATGGGCTATCGTCTAGGCCTGACGAAACTGTTTACGTTATAATCTGTACGCTTATTTTCAGTAAGTAATTAGTAAACTCATAAACGTTGAAATAACATGCGATTCAAAAAATCAAGCGAGGGAATAAGGCTACACTTCAATATTAAAAATTGCACAGATACAGAACTGTAAAAATACAAGGAAGATATAACAACAGATACATATGGTTAATATAGTGGATACGTTTATATTGTAGATAGATTTTTCAGAATTGAATAAACAAAGGATCGGTTGATAGTCTCTGATAAAGATTGATAGGAAAAGGGTGATAGGAATGATATCTTGGATCGAAGTGCATACTCATTCTACATGAGCACTGATTCATACCTATTTATTTTTAAACTTTATTGCTGGTAATCAATAAGCAAAGGCGTTTACTTTGAATTATCTACTTTTATAGCCTTTTTATATTGTCACACAACTTACGATATACCTAACGGACAAAAATCTAAAAGCTTCATTGACATAATTAATATACTCAGTGTCATAATTGCAATCATAGGGTTTTCTTTAATTTGACCACAAACATGAAGGTAACTACATCAACTAAAAAAAAAAGAACTAACAAAAAAGAAAAAACATTAGCATGCAATAGAAAGAACGTAGATAGATGACCGATTTTTGCACCGTGAGTTCATTGGCCGCTTAGCTTAGTTGGTAAAGCGTCTGGGCGCGAAACCAGAAGATACAGGTTTCAAACCCGCAGCGACGAAAGTTTTTGTTCGTTATCTACAAAAATTCACAATTTTAATAAAGTAAAAAATATATTTCTCTAAATGATATTAGATTTTAAAATATTACTTTTAATAATTATATCTAAGCGTTGTCTCATGCGCATACGGGTGCAAAACATGACAAAGTTAAAAAAGGAAAATCATAGGCACTTGACATAATAAAAGCTTATTATGACCAGCCTCTAAATGCAATTGCGATTACAAGTATGACGACCATGTGACAATGATAGCAGAAAGATGAACTTAAAATATACTTCTTTTTCATCTTCAGACAACTTGACTACCGAAAAAAACATAATTATTATCATTATCACGATAATATTACTTCAGCCTCTTTCAGAAAGGCTTAAATGTCAGTGTATTTAAAAAGTAGTTTATTCTTTAAGTCTAAAAGTTGTCGTAGAATAATATATGTATGTAGGAAAAAAAGATAAAAATCTGAAACTGAGGCCCAAATGAATGATCAGTTAGTAGTCCTTTTTCTGATGCAAAACTTTGAGAAAGTAATGTATATTTTGATTGAAGAATTTAATTGTTTGTTATATTCGTTTTAGAAAATAAAGTAACAGCACAGCTGTAAGCTATTTTTCCTTGAAATGTTACGATTATTTTCTCTTTGATTAGGTCTTTAATCATTTTAAGGTTCTATGTACTTTACGATAAGACGTCAAGGTTCCTTGGTTAACATTCTAATCTAAATTTATTACGGTACAAAACCCATAGATTGAACCATCACTGAATATTTTCTAATTATACATGCTTGTGTTCTATGTTCACTCTTATATTATGGAAACATTATATATTTATAAAATAAAATTGTTGCATCTATATTAGAAAATATTAACATACTTGCCAAGTGTGGCGAGTCCTAAACCCTCGAACGCGGCAGCAATTTTCAATCCATTGGGGTTCTCCGGCCACTGTATCTTATCCAAATCGGCTACATTCTCAATCCTATCCAACTCCGAACACAGTATATTTAACACTAAATGAGTACCATCGATGTCAGGAATTTCACTGCACGTACAAAACGAACATAATTTTATTAAACGCTGCACTTCTTCGGTCACATCGTCCGTCTCTACATTTTGACCACTGACATTGAAAATTAAAAAGCAAAACGTCAAAACTAGAATGGCGCGCATTTTTTAAATGTAAGCGCAACACGGGCACTTCCACGTTCGTGCTATAATCGTGGTGGAATGATAAAAGTCGTTATCATCGTTTTATCGCGGCATTGATGATGTATGTGTACATTGCTGAAAATGACGCAGGGTGAAGATAGTAGGATATTATACAAAAAAAAAACATTATTCACATAATGAGATCAATAAAACACTCCACTATAACGTATTATCAACCTTGTAAGATTAACCGAATAATATCAATTCACTAAACTACCTTCTTCTAAATCTGCTATTACATTCAGATCGTATTATTGTAGTACACAAATATAAAATTAAAACAAAAACTTAAAACGTTCGAACTTCAGGTGTACCAACTAAATCATAATAACTTGTATTAACAAAGCTATTAAATTCACGACGATCACATACCATAAGGTAACATGAGGAGTTAAGGAACCACGCCAATACTTGAACCTAACACTAGAATCCGTTTCTAATGACTAAGGCCAAGACACACGCGTGCCAACGCCTTCAAAATATTTTATTACTAAAATATGTCGTAGGCGGAACGAATTACGTGATTGTTTGGGACGGTGAGCTTATAATTTATACTCTTTTAGTCAATTGCCAAAATAGTGTGATGCTTCCTTATGCTAGCGTTTACTGCAACTGAATCTGAAACCATTGTTAATATGCTATCAAATAAATACTTGTATCTAAGTAAACAGTTTTTATTTCTTTTATCCATCCAAAAGTTGCCTGGAAAAATTTACTTTCAGAGATGGGGTCGTTCGTTTCTGTTCAAAAAATTTTTATTCTATCTCCAAACAAATGTGTAGTGTAGTGTATTCAAAACGTCTGTTCAATATTTATTATAAACATAAATTACACATAAAAAAATTTAGCTTCCGTATATTTGTGTCCACAAATCTCAAAAACTAGCCAATGGATTGACTAAATATGTGTTCACAAGTTAGCTTTTGAACAGGAGAGTGAAAAGCATGGCCGGGTTAGTCAGATAGTAGAGAATTTAAATTTTAAATATATATATGTAAATTCAGAATAGATTCGGTGACTAATGTGCATTATAAACAAATGACAGCCGAAGCATCTGCAGCAATGTATTACTTTTATTCTCAGAATTTATTTAATAAAAATGCATCCATACAGCGCAAGACATTTTTTACCCTTCACATATTTTTATCGAAATTTTGTAAAACTTACTTCTTACGCAATACGAGGTATATACCTGTGGGCCTGTGGTTGACGCATATAGTTGTTATCTGGGTGGCGTGCCTTAATAACTATTTAATTATGTTACACGATGATACTCAAGATTAGTTCACGAATAGTTACGCGACGTATTCGTCTACGCTTACATTTCATTATATAATTTAATAATACTTCACTTTGGTAGCTCACATATTATATGTATGTCCAAAACTTAATATCTACCTTTTTTAAAATATTCAGAGATTTTAAATGTATTAAATATAAAATTTAAGTAGTTTCATTATATCGAGGTAAATTAAAATACTACCATAACCATATAGAGTTTTGGGTTAGTATTTAAATTGTTGTCTTTATATTATTGTATTTCTTGCCTAATGAGTTACACGGGTAATGTTTATGGTAGCTGCTTAAAGCTCATTAAATTAATGGTAAGACTTGTCGTCACAACTATGAGGCAGAACAGGGCACGTATGTCACCCAATGATTTTTGAACGTGGCAATAGAAACTGAGCTCGTCAATAGAATTCTTACCCGCTACCTCGACATCGCTAGTCCAACATTATATGCACGAGAGCTCTATCTGCGAAAGGACGCTTTTAAATTTCTTTTTTATGTGAATAGTTGCCAAACGAGCAGACGGTTCACCTGATGTTAACATGTCAGCGGCAGTGAACACCGCCGCCCATGGACATCTCCTACACCCGAGGGTTTGCAGATGCGTTGACAACCTTTTTGGAAATTGGGCTCCGGATACCTCACTCACCAGACGAAACGCGAAAGTATTATACTTCCACTTTACGCCGGTCTTCTGTGAGGTCGTGGTACTTACCCGGACGAGCCTGCCCATTCGTGCAACAGCCGAGGCTGCTGCGTGGCCCTACCACCGTGGCCATATCACTTCTAATGCATCTCGCTCCGCGAATACGACATCATAACCTGGCGTAAAATAAGCGAGGTGGCCGGAGCCCAACTTTCAAAAGGTTGTCAACGCATCTGGAACACTCGGGTGTAGCAGATGTCCGTGGGCGGCGGTATTCATCTAACATCAGGTGAACCGTCTGCTTGCTTGGCAACTTTTCACAAAAAAAATATTTAATATTTGTTGCCTCAGAACTGAGTGAACCTATTTTGATGATTCTTTGAGAGCTGCTTTTTATTGAATTATTAAAGATTATTAAAGATTGATTGATATTATTAAAGCTGGTGCTTCCCATGTGGTCGCATATTAATTTCATTGGTATTGGACCTTGGGCTCCGGAGATACATAAGGAACTCCTGAGAATCAATTATAAAAAAAATAGTACAGAGCGAGATATTTGAAGTCGGTTTTGTTTTTCGTTAGTGAATATAAATAGACTTGTATGTTATCGATTTTTATTGACTGTACGCATTGCTCTCTCTTTACTGTATATCTTGTTTTTTTCTCATGTAACGAATTGAGCCTAAACCTGGCAATTATAGATTTGCCGCCATAGAAGTTTCACTTCATAAATTAAGAGTCAAATAGGAAACAACTAGTAAATTTGAAATTGAGGTTAGTTTCAACGGTTCAAGTGATCTAGTCATGATTTGTTAATACGCGTGGTGTTCGAGGCTTACAATTATAAAATTTTTGACTATTTTTGACTACAAATACAAAATTTTTGTTACCCAAATAGTTTGGTTGTTTGCTGTTTACGATGTTTGGTGTTTGAAGTTGTATAGAAGTAGTTCGCATTAAAATGAAATTAAAAAGTGCTATCAGTGTGGGAGGTATGTTGGTATATATTAAAAAAATAGTAAGAAAAATATATTTTTTATTTGTAAACAAATAATAACAAAGTAACATTGTAATAGTGATTATGTATGTTTCTTATAAAACATTTTTATTATGTATAAATTATATTTGTTCACCATCAAAAACCGTAGGTACCTATATATATATTCTTATTTTATATTTCAAAATGTCCGAGTGTCGAAAAAACTAGTGTACTTAAAATATAATCTATTTCATAGGGTTTTATTCGTTTTTAACGATTGACCACAGATAAAAATTATGAAAAAAATATAAGGACCCTGTACAAATAAACAGTTTTAATGTTAATATGGAAAAATCATATACTGATAATTATAATATAATAAGAGAATATGCCATGCATGGAATGATTAATTAAGTACATGTTTCGTTTTCCAATAGAATAAATGCTTGTCAGCCTTTAAAGACTCGGAGAAGATGAAAAACCTGAAGAAATAATACCAAAATAATATCGAAATATAATGTTATAAAATACACAGTACATATACTAAAATATACAATACATAACAGACGTAACAAAAAAACAGTATCGAAAATGTTTATAAAGGTTACGCGAATGAATTTTTTACTACGATTTTAGAATTAGTTATATATGTATATACATTGTATATTGGTAATACATATAAATAACTTAATGTAATTATTGCACCTACCAGGATTTATCACCACGCCTTCCTTCTTTTTAAGGTAATTGCAATACAGAATAAATAAATAAAAAATTGTTTTGACTTTGTACATCACAGTTATATTAAATTTGACTTGTTTGAAGAAATTGCAGAGAACAGGTTTATTAGTTTTTTTATGTACATATAAAACGTGTACAGAAAATATTATTGAAATAAGCTAAATTGCACGTAATAAAATGGCTAGCATTATCAATCTATTTTTTTAATTTGTGTATATTAATTAAAAAAAAATACATTGGAATAAAAAAGAAAGAACTTAATGATAGAAATAAAAGTTAAAAAGCATTACTTAGAAAGACGCAGGTATACAGGGAGAATTTACAAAAAGTGCCCAAATTTACACAGAAAGTTCAGACTCGGTAGTATAATCGTTTATTGAAATAAAAATAAACTTTTGTTTTTCAAAAAATAACCACTATATTCCCTAAAAAACAGAACTTGTTGACAACGCGGTAGTATTCATAAATACCTAAATTTTACCGTTCACGCACACAAACGTACTATGAATGATCGCGAGTAAAATAAATGAGTTGCGTATAAATCACTCACATTTTGAGATAAGTTAAAATGAATGTAATTATTTACTTACGAGTAATTTAAAATATTTATCATTTTTTATATAACATTATTTATGTCTAGAATTTAATTTAAAAAAAATGGATACACTTAGAAAAGCCTCCCTGTATATTATAATAAATAGAGTTGTGCTTTAAACAGTAACTTAGCAAAACATAAATTTATTATTGTTCATATTACGTGTAACGTGGATGAGCTTTTGCATTAAAAATAATTATTGTCAAAATCGATTGGCGGCCATTTTGTCTTTAGTTTTGCTTCTGTCGCGCACGTCATAGGGCGTCATGCTCCTTGAGTAAGAAGTGTCCCACTAGACGTTTCTGGATGTCGGTAACACCGCCATATATTTGGGTTCCTCTCGCGTCCCTGTAAAACGCAGCAGGATGTTAGATTATATGTGAAACATGAATATGTTATTGGTTATTGTCATATTGACAGACTTAACTATTTAAATAAACATTAAAAACTTTTTCGTGTGTTTCGAAGTAGTATTAATAGTAATAGTCGCCGTTTTAATAGTCGCCAGAGCTATTTCCGGTTGTTATAATTTACGGAGAATGAGGTAGGCTCCGCGCGTTCTGCACATAAACCGTAGAGGCAAAGAACTAAGGCGCGCCGTAATACATCCTAATATCCAAACTAGTCTTGCTAACAAAACTGTTCTTTGCAACTGCATATACCTGTATATACTGCAATTACACCTACATGCATAAATTCTACTTCATTTCAAACGAAAATTTCATTTATGCACTAGTACATATTATAAACACCTAAACAATTGATGTTATTATGTGTTATATCTAATTGATGTTATTCAATTAGCTGTTGCACCCGCATAGAGATCTCATATGAACTAGTGAACGCGTAATCCCCAATTGACGGACGTAAATACTTTTATGTTCTGGAATTTGAATGAATGAATGAGTGAATGAATGAATATTAATAATCAGACGAATAGACCTGTAGTGGCGCTCGGCGTCGTAGTTGGTGGAGAGTCCGCGGCCGCCTAGGATCTGGACGCAGTGGTCGGCCACCGCGGCGGCGCTCCTCCCCGCCACGTACTTCGCCATGGAGCTGTTCTTCGTGCTCAGCTCGGTGGCGGCGCGGTACGTGAGCAGGCGCGCCGACTCGACCATTATGCACATGTCCGTCAGCCGGTCCTGTTCCACCAAACATGTCTATCTCAGAGGCCTGTCCCTGTACTAGCTTCACACCCTTCAGGTACCAAGCTAGGGGAAGACAGAGAGGGATTTGGATGGACTGTGTGAAGGACGATATGTCTGCAAAGAAGTAAGGCGCCCCGTCTCGACACTTTATGCACATGTCCGTCAGCCGGTCCTGTTCCACCAAACATGTCTATCTCAGAGGCCTGTCCCTGTACTAGCTTCACACCCTTCAGGTACCAAGCTAGGGGAAGACAGAGAGGGATTTGGATGGACTGTGTGAAGGACGATATGTCTGCAAAGAAGTAAGGCGCCCCGTCTCGACCATTATGCACATGTCCGTCAGCCGGTCCTGTTCCACCAAACATGTCTATCTCAGAGGCCTGTCCCTGTACTAGCTTCACACCCTTCAGGTACCAAGCTAGGGGAAGACAGAGAGGGATTTGGATGGACTGTGTGAAGGACGATATGTCTGCAAAGAAGTAAGGCGCCCCGTCTCGACCATTATGCACATGTCCGTCAGCCGGTCCTGTTCCACCAAACATGTCTATCTCAGAGGCCTGTCCCTGTACTAGCTTCACACCCTTCAGGTACCAAGCTAGGGGAAGACAGAGAGGGATTTGGATGGACTGTGTGAAGGACGATATGTCTGCAAAGAAGTAAGGCGCCCCGTCTCGACCATTATGCACATGTCCGTCAGCCGGTCCTGTTCCACCAAACATGTCTATCTCAGAGGCCTGTCCCTGTACTAGCTTCACACCCTTCAGGTACCAAGCTAGGGGAAGACAGAGAGGGATTTGGATGGACTGTGTGAAGGACGATATGTCTGCAAAGAAGTAAGGCGCCCCGTCTCGACCATTATGCACATGTCCGTCAGCCGGTCCTGTTCCACCAAACATGTCTATCTCAGAGGCCTGTCCCTGTACTAGCTTCACACCCTTCAGGTACCAAGCTAGGGGAAGACAGAGAGGGATTTGGATGGACTGTGTGAAGGACGATATGTCTGCAAAGAAGTAAGGCGCCCGTCTCGACCATTATGCACATGTCCGTCAGCCGGTCCTGTTCCACCAAACATGTCTATCTCAGAGGCCTGTCCCTGTACTAGCTTCACACCCTTCAGGTACCAAGCTAGGGGAAGACAGAGAGGGATTTGGATGGACTGTGTGAAGGACGATATGTCTGCAAAGAAGTAAGGCGCCCCGTCTCGACCATTATGCACATGTCCGTCAGCCGGTCCTGTTCCACCAAACATGTCTATCTCAGAGGCCTGTCCCTGTACTAGCTTCACACCCTTCAGGTACCAAGCTAGGGGAAGACAGAGAGGGATTTGGATGGACTGTGTGAAGGACGATATGTCTGCAAAGAAGTAAGGCGCCCCGTCTCGACCATTATGCACATGTCCGTCAGCCGGTCCTGTTCCACCAAACATGTCTATCTCAGAGGCCTGTCTGCACATGTCCGTCAGCCGGTCCTGTTCCACCAAACATGTCTATCTCAGAGGCCTGTCCCTGTACTAGCTTCACACCCTCCAGGCACCAAGCTAGGGGAAGACAGAGAGGGATTTGGATGGACTGTGTGAAGGACGATATGTCTGCAAAGAACTAAGGGGCACCGTCTCGACCATTATGCACATGTCCAGCCGTTCCCGTTCGACCGAATGTTATCTTAGATGGCTGTTCCGACAAGAAAACATCTTTTTACAATAAAAATAGGTCTTAAAATATTACGTACCTTAACTGATGGCAGCCTCGTTAGGTTCTTACCGAAAGCCTCGCGCTCCTTAGCGTAGTTTATGGCCGTGTCCAACGCAGCTTGAGCAATACCTAAGAGAAGAACAAAAGAAGAAAGTCGACTATTTAAATTGTAAAAGTAACGAAAAGTAACAGCCAACATATGTATGATTGCTAGGCAAAGGTGCGATGCCATTAGCAGACTTCTCATATCTTCGCAATACTTTTTTAGTAACAAACGTAACTAATTCAAGAAATTAGATTGCTAATTGAAATTACGTTGCCTAACTCAATCCTCTAGAATAAGGGCCCATTTACACGATGCCATTTTCTTGTACATACAAGAGCAATAATTGAATGCAATAAGTTGCACGCAATAATTGACCATCAAGAACTGTAAGCAACAGTTTACACGCAGATATAGTAAAAAAAATTGAATGCGATTATTGAATGCAAGTCTTACAAGAAATAATTGCAAATGTCTTTTGTTTACACCAATGCAATTATGTTTAGGCGATTATTGCTTTCAAGTTTTGACTTGTCTAAACACATGCTTGTATGTGCGTGTACAATTTATTGGTGTGTTGCTTCAAGTATTGCACGTATTTGCGTTGACAAATTTTTCATGCAAGTGTTGAACGTTTTACAAAATTGTTTTTTTTTTTTAAATATTTAAAAAAAAAAAAAACAATTTTGTAAAACGTTCTATATTATATATAACGTTTAAATATTTTTGTTTTTTTACAAAATTGTTTTACAAAGTTGTTTTTTTAAAAAAATGGCTCAATAATAAGTGTTCAAGTTAGATTATGCCGATTAAATATATTTCATTGAGATTTATTTATTATGATCCATATATTATTATTCATATTTTTATCCAACTTTTTTACGACCTTTTCTCAATATTTCTATCCTCAAAAGAACAGCAACGATTTAATACCCTCACTCATTGCACTAATTTTTGCAAAGGAAGAGAGAATACAATTGAATACAAGAATTGCTTAAGAAATTATTGTGTGTGCTGTTTACACCAAGGAAAGTTTTAAAACAAAACTTGAAGCAAGTCTTGTTCAACAGTCCAGAATGTTATGTGCTGCTTAGACAATGCAACTCATTTATTGCTTCAATTTAATTGTATATAACAGGCAAGAAACTTGCACCGTGTAAATGGGCCTTAAGTTTTATTATTTCAAAACACTCGTTCTTAGTTGAAGCATATAGTATAAATTACAACGGTTTATGTTGCTAATCAAATGCAATTTTCGAAACATTTCTCAACGAAATTGCCAATAACCAACCGGGCGATAACAAAACAAAATTTTATATAGGGGATAAAAAACGACTTTTACATCGCGTCATTGTCTTCATCAAATCTGCCTGCCACTCTATTTCCTATTCGACAGCTGTCAGACGTCTGATGTCTGTCAAAGTTTTTTTTATGTGACAAGATGGCAAGCGAACTGGCGGTTCACCTGATGTTAAGTAATAGTGTGTGTGTTGCCACCTTTTAATGATGTTGGCTCCAGTTACTTCAATCACACCTTCACTTCACGCCCGTCTTCTGTGAGTCGCGGTACTTCCCCGGACGGACCTGCCTGTTCGTGCGACAGCGAAGACTGTTGCGTTGCTACCACAGTTGTTTCCCAATGACATTGCCAATATCCGACGGGACGATACGAAAAAAATTATATCCGGGATCCAAAACCACTTTTACATCGCGTCAATGTCTTCATCAAAGCTGAAACGTGGCGAACGGTGTCGCGTGTGACAGCTGTCAGCTGTCAGGCATATGACGTCTGTCAAAGTGACGGCTCACCGACGGCGTGGGCGGCGATGCCGATCCTGCCTTGGTCCAGCTGCTCCATCGCTATCCTGAATCCCTCGCCCTGGTGGCCCAGCATGTAGCTGCGCGGGATCCTCACCTCCTCGAGGGTGAGGTCGCAGGCGGTGACGGCCCTGTGGCAAGCGCTTCACTTCTGCTTTATTAGCCCCCTTCGCGCGCCCACTTGGGGACGATTGTTGTACGAAGACGGAAACTGTTCGCACGCCGAGACTGAACTAGTGGTGTCGGTGGAAAGGAGTAAGTCGCACCCGGTGAACGAAAATATTTATAATTCTTTAGGCGCGTGATGAAAAAATGATTAGAGTGAAATTTTAAGATTCGAGCGCATCACTGTAACACTGAAAACCTTTGAAGCTGCCCGCTAATTTTTATAGACGGCAGCATTATTCTCTATCACATTCTTAAAGATGACGCATGTAAATATTTTTATTAAGCGGAATAATTTTTAAACGCCACGCTATATAATTTATTGTCTCTGTTAGTAGTAGCTTCAGAAAAAGGAAGTAAATTGGTATCTAGAACGTTTTTGTAATATGATATTAAAAGAAATTATTATGCAAATAATAAACAAAACTAGGTAATAAGTATTTTTTTCATTTCGACGGCATTTCATTCACAGCATCATTTTAGTTTTATGAAGTATTCATTTTTAACAATAAAATTAAGTACCTAACAAGTATCAAAAACATAATACAAAAAAATATTTTTTTTTTCTTTTTATTATGTATACAATTTTTATTATGGATATGTATCAAAACATCCAGTGGAGTGATTGATTATAATATGGGAAGTGAGAAAAAGAAAAAGGAAGTAGAATAGATTGTTAGTTAATGGAAATTCTATTGTTTGTAATACATACCTCACACCCATAAGAGGCTCTTTTTTCCCTCTAAACACTCCTTCAGTATCCATTGGTACCAGGAAACCTGTAAATATAACAACATGAAGACTGTCAAATAAAGTAATACAATTAAAAAGTTATTTCAATATAATACAAAAATTTTAATAAAATTACTATTCATAACTAAGTAGAGATTTTGATTGAGACAACTTAGATATAAATAAAATTTAATAAATCCAGAATACGGTACAAATAAATTATGGTAAACCCAGAATTAAATATCTGAATAAGGGAAACTATTGCAATGTTCATACAAAACATGCAATATACACCACCGACCATCAACACTAATTGGTAATTTTTCCAATGGTCTAGGATCTGTGTTGCAATGCATATGATGATATGAGTTGACAAGGTTTACTAAATATATTGATGATTGTAAAGCAAAATTAATGTATTAAATATAACCAAAAAGATATGATGATACCTATATCCTTACGAATATTATAAATGCGAAGGTTTGTAGGTATGGATGGATGTTTGTTACTCTTTCACGCAAAAACTACTGAATGGATTTTAATGAAACTTTAGGTACAATAATATAGCTGATACATCAGAATAACATATAGGCTATAATTAATAAAGATATTATGTGAATTTTCCGATATATATTTTTTTAAATTTATTTAATCCAGTAATAAAGTACAATAACATAAATTATTCTCTGCCAAACTGTGATGCAGTTTGTCGGCAGCAGTTCTTGTAAATAGTTACATCGATGTACTTCAACCTTACTAATATGACACCTATGATATGTATATACATCTAAATACAATTTCTTAATTATAAGTACCTATAATATATAAGTTTATCAATTTATAGTATGTTAGAATAAAATAAAATAAATATCAATTTACTTGGTTGCGTGTGTGTGTGTGTTATTATGTTTGTGCGATTATTTTTGTGCGTGTATGTATGTGTGTGTGTACTTGTGTGTGACACTACAGAGTTGACTAATTACGGACATAGGGATAGGTAATGTTTTATTAATTTGTTTTTCAGCTCATTTTTATTTTTTGCTTCTAAATAAGTTTTACGTGGTAATTCATTGATTAGGACCGGTGCAATCCAGCGTCGTTCCCGCTTACCATATACATTTTTTACTCTAGGAATTACAAGACTTGGCTTTCTTGTTGAGCGAATTGGATAATATAATCCTTTTCTTGCCTATACTGATTGTTGTTAATTTGCTGACATAAGATGTGCAGTTTTACTTTAAAATCTACCGGGAGAACTTTACATATCTTAAACAGCCTTTCATATTCGTGATTGAGTGAATTTTTAACCTTTTTATTAACTAATAACTTTAATAATCTTATTTGTAAGTTTTTCATATAACGATAAGTGTCAACTAAGTAGTAGTAACTGTATTATTAAAAACTCATTGTTAATTAGTAAATGTTAAGCCGCGTTTAATAGCTAGTTTTTAATATCATCTCACAAGCCAGTCCTTTGTGACGCAACGTTGGGTCGAATGTGGCGAAGACAGCTACTGCCGAGCCCTCTATCGCAGAGGACAGCCAACTTTTCTTTCCGTTGAGCACCCAGTAGTCGCCGTCAGGTGTCGCCCTAGTCTTTATGTTTGCGACGTCGCTGCCCGCATCTGAAAAAAAGTTTCTTCATGTTAGTTTTGTCGATTGCTTTTGTGTTGAAAACTCACTATATAATTTCAACTTTAGTATATATTCAATTATACATGTACAGATTACGCAACACATAGAAATATATATTTATATACATAATTCTTCTGTACGTGTGTATGTCACTGAACTCCTCCTAAACGGCTGGACCGACTTTAATGTTTTTTTTTGTGTGTCTTCAGTTAGATTCGAGAATGGTTTAGATTCACAATTCGGTACATTGCAATGTTTTTTTATAAGTTGTTGTTTGATTTAAGTCGTGTGTACAGGACGTCTGTCGGATCCGCTAGTATTATTATATATTTCATACATTCTCTACACGCATGCACTCCAGATATCACCAAGTATTTACTTGTATTGCTAAAATGCAATAAATGTAATGTCATTTCCGCGCTGTGAGGTCATCGACCACTTGCTCAGTTTGTAAAGCATATGGGCGCGTTAACCAGAAGACAGGTTTGATTTCTGCACAGTGAGAGTGCAGGAACTAAAGTAGTACACCAATTAAATATGTATTATGTCATTTATTTTATGGAATTTTATGTATCTATTTTTATTTGAACTGCAAATTTATTATTATTTTCGTTTGTTCCCAATTTCATATCTCCGAAAGTTCAACTCAGAAAATTTTGATGCAACGGTGCATAGATAACATGTTTGTTTTTATATAGTTAATTGTTAATCAATTAATAATTTATTAAACCATGACAAATACATTAGAATCTTATATTTTCTTATTTTTTTTCCATTCGATCCATCTACACTCTACAGCAACGGTGGGTTACAGTTACTCAATTTATACGTTCTGATTAAAACATCTCAAGGTGTAATAATGTTTTTAATTTAGGTTTTATTGATAAATGAAACTAGTTAACATTTGTAATAAAATTATAAGTATTGAAGTTTTAAATCTTTATAAAAAAAAAAAAAACAAAGAAACAATGACGATAAGAAGTTCCAAATCCAGTAGAACAGGATTGTGAACATTTAAAATTTATTTTCAGTTGATTTGTTGACTTTGGTTGATTGATCTTTAATTCCGGCAAAATATTAAAATTGAAAAGAAAATTTTTTAATATAGTAAATATAATATATGGCTCTTGTTTAACTCGGAGTGTTTTTTTGATGGTGTTAATCATTTTATCGATGTGAGGTAAGCATATGTGGAAAAAACTATTTCCTGACCGTCTTAAATATTTGTGCCAAGTGAAGAATCGGATGGCAATCTCTATTTACGCTGACAAAAACTGTACTCGTGACAGCTTGTTAATAATTATGTTTAACCGATAAGCAATCCAAATATCGTTTTGTTACTTCCATGTTGCCGTTTCGCGGATAAAACAAAAAGATTGTAAATGTTGATTACAGTCGTCGCGGTGCCATTTTAATGATAACGTGGTTCAAGTTTATGTCACGAGGGGGCTTTAGTTAAGACATTGACAAGATATAAGATCCAAACGATAACGTGACAATGGCAGCATAGAGGGTATCAAATGAAGAAAATCGCGAATAAAAATTGATAAAACGAAGAAATTGATAAGCAACGGCCGAATGTCAAACTGTACAGTACGGGATTTGAAAGTTTCGAATTTAGCTTCCCAATATAGAGACCGGTGTTCCATAATTCAGTTAAAGCGGTGTTAATTAATTAAAAATATAATAACAGAAGAGAATACTTACTAGCATTAAATTTGCCTTTGGATTAGCCTCATGTTGAAAAGTAAACAATAAATTTTTGAAATCAATAACTTACAAATCTATGCAACGTTATCAACAAATGACGGGAAAGTAACTGCGGTAAAATGACTATTGAAATGATGAAATAATTGTTATTTATAATGACTTCGTGGCGCAGTTGTCAAGGTATTGGCTTCGGCGCCAGAGATGAGATGCGCCAGTGCGTTCGATCTCCACCACTGGAAAATATATTTGAACATGTTTTTCCAGTGTCTGGTTGTTTATAATTGTATAATTATGTATTTATTTACAAAAGAAAAGTATGTTTATCAGTTATCTAGTACCCACAAGTGTTGCTTAGTTTGGGTCTCTAGAACGTGTAAAAATGCGTCCGAAAATATCTACAGGGTGGCTTTTCTAAAGGTGCCCAAATTCAGGAGGTTCAAACTCGGTAGTATAATCGTTTATTGAAATGAAAACAAACTATTATTTAAAAAAAAAAAAAAAAAAACATTGCTATTCCATTCCCCAAAAAAACAGAACTTGTTGACAATGCGGTAGTCATTCATAAATGCGTCGTATACTTATGAAACGAACTTGTGTGCGTGTTAGTTATGAATGATCGCACGTAAAATGAATGAGTTGCCGATAAATCGCGCACTTTTTGAGATAAGTTCAAATGAATGTATTTAATTAACTACGAGTGATTTTAAATATTTATCATTTTTATATAACATTATATATGTTTAGAATTTAATATAAAAAATGGATACACTTTTTTATGGATACACTACAGATTTTCAAAAGGTTGCCAACCCATCTGTAACCCTCGGGTGTAGCAGATGTCCATGGGCGGCGGTATTCACTTACCATCATGTGAACCTTCTACTCGTTTGGCAACTTTTCACATAAAACAAATAAACTTAGAAAAGCCCCCTGGTATATTTATATCGTCTGGTCAATTAGGTAACCGGGGCCCAATTTTTTTAAAGTCATAGACGGGGATCATTGCTGAACATTGCAACATTAGGTGAAACACCTGCTCGCACATTTAAAGAGGTCATCAAAAGCGTGTCAAGTGTACCAGGTTCGCTCAGCGCGAAGCATCCGATGGAGCCCCTGGTGAAGTCGCGCAGAAAGACCTCCTTCTGCTCCGGCGTGCCCTTCTCGTTGACCAGGTTGGCGTAGAGGAAGTTGTGGATGCACATGATCATGCCGGTGCTGGCGCAGCCGCGAGACAGCTCCTCAACTGCCACGGCCAGGGACAGGTAGTCCAGGCCGCGGCCCCCGTACTCCTCGTCCACTGCCGCCCCCATCAAGCCCAGACGGGACAGGCTTCTGATCTGATGAAAACGCCGTCGTAAGAGAATTTTAAAGTAAAGTAAAAGCTTATGTATATACCACTACGGGGTAAATGCTATCTATATACCATTACGGGGTAAATGCCTCCTCCGTACAGAGGGCATTAGCGTATAGCCAATACGGCCACGCTGCGGATTGGCGGGCTTCACATATATTCGAAACTATGTTTTTGTTATCATTTCGAAAATATGCAGACCTCCTCACGATGGTTTCTTTACCGGTTTTTTTCTGAGCACGTCATATGTATAAGTCGGCACTAAAAATTAACAATTTCATTGGCGCCGGCACTTTGATTTGAACTCGGGTTGCTCTTGCATATTGAATTGAAAGCGAGCACCCGGACGTGAAAACCGTTCCTTTGCATATCACTGATGAATTGGATGCCACAACTGAAACCTGAATGAGAGAGCACCAGAAGTGAACGGTGATTGATTTTATCAAAAATACTTTTTAGTTGGGTGGAGGACGCTTATAATTTGGACCTTACACTACGAAAAAATATTCATTGGTCTCGATTTCGAATGAACAATACAGACAAACGGCAACCATACACAGAATATCATAAAAGAACATGCAATCACTTTAAACACAAGTTTCAAGTGAAATATATTCGTGATGTTTTTGCAAAACTATTATGTTTGATACATGGAGCAGTTAAAATTTACGAATACAGTAGTCACCTATTAGATAAATAACGTCTTCCGGGTAACACAGTTTCAACTCCATGACTGTGAATATTATGAATTTATAAAGTTACTTCGCATCTGCTGTTCGCTACTTAATGCTATATGTAGATTTGAGACACTGCATTCAGAAAAACAAAAACATTTATGCGTTTTGATCCTATAAAGATATTTTTTAAAAATTATCATCTATGACACTATGACAATAAAATATACAATTTGATAACCAAATCTATTGACCGACTACATAAATGAATACATATATGAAACCATGATTGAAAACGACTGTTATAATTGTGGAACAAAACATTGTGGTCCAAGATTTGTGGAAATGACTGGTGCTCTAAACTTCCATGCTGCTATATATAATTGATTTATAGATATTCTTCTGTAAAATCAATTAAAATATCGGACGTTGGGGGTTCCGATATTTTAATTGATTTTCCGATATGCGTTCTTGAATCTGCCTTAATTGAATCTTAAGTCACAAGTAAAGGCCCATTTACACGATGCCATTTTCTTGTACATACAAGAGCAATAATTGAATGCAATAAATTGCGCGCAATAATTGTTTAGACCATTTGTAGTTTAGACCATGCAACTCATTTATTGCTTCAATTTAATTGTATACAACAGGCAAGAAACTGGCACCATGTAAATGGGCCTTAAAAGTTGATAAGAAAATTACCGCATCGGAAAAAATCATAGATATTATTCGACACTAAAAAACAATCACTAATCCCACATCCTCTACGTCACCAACTTTTAGATAATTAATAATTAAATGAGAAGATAACATTGACCTATTGTAAAATATTCTATTACACAATCTGTGAATAAGCGACGGCCCAATTTGTAATGATAATATCAATTATTACGCAACGTTTAGAATAAATTACACACGTAAAGTTCGAGAGATCAAAACTAGCAGTTGAAATTTTCACAGATGATGTCTTTCTGCTATAACAACAGACATGATTTTTTGACGTTCTTATAGATAATGGTACAGAAACATTCGGGCGCGAGTCCGACTGGCACTTGGCTGAGTGATGAGTTGTTATCGAGGAAATGCAAGTAGTGGTTATCAGTTATTTGCGCAATAAAGACATAAACATAAAAGTCTAAAACTTATTACTAAATGCTATGGATAGAGATAACTAGATATATATATTCGCGAAAAAGTAATGTGGCGGTAAGAACATTGGCAACCCATCTCTATTTGGAATCGCGGGCAGCCTATATCCTGTATAATGGCCTATATCCCAAACCGCTAAGTCAAGGCGTCAATATGCTTAGTTTGAATAACTTTAGTTTGAAAATATTGTACACCACTCAATAACACGAATAATACGCGTGATTTGAGAAATAATGCTCCATACAAAAACAATTATATATATAATAATTAAAACGGTTATACCAGTCTCTGCTTGTTGCGAATATAACGACATGATTACACATGGCGTATTTTAAGTATTACTTTGAATTCATTGCGTGTCGTCAGCCGCCACACACGGACGCAACTGTTCAAGAAGCTACTATAAAAAACAGTATTACAAAGTTACCTAATATTGGGTTATTTGCATCTTATACACTTCCTGCCACTGAAACTTTTAGAGCCGCTTTGGTCTAACATCTATTCAAAATTTTGCATTAGCCAGTATAAGAAATATAAGTACGAGGGCAAAATAGTTACATGTAAATTTACATGTAAAACGTAGTAAATAGGTGTGTATAAATAAATTATGAGACATAAAAAAATTGTGTTGATAAAATTCGTGAGGTAATCAAAGGGCACTTTTTAAAGGTCGTCGTCGCATCAGAATGCCATCGAGAGTTGTAGAGGTCCATGGGCCGTTGTTTTCATTTAACATCAGGTGAACTATCTGCTCGCTTGGTAGTTTTTCACATAAAAAGAAACCTAGTTTTGCATTCAGACTTTAGAAAATTTACTTGATGTCTTTCGTTCTGTCCTTTGCAGTACTAATCATCATTTAAAGTCTTTTGGCAGCGACAATCGATGCTCAAATGGGTAAAAATCGCGATAAAAAACCGTAGGTTAGCATACAAAACGTTTAATAAATTCGTGCAATGCGAGTTAAAATGTTTATGCTTTTATAAGTGAAAGAGGTCTTCTGTGAACATAACATCCGGTCGAGCCCACCCGTTTGTGCGATAGCGAAAGCTGTTACGTGGCCCTACCTCAGTAAAAATATAACATAAAAAAATAAAAATGCTTTATCTGTTACATAAAGAACAAACGGTCCCTATCTATATAATACTTAAGATACGTGGATCCGTACCAATATAATCCGTAATAATAATAATGCGCTGAGAAACATTGCCCATACAAATTGAGATTGTTATTGTTGAATGTTAAATTATGAGTTAATTTCGAGGACACAGTATCGTACACAGGCGACCGTGGGTTCGATTCCCACACGGTACAAGTTCTTGTGAGACCCACAGATAATTGTCTCGGATCTGGGTGTTTGTCTTCATGAAATTTGTGTATGTAAAACTTAGGATAATGTTATACTAAAATAAGAGCAATGTTTTATTGATTAAAACATAGTTGCCTTTGATATTTTTATAAACAAATGCTTGCTATATGCACACTGGTTGTGAAACGTAAAGGTGGTACCTGAACCTGTTAAGTATTCCGTGCATTTCCGTAAACAAAGGGTTTTGAGCATTATTAGCTCATTGAGATTGAAATATCTTTATTCAATATAGAAGCATTACACTTAGTTATTGATTGAAAAATTCTATCAGCAATGGTAAGGAAAAGAAAAGGCACTGACCAGATCGGAGAAAGAAAGTCAACGGGGCAATTGTTTTTTACCATTATTTGACAGTGAAAACATGTTACAATATATTAAAGTCCACCTGGGGCGATCATTTCCAGAGTGTGCTATTATTTTAATAATCACTCATATTACGGCTTTAACATACAAACATTCTTTTACTATTTTTTTGAATTTAGCAATTGACACAATATATACATTTTCTGAGATTTTTTTTCTAAAATCTTATACATTTTCCCATAAAAGAATTTCTATGCAGTCTGGTTGTAGGAAGACTTAATCTGGCGAGTAAATTTTGAAATGAACATAAAATGGATAAATAATGATATAGGTTATCTATTCATATAGTTTTTAAATGCCAAATTTAGTGGTAAATCATAAATCTAATATAATACCGAAATTACGTGATTTCTGAAGAAATAGTATATTTTTAATAATTTCGATATTTTCTAATAAATAAATTTCCAATATGCTGCAAGTCAAATCTTGAGAGAACTACATGCATTTTTCAATTCAGCAATCATCCTGTTATTGGCAGCCTACAACTGGAAACTTTTTCAGCTTATCCATACTATATTGTATACACTTATAATGTTAAGCAAACAGGGTTACAGGTATGTCACATTCCTAGGAATGAAAGGAAAATTTGTTAGTGGCTAAGATGGAAGCAATCTTGAAGAGCAGCCAATATCAGATGTGGGAAGATGCTATTTGATGGTGAAAGAGTCAACTCGAATAAATATTTGAGGCAAATTCTTTTCTCTTGTTTCCTGTAAACGCTTGCTGGACAACAGAATACTTACATACATGAAAAATTTTACTTTTGTTTAAAAAGTGCTCACAAATTATATGTGGAATAAATAGTTATTTATCACATTTTTTGATAAGGGCTGTACAGAAGAACCTGTACAGGCAGTTAAGTCCCAGCATGTATTAAAATATCTTCCAATATAATTTATGTTAAATAATTCTCAATTATATATATATCTGAATATCTTTGTATTGAAAAGGCGAACACAGTATTTGTAAAGTCAGTCTAAAATTATAACATAAGGATAAAAATTTCACTGCAAAATGGTAATAAACATGATTTGGAAACTGAACCATAATGATGATATGGGCAATATACAAATTCCCACTCTAAGTCCCTGAGATCATCAGAAAATTTGGAGCTAAAAATTCCTAAACACAAAACCAAGTTCATGAGTAGGTCATTTATGGTGCAGGGTGCGCGACTCTGGAATGATCTACCTCTAGAAGTAAAACGCGCTCAGACAATAACTATTTTCAAAAACCGTGTAAAGAATCACTACTTATCGCTATAACTGTATTTCTTAAAAATGATATATCTATTTGTGTGTATGTATATGTTTATATGTATGTATTTATACGTATATATTGTTAGCTTTTTGCAGATACATATATACTTATTAACTAACATGTTTGTCTTATTATTATTATTTTTCTCTCTTTTATTGTACTTACGATATTATTTAATTCCTTCATTAAATTAACCCACACCTTTTATTCCTTAATTTATTCCAATCTATCCAAAGGTTGCCTGGAAGAAATTACTTTTAGTAATAAGGCCGCCCATTGTACCTATCATTTAAACTTTAAGGTTTTGTTTTTGTATATTTCATTTTGGTGTGCAATAAAGAATATTTATTATTATTATTATTATATAACAGAAACCAAATTAATGTCCTTAATATAGTCATAGATAGCTCTCCATCTAAAAGTCAGTAAACTATTACTCACTAAAACTCAATACATGACTCTCCATCTAAAAGTCAGTAAACTATTACTCACTAAAACTCAATACATGACTTATGACTAAGAACACATAGTTTACAGTCACAGAGTCTAAAATCGAATTAAAGGTTAAAAAAAATTTAAGCAGTTAATGCCAATTTTATATGAAAACATTTCAGCTAAATAAGTAATTTTTTTAAATGTCTTAAAATTATAAAGTTTTTATAAAGTTTTGTATAAATTATTATTATTAGTGTCTTACTACTTTTTCAATTTATAAGAGCAGCTACGTAAGTTTATATTACTACCTTAATTGTGAACGGGATTAAGGGTGCTGACCTACTCAATAAAACAAGTTTCGAATGTATGTGATGCAAATTCAAAACCAGTATAACTGGTAATACAACATACAAAGGATTTTATATTATTTCACGATGCATGCTATAAGGATATATCCTTCCTAATTAAATTGTGATAAAAAGATAATACAATAACAAAATAACATAAAGATAATAAAATAAAAAATAACATTGTCTTTCCAGTTTAAGTAATATAAAAAGTTACTATTATAAATAATATAAATATATCATAAATAATATAAACATATTATAAATAATAACTTTTTATTTTACTTAAACTGTAAAGGCAGTGTTACAAAGTATTGTGCCATCTTTTTATCTTAATTTAGCTAGGCTTTAAGCAGGAATCCTTCCTGAGGATAGGCTGCACTTTGACACTAGGTTTTTTCTTTTATTTTTTCCTGCCTTCTGATAATAAGAGATAATATAAATTTTTTATAGATAAATAAAAAATCCTAACTAAGCCAAGCAGCCAATAACCTCACAATGCGAAATACTCAACATCTGCATCCTTTTTATTGCATTTTAGCAATTCTTGGCACCATTCAGTGTGCTTCCTTTACAGCATGCAACACCTTACAAAGAACATTCGATGCAGGCTCAAATCCCGCAGTGCCAAAGGTTTTTGTTCATTTATGTACAAACATTCACAATTTAAAATTTTATTGTGAGTGCAGACACTAGCAGTAAAAATAAAAATTAATCCTTAAGGAAACATTGTGTGTGTACTTAATAAAGGGGGGTCATCAAAAAGTTTGTTGTTTTCACAAAAAATAAAAATAAGCTTCAATAAAAATAGACTTACAGTTAACCTACTTATGGTAATGATGGATACAATAATTCTATAAAATTATCATAAAAGTCTCACATGGTCAAATGGAAATCTCCCTTCCAAGTCTAATTTAGCAGCATTGGGCTTAAGTTGCTCATTGGCAAAGTCCCTTGCTAACTCTTGGATGGCCTGCTGCTGTTCGTTCAGCTTGCATGTAAATGTGCGTACTTGTGGTAGAGCTTTCTTCACATATTGTAGGGTGCAAACTAGAAGGACAACATTAAATAATTATTTGTAGATATGAGCAGAGATAAAATTGTTTTATTGAAGACAATAAAATTAACTACAACATATATTAAGGCAGAAAATTGGGAGCCAACATTATATTAATAATACTAATAGATCATTAAATAAAAATAAAATATATAACATTCTTAAAGAAATACTGGAATTATGGTATACTAAGCAAAGCCAGATTTATACTTATGCTTAGGATTTTAAAACATTTGCTTTTCAATTCAATGTTAAATATGTAAAAACAAATAATTTGAATTTAATCATACTCACAAGATAACTTGGCTGATTTAAATAGCGCATTCGTAGCCATGATAAGATGCGTATAGGTAGTTAAGTATCACAAAACTAGCTCAATTGCAAAAATCGTATTTAAATGATAGTGATAAAATCAAGGTTAAACAAGGCCCGGTGGAATTTAAGACTTAACGTGGTTTAAATTTTTATCCACAATGACTTGTGTCTTTAATAATTATATTAAAAGAAATCGAAATCTTTAAACGAATTTCCTTATTAATATATTATATTTATAAAGAACTCAAAACTTTTAATCTTAATATATATAATTCATATTCCGCCAAAAACAACAAAACACAGACTGAGCTGACTCACTGTCACTGCACTGACCTTACTGACAAGTGACACTTGACAGACGGCTCACGACAGTGACAGACCGACTGCTCGAATGTCACTATGTCACAGAACATAGATCTAGTAAAGATCACGTCATTACAGACTGATTCATTGAATTGATATTATATTGTTGGAAGATAGGATGGTAGTAGCACACTGCAACGGTCTGTATAGGTAACAGTGCTCGGCGTGTTCGCGGGACTTTCTCGTGAGCCGTTATAGCGTGCGGAAGCTCTACCCGAATTAATAACGCTCGTATCGGTTACTTAGAATTGTAATTAAACTTTACGTGGTTTGACTCGCTGGCCACTAAGTTCTTTTTAAAAAAATATCCTTTCCATTTCTATAAACACAAATATCCTTTCTATTTCTATGAATATAAATACGTATTTTAACAATAAATTAACCTAAAAAAACGGTCAAATATGTTTTCTCCGATGGTATGGCCACGCAGTACCCTCGGCTGTTTTATGAATGGGCGGGCTCGTTCGGGTAAGTACCACGACCTCACAGAAGACCGGCGTAAAGTGGAAGTATAATACTTTCGCGTTTCGTCTGGTGAGTGGGGTTTCCGTAGCCCAAATTTCAATAGGTTGTCAAGGCATCGGAACCATCAGGTGTAGCAAATGTCCATGGGTGGCGGTATTCACTTAACATCAGGTGAACCGTATGCTCGCTTGGAACTTTTCATATAAAAATAAAATATTCCCGTTCAAATATTTTGACAAGTAGGTAATTTGCAAATTGACAATATCGATATATCGAAATATCATAAGCCATATCTTTTACTCTGCATTTATTTCTATTGTCTAAAATATCGATACGATACATATCGATGTTCTTTTGCATTTGCCTATGCCTATAATTGAATATTTAATAAACTATTATAATTTAATGATCGCGCGTAAATAAATGAATTGCATATAAATCACGCACGTTTCGAGATAAGTTCAAATGAATGTAATTAATTATTTACGAGTAATTTTAAATATTTATCATTTTTTTATAACATTATTTATGTCAAGAATTTAATAAATAAATATGGATACACTTAGAAAAGAAAACCCTATATAACATCTTTTAAGTATTCATAACAGAAAGCACTTTTCAGTAATTCAGTCGTGCAAAGACAGTTCCTGGTGATATGTAATACACGTGAGAATAAAAAAAAGTAAAAGTACCAACTCTCACAAACTATATTTTATTCTTTTTCTTTGCGTATTGTTTTTGGATAGAAATAATTGCCTATTATTATTATTATTTACTTACAATTTGAGATCAAGTTTATATAGTCGCAATAGACCTGATTAGAGATGGGTCGTATCGCTTTTTCTGAGTACCGTATCTGAATCAGATTTCGATTTCAAATATCAGATTTCGAAACTATGTATTTTAATATCTAGATATTTTACGGTCCCGTATCCACCTTGAAATCTAAATAATAATAATAATAATAATAATAATAAAAAAAATAAATTTCATTAAAAATAGAAATTGAAGTAATATAAAAATGATTTATTTCAACATATTATATATCGCTTAAAATAATTGAGTTTAACATATTCTTAGAACACGCAATCATGAGTGACAATATTTTTATAATTTGTGTAAGAAATAATACATTCAGTATTATAACTTAGGGCGGAAGAATTTAAAACATACACACAAAGCACATAAGCCTTGGTCTGATTTCCACCCAAGCAGCACAGCACTATTACTAATTAAATTATATTTTTTTAGGCAGAAAATTCTTAAGTAGTAAGTTGGCATCCCTTACTATTACGTGCTAGGTACCAATGCAATCCAACTCAAGGCTAAACAAAATTTAAAGACATCGTTAATACCGTAATTCGTATTTAAATGCAACAGAAATTTTTTTCCATGCTGTTAAGATTCAAAATTACTTAACTACGCGCTTTGTCGTCCGTTACGGCTCAAGGCTAAACAAAACAATAAAAATATACTTAATAATATCGTTGTAGTAATCGTTGATACCATGATTAGTATTTAATTGAAACGGATCTTATTTGCATGGCTTTAAGATTCAAAATTACTTAACTTATTCATAATATCTGTTTAAAAATCTGATATTGTGCCTTGCTTGCCGTACTGCTCTAACTAGTGTAATATTTGTATCTCACGCGCTTTGTCGCTCAAAATCTGTTTAAAAATCTGATATCGTGCATTGCTTGCCGTCCCGCTCTAACTAGTGAGTATTTATATCTCACGCGCTTTGTCGCTCGAAATCTGATATCGTGCATTGCTTGCCGTCCCGCTCTAACTAGTGAGTATTTGTATCTCACGCGCTTTGTCTCTCGAAATCTGTTTAAAAATCAGATATTGTGGCAAATGCGTATGATATCGCGATTCGTGTCGGTATAGCGAGCGAGCACGGTACATCAGATTTCGGAAATATCAGATATTGTAAAATACATAGATATTGAACGAGCCAGTAAGCGATATTCGGATATTGTACTAATATCTAGTTTTCATATCAGATACGATATGTATCGCCCACCACTAGACCTGATATTTGATTAACGATGGTTTAGTACACATGACGAATACATGGTGTATACATTATACTTAATATTTTCTAAAAGCTATTACAAGAACTACATTCAGTTCGGAATACAAAAAATTTAATAAAATTAGTATAATAATAGTTTTAAACAAGTTGCATAAATTACTTAGGTTTAAAAATGTTTTTAATTGTGACATTGCTTTGGCAGAAATTTTACGACTTTTCTCACTTAGAAAAATAATTATTACACTTGTTATTTTTGTTGTCAGAAAGATTGAAGTGAAGACAATATTTTGTAAATTTTAATATTAGATAGTTTCTTTCATCATTACATATTATAATCTACCTGAAAATTATACATCTGATACTTTTTCATATCTTGAATCGGTAGATTTTTTTGTACGTGTAGCAAGAACATTTTAAAAGGAAATTAACTTTCTGTCTTTTCTGTACTTGATATAAAGAAAGCCTCAAGCAAAGAAAAGACAAAATGACATCGATATTCGATCAATTTGAGCAAGCTTCACAAATTTCCCAGCGGGCTCCACCCGTTTCTGAGCCTATGACATCTTCGGGATATATAAACATGCAAATGGATGACAACACGCCTATGTTTTCGAAACAGAAGATGAACTTTAATCCATCAGATCTGATCACACATGTTGCAGTTGCAAGTGACTATTTGGTCCTTGCCATGGCCAATGGAAAACTTTTTCGGTTGGATTTAAAAATGCCTGACCAGCATGAAGGTATGTGTTTTATTGGACTGTATGTAATCTATAATTACACCAGTGAACAGATCTCAAATGAATATTTTGTATATTAACTTACAATATAAAATAATAGGTCTTCAATAATAAGCCACAAATTTTCTAACAATAACCTATTCAGAATTAAATGTCATTTTCTTTCAATCTTAAAAATTCTAAATTCAAATGAATATTTTGTATATTAACTCACAATATGAAATAATAGGTCTTCAATAAAAAGCCATAATTTTTCGAAAAATAACTTATTCAGAATTAAATACTATGTTCTTTCATTCTTAAAAATTCCTAATGTTTTGTTAAAATTTTTAATGTTTCAAATGCATAATTTTTGGTACAACTTTCCATTGACGTCCGTCAAATTGAGGGATGGGAGGGGGAGGATAGGTATCCTCGACATATGTTATTAAAAAAGACTACATGCCATTCAGATTTGTTAACTTAACTACACTATAGAATTTGTTCAAATCTGTCAAATCTGTGTGTCAAAACAAACAAAGTTTGTTTGCAAAGTGACAAAGGTGCAGGCATCTTGGGATAGGAGTGTGATCGCCTGTGGCTTTGTTATGCAAAGGCGTGAGAACAGTGGTTCTGCTGTGCCAGAGATAAGGCAGAAGTACTGGTTCTTACTTCCCTACCTCAGATGGTGGCCACTTCTCTTACCCTCCACTCCCAAAATTACCGACTTTAAAGCTTTTATTAGTATAATCCAAAAATAAATATTTGCTTTTTAAAAAAAAAAGCTATGCTTTTCTGGCGAATTCCCCTTCAGGGAGTTTCTATGACTTCCTTCCCCTCCTTCTATATTTGGTCTTATATAAGTGACCTTCCAATTTCTATTTTGTGTACATATGTATACTTCCTATTTTAATTTTTTTACGTTACTCTAACTAGTTTTTATAAACTGATAACATTATCAGTTCACCCCTCACATCAACTATTTTAATTAATTTTTATTGCTGTTGTGTTTATATATAAACATTTGTATTCAACATGGATTCATTTGAAATATTCTTATAGTGAAATGAGTATTTAACTAAGTTGAAGTGCTTTTCAGAAATTCACTATGCAAAATTTGTACAACCAAACACAAAGCTGTCTAACATCTTCTTGGATCCACTTGGACAGCATCTCCTACTGGCCTTATCTCCCAGGAATAAAGATGGAAATCCTGAGCTTGTGTACCTCCATCGAGCTCGGAGTAAGCTCAAATCAGTTAGCAAATCCAGAAATTATGAGGTTACAGAGGTGGGTTGGAATTATGAAAATAAATCCACCTCCACCACTGGACCCATACTGCTGGGAACCTCACAAGGTCATATATTAGAGACTGAATTAGAGGCTGATAATGACAAAATGTTCTCTGGCAGTCAGCAGTACTGGAGGCAGGTATGTGAGCATATAACCATAGTTTACAGTTCTATCAGATACCTCCCGTCATACAGTGAGCAACATTTCAAAGCTAGTGTTACAAACACTTCAAATTAACATTTTGTTGAAATTTGTGTTGTGTTAGACCAAGATGACATGTGCTATCAAGTTTTATGTAATCCTACTGCAACTCATCACAAATGGGATATAAAATAAGGTGAACCTGTGTTGTTCACTACATACAAGTACAGGCAAAATATTTGCCAGCTATTCTGATAAACCTAATAGTTCATATTTAATTTTATTTCTTGTTTTAAAAACCATATGTATAATCATATATTTAAACTTGTTTTGTCTGTTTTTTTACTCAAGCTGCCAAATTACTTACCTCTTTATGGAGGCAAGGAAGTTGATGGACTGGTAATTCTTTTCCCCGTTTTTATTTATTTAATCTTATTTTTATCATCTTTTTGTTACAATGTTTCCTTAATAGTTTTGTATGGTATAATTTTGTAGACAAAGTTGCATTCTCTGAAAGAGTGATAAAATTATACTAAAGTCACAATTTCAGATTGACCAACTTTATTGGTGAGATGCAGCATGTGATTTGTTTTACACATTTATAACTACTATCAATAATGCACTTTTCAGCTTTACCTGCATGTCTCTAAATGGGTTTTTCTTAAATTTATGTAATGTATATGTTCTTTTGAATTTAGATCTTCGATATTGGTAAAGGAACTGAAACACCGATAACCGGTATCCAATTCCATCGTGTGAACAGTACAACGAAGTATTTCATATTCGTCACAACGCCGACCAGACTGTACCAGTTTATAGGACACGCCGTCTTCACGGACAACAAGCCTTCACTGCAGACGATATTCCACGCGTACCTTACCATCCCGGAAACAGGTTTCCAGGAGATTCCGTCAACTTTGAAGTACTCCAGGCTTCAGTTTTATTTTGACAAGACGGACACGCCGAAGACATTCGCGTGGCTGACGGAACCGGGAATTTTTTACGGCCAGGTGTGCATCAACGTAAAATACGTAATTTGAAAAATATTCTTTCGCTGTTTATTTAATGAATGTATATTTTTATCTTGCAGTTAGATCCAACATCCCAGCAAAACTCAAATTCGCTGTTTACCCAAGGTGAGCTGATAAATTATCCACCTGAAAAGGGTGATGCTAAAGATAAAACTCCTGAGAAAATAGAGCCTGGGGACAAGACGCCGCTCGCTTTTGTGCTAACAGAGTTCCATGCAATTCTGATGTACTCTGACAAAGTTAAAGCTGTATCGCTTCTAAACCAAGAGCTAGTCTACCAAGATACCTACTCCGAAGCGCATGGGAAACTGAAAAATATTGTTAAAGATCCGGTTCGCAGGACTATCTGGGCGGTCACAGATAAGGCTGTATTCCGATACAAGGTCATCCGTGAGGAGAGAAACGTTTGGTCGATTTATTCGGATAAGGAGGAGTTCGATCTGGCCAAGGAGTACTGCCACAACAATCCGGCCTTCATAGACATAATTAACGTGAAACAGGCCGGATTGCTTTTCTCGAAAGGGGACTACGAGAAGAGCGCCGAGACATTCGCAGACACCCAAAGCAGCTTCGAGACTGTCTGCCTCAAGTTTCTGGAAGTGGATCAGGTCAACGCGTTGAAGGTCTACCTGTCCAGGCGATTGGACGCCCTAAACGATGACGACAAGACGTTGATATCGATGATCGTAATATGGATGACGGAGTTGTACCTTTCTCAGCTCGGTACGCTACGGCGCACTGGCAAAGAGGACTCTCAGGAGTTCCACCAGATACAGAGCGACTTCGAAGTGTTCCTTCTCCAACCGAAAGTGGTCAAGTGCATGCAGCACGTGAAGTCGGTCATATATGACCTGATGTCCTCCCACGGCGATAAGCAGAATCTGATCAAGCTGACAATCATAAACGAGGACTACGAGAACGTCATAGAGCAGAACATCCACAAGAAGTCGTTTTTGGAGGCGTTGAAAATCCTCCAGGGCCTGCAGAGGCCGGACTTGTACTACCAGTTCGCGCCGATGCTAATGGAGGACATACCCAAGCAAATGGTCAATGCTCTCATAGCACAAGGCCCTAGGCTGGTCCCCTCAAAGTTGCTGCCTGCGTTTCTCGCCTGCGAAAACGACGAAGAGCACGTGTCCGAAATAATAAGATACCTCGAGTTCATGCTGCAGAACTTCAACGTGAAAGACAAGGCGATACACAATTACCTGTTGACCTTGTACGCCGAGAAGGACGAGCCCGCACTCATGAGGTATCTGTCGAGGCAGGGTCAGGACCTGGCCCTGGTGAATTTCGACGTCCATTACGCCTTGAGGTGAGAGATTTTGCATACTGCAAGACATGTTTTTTATATTCTAATAACCATATTTTGTCCTCAATTGAAATGTGGATTTTGAATCAAGTATTGCCGCAAATATATTTTTTTAAGCCAAGTATTTAATCTGTGTACGAACCATTAAATAAACAATGTACAATATTCGCTTAAATCAATAGTAAGAAACTTCAACGGTGGTAGGGCCACGCAGCAGCCTCGGCTGTTGCACGAATGGGCAGGCTCGTCGGGTAAGTACCACGACCTCACAGAATACCGGCGTAAAGTGGAAGTATAATACTTTCGCGTTTCGTCTGGTGAGTGAGGTAGCCGGAGCCCAATTTTCAAACAGGTTGTCAACGCATCTGCATACCCTCGGGTGAAGCAGATGTCCATGGGCGGCGGTATTCACTTAACATCAGGTGAACCATCTGCTCGTTTGGCAACTGTTTACATTAAAAAAAAAACTAATTTTTGCCAACCGGCACTATACGCGCGTTTATTTTAATTTTTTTCATGAATTCTAAGCGTCGTTTTTGGGCGATTTAGACTGAAGTAATTTGTTACAGTCTTTAGAGCATCTTTGGGGGTTTTTATTGCAGACTGTGCCACGAGAAGGGTCTCTTAGAAGCCTGTGTGAAGCTATCAGCACTTCTGGGTCTGTGGGAGGCAGCCGTGGAGTTGGCGCTGGACGTCGACGTGTCGTTGGCCAAGAGTGTGGCCAGTCTGCCAGAGGAGACGGAAATGCAGCGCCGCCTCTGGTTGACCATTGGTACCCATTTTTATTAGTAACCTAACAAGATAATTGTCGCGGTTAAGTGTTATGTTGTACGTATGCGCTTAAATGTATGTATGCGTATGAGTTGAAAGCGAAAACATCATTGACAAAGAGTTTTCCGCTTGGTTGCAAATGTGTTATCACCTTTAAAAATGTGGGCCCAGGCTACCTTACTCAGACGAGAAGACAATAGTCAGTTACCTGGTACTAGTAGGCTCATACTAGAAGCTTTGCTTAGTTTGGAACTCGACAACGTTGTGTAAAAATGTTCTGAAAATATTTATTCAATCATTAATTTTAAAATATTCCTTTAGCATAATAATAGTTAATGACTTCCATTAGTTGAATGAAAATTTAAGTTCTTTGAGATATAACAGCAGCCCCAAGAAAGATATCTATTATTTTATTGTTACTTTTATATTTTACTTCTATACATAATCCTAAAAAGTGGTTTCATATCAGCTGAGCACGTCATCATGAAAAACCAGGACTTAAAGGAGGCAATGAGTCTGCTCGAGGAGTGTCCGCTTATCAAAATCGAAGACATCCTTCCCTTCTTCAGCGATGTGGTCACCATAGATCATTTCAGAGAACCTATCTGTCAATCATTGCAGGTAAATCCTATTATGTCTTACTAGCAACCCGCTCGGGCGCAATGTAGAATGTTTGTTTTCGACATCGCATTAAAAACCTCTAAAATTATCAGTGTGTATATATAAACCTTCCTCTTGAATCACTCTATCTATTAAAGAAAACCGCATCAAAATCCGTTGAATAGTTTTAAAGATCTAAGCATATATAGGGACAGACAGACAGCGGAATGACTTTGTTTTATAGTATGTAGTGATGATTTATTTATTTAAACAGCAATGTTTGCTACTTAAAAACAGTCAAAACATGATCATCAGATTTAAGTCTTGAAATTTTTTTACTTCATTTGAAATATAATGTTGTCCACATTTGTATAATTGGAACTTCAAAAATCTGCCCTTTTAGAGAGAAAGAACAAAGTATTGTACTCTTTGGTCAAAAGTTTTATATTCTTATTGATTTTCTTAATAACATTTGAATTATTTAATGGAGTTTTGTATGTGCCACAGGAATACAATACGCAGATAGAGGAGCTAAAGGCTGAAATGGAGGACGCATCGAAATCGGCCGAATGCGTGAGTTATCTAAAAGTAAAAGGCCCTTAAGGCACAAATTATTATTATATAAGACCTGCGTACGATCTATTATGTCCTACGCATGCATGACCTTCGCCCACACGCACCCTACTCGCTTGTACAAGTTGCAAATATTACAAAATAAGTTCATCCGCCGCGCAACCGGTGCGCAGTGGCATTAACGCAACGTCGATCTGCACAGCGATTGCAGACTATTCGCGAATATTTTAAAGACCTGACCAAACGGTTCTTCGATAGAGCCGAACATCATCCCAACCCTCTGGTGGTAAGCGCAGCAAATTACCAACCCGACATAAACGCGAACGTCAACAAGCGTCGCCCGCGAAACGTCCTCATTGAACCCGGTCGAGGAAGGGGACTTAGACACGCCGGACCCACCGCCGGGGGTCCCGCCGGATAACACTACAGCCACAGTTAGTGCAACAACAAACACACTAGTTCGCCCTCGCCTCCGAGCACGGCGAGACCAACACAACGCGTACACAAGGTACCTCCGCGTTCCGGGGCGGTTCTCACCGCCCCCAGCCACCGATTAGCTAATTGCACAGTCGACGGCCATCGGGGTTTCGGACCGAATCGCGACTTCGATGGCCCTTAGATGACACACCATAGTTAAACGCACGCATGAGCACATGCGTGGCCCTACCCACAGCGGAGGGCCCAAACCCGTGGGTTCTGGCTAGCCCACCGGTTCTGCGTCAGATGAAGCTTTAATAGTCTCGGGACTGAAAGCAAAAACATCAGTTAATACAAGATACAAGAGTTATCTTTTGTACATAATTGATAATTATGGTGAACTTTCCTTACAGTGCGAGATATTTGCATATTTTAAAACATCAATTGTTTCTATAGTGTTTTGATTGGTTGATTACACTATTCACTTTTATAAAATTTGTATATACTTCTGTGTCTTAATATGGCTATTAATTGATGTATCATTAAATGATATTATAGCTCTTAAAGCACTGCACAGATTACGGACATGTTTATTGGCCAAAAAATGTTTTATATTTAACCTAGGATACAGCGCCACTCTCCGGATAGAACTGAATAAAGTTTCACACACTAAGGGCCGAATATTTAACGGCATCTTAAACGTCTGAGCAGCCCTTAAACTCTAAATTCGTTAAGTTAATAAGTTAAGTTGTACTTAAACGCTATTCAGTGAAAATTATATATTATTATTATATAATACTACTGAAACGCCACTTAACGCTATTTAGCTGTCAAACCAACGTCAAAACGACTTGAGTAGCCTTTAGATCTGAGAGTGGTTACGAGGTCTCTTAAATATTTTTAAAGCTAATATTCCAGTGAAAATAAAGTCTCTTTCGTCAGTTATCTTCCCTCTCGGATCACGAAAGTCATCGAAAACTCAATGATTTCGTAATATTCAAATAAATTCTCAAATCTGAAACATACGGAATCTTGTGTTATGCGGACATTAGAAACCTAAAACATCAACTTCTTATTTAACTGGTATTACCCAAACAAAATCAAAAAGAAAGCAATGTCAAAAACAATATCTTCAAACAAAATTAAGGAATGTTAATTTGAATTAAATTTCTTAATAATTAAAATAGAATAAAAATTAACATATATAGATTAGAAAGATAAATTTTAAAATTAAGATTATAGAAATTGAAATCCCCTTAAAAGTTAAAATGGTATTTGTTTCTTACTTACTACATATAATAAGATTTTGTTTTGACACTTGGTGTGACAGGGAAATAGCGTTTAAGTTGCGTTTCAGTATACGAAATTTTCACTGAGTAGCGTTTACGTACAACTTAACTTGACGAATTTAGTTTTTACGAGATGCTCAAATGTTTAAGGTGCCCTTAAATATTTAAGTAACGTTTCAGTATTCGGCCCTAACACACTTTTCTTGGTAGACGTATTAACTTTTAGAATAAAATAGGTGACATCCACAAACAAAGTGTATACAATATTAAACATTTTGTTAAAACTACCCTAAAAGCAAGGCTCTATTATACTTTCGAAGAATACCGTTTTTGCTAGTTCTTCTCCAGACCGGACAAATTTTTTGACGTTCAATAAGAGCTTAAATAAGCCAAATTGAATAAAGAAAGTGTGACACACCTATGCACTATACATAATTACTTATACATAATTATGCACTTACTCATTCATACGCACTCACACTCACGCTCATTGATACGCACTCACGCTCACGCTCATTCATACGCACTCACACGCACATACATAAACTAGTCTCGTAGTGAAGGCATGTCGAATGATTACAGGTACGCGCCGAGATCCAGTCGTTCCGCAACCGCAGCGTGATCGTGTCCGTGTCGGACGCGTGCTGCCTCTGCGACATCGCCCTACTCCTGCGCCCCTTCTACCTCTTCCCGTGCGCCCACCGATTCCACAGCGACTGTCTGCTGACCGAGATACAGCCCACGCTAGGTGGGGATGCTTTTGAATTCCACATCAGCTGTTCAGTAATAGTATTATTAGGTTGCACAGAGGTTCTTCACAGATTGTACAAAGAAGCGATTTGTGTTGAACATTGAGTGTCTTTTTTGCGTGCAAAGGCGGCAAGCGAGCTAGCGGTTCACCTGATGTTAAGTGATAACCGGCGCCTATGGACCCGTAAGGTTGCAGATGCGTTGCCACCTTTTAATAAAGTGAGCCCCGGCTACCTCACGCACCAGACGAAAATCTCACGGTCTTCTGTGAGGTCGTGGTACATACCCGGACGGACCTGCCCATTCGTGCAACAGCGAACAGTTTCGTGGCCTTACCACAGTGTGTTGGAATACTTGGAATATCGCATTTATGATTTCAAGTTTCGAAACTATTTCCATGTGTAAAAATAGTATTTTCGAATAATAATGTTCCAGTTAATACAGTAAAAACATGATCTCTGGGGGAATCGGGGGGGCGAATAGGTAATAGAAAGCATTTTTAATGCCAACTCGATATGAAATTAAGAAGGAATATTTACTTTGAGCTAGACTGCGGCGGAGCCAAAAAATATGGTGATGCGTTTGGCCTGTTTGTATGTGTGTCCATACGTCCTTAGTAACAACTAAACGGCCGGCCCGATTTTGAATAATGCTATGTCGTTATATTAGTCTCCATTGCGCGAATGTCACTGATTATGCGAAAATTATAAAAGATTAAAATGACTTGACTTTTGGATATTTGACGCCAAAATTTGTAATAAAATAAATAACTCGTACCGCAGTTGGGGTCTTTTAGTTTTTTTTTTCAACTATTGACTTGTTTTCTGTTACGAACTGGCCGCTCAGCCGCTTCAGTTCCGTCGTTCGCTCTTGTCAATCAACTCGCCCTAGATAAAACGCGCCCCTGTCAATTCTGTACCTCGGAGGCATACAATAGTAACTCCACATTTTTCAAAATTATTTTTCTTACACCATTAAAATCGCAAGAACAAATTCTACATAAAAGTATAAAGCATTAAGTCGTACGACGCCTAATTATCATCCCATCGCATTTTTGCCTTTCCTGTAAAATTAGCCGTGATAGCTCAGTGTCCGGGCAGCTCGCCTTTAATTTAATATACTCGAGCAACCTGAGTTCGACCCCTGGTGCCAATGAAATTGTCAATTTTAAGTGCTGAATTATCACGTGCTCAGGTGAAGGAAAACATCGTGAGGAAACCTGCATATTTTCGAAATAATAACAAAAAAAATATTTCGAAGATATGTGAAGTCCGCCAATCCGTAGTGGGGCCGCGTGTTGGACTATGCCCTGATACTCTCTGTATAGAGGCCTTTGCCCACCAGTGGGACATGTAAAGGCTGATCCTTTTTTTACTGTAAAATGTGTTTTGTCACAGAATGCTTGTTTACCTCAGGTACAGAATCGGTCCGTTTGTGCAGGCGCGGCGAAACGCAGCAAGCTGGCGGACCTGCAGCGGCAGCTGTCCGTGCTGAGCGGAATCGAACTGGCGACCGTCACCTCTAGCGGGCTGCCGCTGCGCGAGGCGCTGAGGAACGAGATCGACGACATCGTCGCGGGCGAGTGCGTCTTCTGCGGCGAGTACATGATCGCGTGCATCGACAGGCCCTTCATCGCCGACGAGGACTGGGAGAGGGTGCTCAAGGAGTGGGAGTAGGGCAATGGCTAGAATTGGGTTCACGCGATGTAGCTGGTCATCATCGTTGCAGCCTGTCTGATTCCACCGCCGAACGTAGGCCACACACACAGACTGCCACGAAGCACGATCCTGATTCACCTGCATCGATCGACTTCCTATGTATGGTCACCTCGTTTTTTGTGTGTGTTTTTCACGTGTTGTTCACGCTGCCCGGAAATACTTTTTAAAAGGTCGTCGAGGCTCCGTGGCGCAATTGCCAAGGTATTGGATCCAGCGCCGGGGGTCGTGGGTTCGATTACCGCACGGGACAACTATTTTTGTGTTTTTGTTTGTCTACGTGAAGTTCATACGTCTTCCTTCTTGTATTAACTGATGTTTTTGCTTTCAGTCCCGAGACTATTAAAGCTTCATCTGACACAGTTCATATATGTAAAACGTTCTTCATACTCTAATATTATCCCGCAGTAAAGGCAATGTTTTTCAAATAAAAAAGAAAGCAAAGAATTGTCAACGTATTTACAAGCCCTCAGCTGTTGTAGATAGATGTCCATGGGCGGCAGTAGTCAATATCAGGTGAACCGCCTCCTCGCTTGACAACTTTTCGCATAAAAAAACACTTCACACATTTGTGTATCGTCGATCAAAATAGGTTTAGGTTATCGATATTGTTATATAATCATATATGTGTATATGCGTAGGTTCTATTATATCACTTGCGAAAACTGTCATTACCAAATATTTTGCAAAATGATTGTCTTCTTGGTGCATAGGTATTCTAATGTTTACAGATTATTGTCGATTTTGCTTTGGAAATTCCATAAATAGGTTTGTTACGATAGCGGGTACTTAACCTAATAATTTTGTTATAAACAACCTATGCATTTTGAATATGTAGATAGACCAGTCAGACCATAAATAAGCGATAAGCTTCCTTGATACAAGTGTCTGGTTTTAATTAGGTGTGACCCATTAGGATAGGGAACATGCGTATTATAGCCATTGATTGTTATTATTTAACATTATAATGATACTTGTCATGTGTCTATTAAATTCAATGTCTGCTGTATCGGGTCATTATTAAGTGATCAGTTTGTTCGATTTAATGGAAGTAATATAATATGATTTTTTGTTTAGAATATTTAATATAATCATAGTCCTGCTATTAAAATATTTTATATAGCGTATTTTTAGAAATATGAAGGAATTACCTATTATGTTATTAAGTATATCTAACCCTGTGATCTTATTTAAAATAAATGCTTATTTATATTTTCCGTTTTATATGAAACACTGCAAAGTGAACCAAATACAGTAAAAAAAAAAAAAATGTAATAAAGCCATAGTTATATACAATTATTTGTTTCAATAACTAAAACACCATCATTCAATTGATATAGTTTATTGAGAAAATTTGTTATCAAGTACTGATAAACAATAAATTATTAAATATTAGGATTTAAATATGAGGAGACCACCTCAAATCCTAAGGACAGCGGTCTTTTACACGAAGTTCGGTGTTAAAACTTAAAATTTACAAACATAAACAATAATACATTTCAACACCTTGTTATTAGACACAACGAATTAACGCGAAGAGGAAAAGGCAGACATTGTGGCTTCGTGCAAATGCTTCATAGCTGTGTTTATCTACATGAAAAAATTCACTAACGCAAGCTAAATTTATTGACTAGCAGCACTATCAACCTCCATCGTTTGCCCTTCCGCTTTATCACCTTTAGCGTCAACTTGCATTTCCTCTAACTTTCCATCACTCTTCTGTTCCGAATTTAAATTTTTCTCTTCCACTTTACTATCTATTTTTTCATCGTTTTTCTGATCAGCAACTACATCTTTTTTCCCATCAATATTTTCCTCTTTTTTATCTTCTGCCTTTTCTTGTTTGACGTCGGGTGTTTCGTCTTTCTTTTGAATATGCTCTTCCTTAATACTATCGTTAGTTGCATCTTTTTTGTCCTTACTTTTATCTCGTTTCTTAACGTTCTTCATACCCTTTTTGGGACTTTTTGCTTCTTTTTCGGTTTGTTTTTGCTCTTCAGGTTTGATCTCTGGAGTCTTCTCTTTAGTTTGTGTTTCGGGTCGTGTGTCTGCAACTTGTGGCTGAACAATGTCTGTGCTTTCAGCTATTATTGGCGCTTCGATCGTTTCCTTTGACTTTTGGTCGTCTTTAATTTCTACCTTTGGTTGCTCAACATTTTCTTGGTCTATTTGGAAGTCAGGAGCCGACTGTTCGTTGCTGACATCTTTCATTTCAACTTCACCATTTTCAACATTTTTTTCGTCATTTGTGGGATTCACATTATCAGAATTTGCCATTTCAACGTCTTGTAAAAGAGCTAAGCTACCCTTTTCTGCTTTGGCTTCTAACACCGCTATGCACTTCTGAATGCATTTTATGGCTTCCTTCCTCGCCTGTCTTATATTTTCTTTGCCGTCGGTTTCAATGTTGTCCAATTTTATGAGATTTCTTGTGAGCATCTCATCTAGGTACAAGTATTTTTTGTCTTTCTTTGAACCAGTGAAGTTTTCAACTTCAGACATTAGATTTAATACGTCCGTTTGTATGTTCAGAATCTGTGTAATTGGATCGTTCATGGGCGGCTGCGGTTTGGGCTGTGGTGGGGCCTGCTGTTGTGGTGGGGCCTGCTGTTGCGGGGGAGGCTGCTGTGGAGGAGTGGTCTGCCGCTGGGGAGGGGTCGTCTGGCGCGGAGGCTGCTTTTGCTGTGCTCTGGACGGAGTTTCAGGTCTCGGCGCAGATTGTTCATGATGTACCGGCACTTTCACATAATGCTCTTCCGGAGGCACTTGCGGTTTCGGGCTCTGGGATCTCTGCGGCGACGCGCCACGTGCGAATGCCGTCTGTGGGTATACCTTTTGCTGCACGAACGGCTGTGGTCCCTGTCTGAAGCCTTTGTTGAAGGGCGTTCCGAACGCCCTCGAGAAGTTGGGCGGATGGTGGAAGTTAGCGGGGCCGTCGTCCGCAAAGTACTGGTCTCTGTCGATGTGCGGCTGTGGGGGCGGTGGTACGTACGCCGGTTTCGTGTCGCCAAAGTGGGCGCCGTGGTCGACGGATCTGTTGATTACGGGCTCGTCCCTGCCCTCGACGAAAATCGGTATGTGCCGCACGTTGGAGGACTGTTGCTCCGGGTGCGGGTGGTGGGCGTGCTCCTGGTGGTTTTGGCCGCTCATCTTGCTTGCACCGTGCTGCTGTCCGGCCGCGCGACTGTCGGGGGGTGCTGACATAGACCGCTGGTTCCTGTCGTCCTCATCAACCAGACTGGGGTCTGCGGGGCTCTTCTGCCCTAGGTCTACGGTGTTCCGCAGTCCGTACTGTGGCAAGTGGGTCTGCTCGTCGTCGGATGACCCCGGCGGATGCTCGGTCTGTGTGGCCGTGTTCTGCTGCTGCGGCGACTGCGGCTGCGGCTGCGGCTGCGGCGAGGGCGGCCGCTGCTGATTTGTCTCCTCCCGCGAACCGAACCTGCGGTTCCAATGAGAGGGGAAGTGCTCCCGGAAGTCCGGAGGGATGTCGTCGAACGGGAACCTGTCGAAGCCGCTGAAGTTGTCCTCGAAATCTGCAATCGTCAAAAGTCTCTTTACACAACCTGTAAATGTTAAACACCACATTGAGTGCCTGCCATTTAAATTACTTTTAAAATCTTAACGGTCATAAAAAAATTACTGAATATCCTATTCAAACTCACAACATATTGCAAATTATTTTAATTTAAAATGGCATTAAGAATGTTATAAAGTATTAAGAGTAGTATAAAGTTGACTAAAGTCCCACTTTTATAAATTTAAATCTCAAAGTTGTCAATAATAATATTCAGTTGATTGTTGCCAATATAAATGATTATTTAACATAATTGGTCGAGTTAGGAAAAACATTGATGCTATCTATGCGTTAAGACAGTTTTGTGGTCTTTGAGAATATCTTTTGTAGTACTTGATTGTGGTAGAACCACGCAGCAGTTCTGCTTTAGCACGAATTGGAAAACTCATCCGGAGTAGTACCACGGCTTTACAAAAGGCCGCTGTTAACTGGAAATATTATAATTTTGCGTTTACTCTGGTAAGCGAGGTCTACTAGATTATCTGTGACCCCGCGCATGCGTTGCTCGTTTGTAATTTGAGATGATTGAAACATGTTCTAACCTCGGTTCATAGTAGATTCGACCAAAGCGAGCTATCCTTTTTTGTGAGAAAGTGGCAAACGAGCTGACGGTTCACCTGATGTTAAGTGATTACCGCATGCCCATGGACATTTGCACAACCGTAGGGTTGCAGATGCGTTGCCACCTCTTACTAAGTGACCACCAGACGAAACGCAGAAGTGCTACTACACTTCTACTTCACGCCGGTCTTCTGTGAGGTCGTGGCACTAACTCGGACGGACCTGCTCATTCGTGCAACAACGAAAACTGTCGCGTGGCCCTACCACTATTGTCTCGAAAGAGTAATACTTTAGATTAGTTCTAAGTCCATCGTCAGAGGTCCCCAATTCGACTATGTCAAAAGGTTTAAGCCCAATTTTCAAAAGGTTGTCAACGCATCTGTAAACCCTCGAGTGTAGCAGATGCAGGGCGGTGGTATTCACTTAACATCTGGTGAACCACCTGCTCGCTTGGCAACTTTTCACATAAAAAAATTTTCGATGGCAACAAGTTTAGCCACCAACACTGGTCTCTTACCGTCTGTGGCGTCCTGGCTCGAGGGGCGCCGTTTCCTGGCCCACGTGGCCGGCCGCTGTCGCAGGCGCGCCGCTATATCCGGGTGCCGCGCCGCTAGCTCGCTCCAAGCGCCCGAACCCTCCTCCTCATCAAACGGGAAGCCGCGCTGTTGAAACGTACGCGTTTTTTATGGGCCCGATGTTAAGCGGTTCCAGATTTGCTTAAGACAAGTCCACTTTTATTAACGAGAAACAAAATCGACTTCAAATATCTCGCTCTGTATTAATTTTATAATCGATTTTCAGTTGTTCCCTAAGTACCTCCCGAGCCAAAGATCCTATACCAATGAAAATAACATGGGACCACGTGGGAATCACTAGCTTTCAAACAAAGAATCATCAAAATCGGTTCGACTGGTTGAGTTGGTTAGAGTAATGAGGTAACAAACATAAAAAACGACAGTAGAATTGAGAACCTCCTCCTGTTTTGTAGTCGGTTGAAAATGACGAACTAAAGACAAAACGGCGCAACCGATCGCGGGTTCGATTCCCACACGGTACAACTATTTGTGCGACAGACAGACGATTATTTCCAATTTGGGTGTTTGTCCATGTGTAATTCATGTTTGTAAAATGCTCTATCAACACAGGATAATGGTGTCATACCGTGAGGGCAGTGTTTCTAAAACAAAAGAAATTATAACTTGTGCTTTTGTAGCGCAGTCGTACCTGCTGAACGGACATTATTTTTTCCTAGATTTATATAAAATTATGCATAATGTATACAACTTCATTATTATTTTTAATAATTTCATATGACATCTATACTTTGTATACTTGCGTATACATACCGCTCCAGCTTTTTCTACTTTGAACGCTCAATCAATGCTTTGCTTGTGGCAAACGGACGAAAACTCGCCTATCCAGCGCGTTTGTCTTTTATTTAAGTGGCTGACTAATGACCTTGACTTCATTATTTCTTCATAATATATGTATAGTTTTTTTTTCTTTCATAAATAATACTCATAGTGTTCCTTTTTAACGAATCGTATTTGTCAATAAGATTGTTAAGTATCTTAGAATGGTGGTTATTGTTTTTATAGATAAAAAAATATCTTACCAACAAAAATCTCTACCCTCATTACCGCAGATCATTCGTATATCATGTAAACCATTGATAATTAATTTAAGAATTAATACCATTAGCGTACCGAAAGAGCTCGTATCGGTGTAGCATTCAAAAAAGTTACATACATCAACAGAGTTTAATGACCGATATACAATTATAGACGTTGTGTCAATCGCTACAAGCTTCATTATATGTTGCACGTGAAACACGCATGTACTAGTGTTTGCGTCGCGAAGACCTGACCATATGCGGCAAGGACGGTCGAGGAGTGACCTTTAGAACGTGCTTTCGTACTTTAAGAGATAAGGAACTCGCAAATTGTTTTACGATCAGATTGACAGGAAGGGGAATTGTCTCTTACGAACGCGACAGGCTATTAGCTATTGCTTCAGGGCGGCTTATTATTCATCAATAAGTGAGATCGTATAGAATGCGTGAGATTTCTCAAAAGGCATGCGATAAGGAACGCCTTTAAAGATCTTTTTTCACTGGACTATTTGGAGAGCATTCGCGTTGTAAGAGACGAGTGTACATGAGACCATATTCCGCATGCGATGAGTGAACGAATTTTTGTATATAAATGTAAAGAAATTTGTGTATATCGACCGATGAAAATGAGGCTTTAAAAAGTTTAAAGAAAAAAAAAAGAGATCTCGTAAATTCATTAACCTTTGAAGTTTTACGTTTATTCCGATGCGGTATTGACTCAAGAAGCCGAATTTTTACAAAGCAAAATTGCTTTGTGTAAAACAGAGAGCAATTGTTAAGTGAGTATATATATAATAAACAGTTTTCACTTTAACCCTGCAGCGTTTGTGATAAAGTACTTAATTGTAATATATGGTAACGTCGATAATGAATACAAATATCGGTGTGAGCTTTTATTCAAACCCTATATGGGTTCCATCTAAATGGATTATTATACAAATAATTCTTCCCAGTATTTATAATAATTCTTCCCATATGCCCAGTTTCGGAAAGGCCAATCAAAGCAGCAATCACATAACACTATGTCAAAAATGATCAGCTGTTAATCTCTTGTTAAACTGCCTTGGGTTTCTGGAAGGTTTGTTCAAGAAAAATTAGCTAATCACTGTATAACCAATGATAATGAATGAAATGAACGATTTACTTCAACTAACTCTTTCTATTGTATAGCTGTCCCTTTTTAAACAAAACTTAAATTAACGTCACTATCCAGTCCTGTCACCGTGTGATTGCCAACGTAAAAATCCAAGCTATAATAAAATTTAATTTATATTAAAAATGTCAAGAAAAAACTTTACAGAAACGTGAAAAAAATTAACTTTTATCCATAAGAAACAAGAGTATTATAAAAAGAAAGAATGCATATTATTTATTAACTTTTGAATTGCATTTTGTATTTTTTCTAATCGCATGATATGTTCGCATAATAATAAATAATAAATAGGTAATAGAACACATGAATGTCCTAACAACGTATTAGGGAATTATGTTTATTTTTAATAAAAACTAAGATTTTTGATAAATTACATTTTTAACCAAAGATTGATCGTCCAAATTGACAGATTACATAATAAAACTTTTGACAACTCGTTGACCACCGAAAAACGCTTTCAGAAACTCGATTTTCTGTTGATTGTCCGTTAATCAGTGACTAATTGCAAATCAAAATCAATGTTGTTTTCAGACGTTCTAGCAACTCAGATCATGTTAAACAACGATTGACAAGAGATTTATCGTAAATTAAAATTGATTGCGCTTTCGGAAACTGGGTGATAGTTTCGCATTAAAATATACCGCTTTGTCATTATTTTTATTTGCACCAAATATATCGTACAAAGCCGTTCTTTACACACATCAGCATAAACAGATTACCTCACCAGGGTCTCTCTCCCGACTTGGACTTTCCGTTTGGACATATCCATGATTCTCTCGATAATTACCGACCAGCGCCAACATATGTGTGAGCTCTACGCATGGCATGCAGACGACCGCTCGCTCTACTTGTGTTCAAATGCCGGCGTGCCTGTGTTCTGATTCAGAGACGGCTATTGTCTTGCAATAACGATAGCTTGTGTCTTTGTGCATAGTCTAGAATACTTTTCCCGATTACCTTACTTATTTGACGTTGTTCGGTAAGGTACGCGATACAGGTAAGCGACTAACCCTTTTATTATTGGGTATGAAGAGAGGAAATGACAAAATCATAGAAGGAAAACAAAAAAGCCGTTCACTTGACGGTAAGTGATATTGTAAATGATTTCTCTAGTGCAATAAACGAGAGAGGTGTTGCTATCCAAGTTTTATTGTTCAACGGCCCTTTGTGTTTAAAATAAGTTTTACGTTGCCATTGGATATTACAATAGAAATCGAGTCATTAACCACGATTTTGTTTTCATTTCAAGGAGAAGCGGTGGAAATTTAGATTGTCATGTGTAAATTTTATATTTAAAAAGAAAAGAAAAAGGGTTTTATTATAACTATTTGCGTAAATACATAGCAGTTTATTTTTTATTTGAATATAATATCTGTTTTCTCCTTTAACTTACATGCAATAAGTATTATTATTAATCTTCCAAATATAAAAAAAGGTGAACAGGTTTTGAATTACTGCAAAATGGTGGGTGCGAGATAAGGTCACCCACCTCTACAAGTATGAAAACGTTAGTCTGCAAAGTTTAAAACGACACGAAAAAATCAATCACTCTGATCCTAGGTACACAAATTGAATTATTATGACAACTGTTGATAGGAATTTCTTCATTACGTTTTGCATAAAAACTAATTGAAGTGACATTTTAATAATCTCTCAGATATATTAGAACACTAAAAAATAAAATAAAACCTATAATTTAACAAGTATAGTTCATCAGAAATTTTATTTTTTTATATTATAATAAAAGTTTGAATTAAATTTTATTTTATAATAATATTTTCTACGCAAAAGACGTGATTTGCCATACAATATACTTCAATAAACCTTATATTTATCACCTGAACCAACAGTTTACTGTCCGTTGATGAATATGCGAAATACGATTCATTCATAAATAATATTAATATTATGAGGTCGAATAATTTATAACAGAAATTGTATAGCTGCAATCGTTTATTCAATGATTTACTGTAGGAGTTATCAAGTTTTTAATTGAAATGGAGAACGCAAATCGCTCGCCATTAAAGCCGTAATAAGTTTCACTCGACTGGTACGACTTTCATATTATTAAAAAATAACCCAAGTTCTTTGGCGATATTCATCGTTCTGTTATTTTTATTCTGTTAACTGACTAGTCGAATTTTTCAACCCGCAAAAAAATCAGGCATTACTCTCTCTTCTTCTAAGACAGTTGGCGGTCCATATGATAACGCCAATGACACAATAATGATAAAGAAACAAATGGTTTAAAATATCTAAGAATATCTTCTGGTTGTTTATTTTTGCTCCCATTACTCTTTTTATGTTGACATTATGCAAAAAGTGACGCGAAATAATAGACTATAGACTAATATAGAGCATACTGATAGTGATGTTCGCTATTCGGTCTATGATACAATTTGTGGTGAGAAAGCGATTATTATGAATAGCATTGTAGATTTTATGTTACTCTAGCGCGTCTTGGCGAACTTGCTTCCACGAATTATTTCATAGACTTGCTCGCTGACACTACTTGCTTTCCATATTGCGTTTTCCAAACCTTAACTTTGTTCCCGAAACTAATATCGCACGGGAGCGCAGGCTTTATCGCTGCCTCAAGCGTTTCGATACGTTCGCTTAGCGTCGCGTTGTCGATACGCGTGCCTTTATCGGTGTTATTATTCGTCGTGTGTTATTATTCGACGTTATTATTCATCGTTATTATTTGTCGTTTCTCGTTTCCCCGCGGTCCGCCTCGACACCGGCATGAATGACGCAAGGCTGCGCGCTCCGTTTGCCCTCGCCGCTGCCCACGCCGCAGTGACATCACCGCCGCGATTTATAATCCATATGATTACCGGTGCGAATTATAATAATGTTATGGCGCCGCTTTTGCAAGTGGAGCTGCCGTCTTTGTC